AAAGCTCAAAATGTACCTAGTCAAAAATAGTGAAGCTTTTTGGAGCAATACAATGCTTATCATAGGCCACCATCACCAACCATTCAAAATCAAGAAAGGGTGGGACCAACTTCATCATCAACAATTGTAAGAAAACAAAAAAATATTTAAATCGAAAGAAAAAAACTCTATCAAACGCAACATTTCTACATGTCCCTTGTTTAGTGTTTTCCATCTGTGCCAATGGCAGTGGATTTTCCTACTATAATCAAAGTTTGTGTGATACTGTCTATTGTCTAGTCTTAATAACCAACACACTTTGGGCCTTTATCAAACGGAAGCTCTGGAAATGGCTCCTCACTTTCATAGAAATTCGTTATTTGGATCTGTTATTGTCTCCATGAATCAAGACGATTGACAGATAATGCATATCTGCAAACAGAGCCTGAGGCACACTTATTCTTTTTCTCTCTTCCCGTGTTTCTCAATATTCTCTAAAGATCAACACATGCACTTACACACTTAAACTTGCATTTGATTTCCCCTTCAAGCTTCAAAAAACACCTATAGAGTGACACTGAGGCCAGGGATTAATCTGAGAAAGTACCAGAAAGATGCATTATCCACCCAGATTAACGTTCCTCCTGCTCCAGGGGCAAAGAAATGAGACTGTGTGTAGTCATGTGTACATGAGTGTGCTTTCAGATATGTATGTGAGTGTGTGTCTGTGCAGGTGGGAGTACAGATGTCTACGCAGAAAGCTTATGCAGCTAACCCAGTGCTCTAGGATACAAGTGTGGAGACGCTGAAGTTTAACAAAGCAACATAGAAAGTAGGAAGTTGTAACTTTTGGAAATTAGTTTTGGGGAGGAAAGTTTGATGGAGTCAGATAATTTCCAACACTTGTGGAAAAAAAAACAAAAAAACTTTTGATTCAAGGAGGAGGAAGCAGGAAGCTTCAATGGTTCTGACAGAGACTATGTTTCCAGTTTGAGAAATAGAGAGGAGTGTTATGTAAAAACACGATGGGTTGAAGTATTCTGAACTTTATTCAAAGTTGGAAACATGACTCAGTGCAGCACAGCAGGTAGCTTAGCTTATAGGTGCATTAATGTAAAAATATCACACATTATTTGAGAGGAGAGAGAAAGAGAAGCCACACAATGGAAATAGTATATCAAGTAAGATTAAATAAACGGGTAATTTTGGAGATGGATAAAAGGTTGAGAATGTGTGTTTATTTAATCTGACTTTGTTTCGTCGTTCTAAAGATAATACAATATACGCCTGTTGTCACATTATAATGATCAAATCCTTCATACACAAATCCTGCCTTTCAGTGCTGTCAATTCTGACCACATGGGAATGTTTAATGAGCAGTAAATGCACTGCGTGTGTATTCATTTAATACTAATAATGGATGGAGACAATTAAACATCCTTGTCTGAAACAGAGAGAGATCAATGATAGACATGTGAATGATGATGAGAACAATGACACAGAACCTAATTAATATGATGGATGATAGGGACGATGATTTTGACAAATAACACCAGATTAAAGATGAGGTGAGGAGGGATGTAGGAAAAACAGGGTTATAATAGCAGAGGTGCAAGCAGGATGGAGGGATGAATGAATATTAAGGTCAAAGACAGACTGAGTGATTGCTCTTTTGAAGGCTCCTTGAGAAGTTAACCCAAAGCTTGGCTGATGTAAAAATGAAAAAAAAGGAAAAAGACATTTTTTCTAAAATTAAAACAAATGTGTGCTCCTTTTAACTTTGTCAACAATTTATGCACTTTCACACACAAGTGTTACAGCATTTTAGTCAAAGCCTTGATTTTCAGATCACATGATTCGACCTTAAATCAACCTAGGATGACTCACACCTCGACTCTCTCTTTCAAGCACTGACCACATTACAACTCCAATGATGGAGAGCAGGACTCAGACCTATTTACAGAGGTTTGATTGTCCTTGTTGGTTTTCTTGCATGAGGCCAGAGAAAGCTGCTCTTTGTGTTCATCTGCATGTGCGTCATCAGGTGCTTTAGTCACTCTGACTGTCAATGAAGTTGCTGTTAGCTAGGTATACATGATGCACAGCATTGTAGTAGTAATTCTTAGGCAGGCAAGGTCCATATAGTGTATAATTTGGAGAGAAACAGCAGTCATTCCTATAGCTCTTCAAGTAATGGAGACTTCAATCAGATTCTTTGTGAGTGATTTTAAAGTGACTCAGACTTTATTACCAGGAACCCAAGGCTTGATCCTGACTTGAGGTTTGTTGATTTTGCTGCAGCACTGATAGAACAAAAAAAAAAAAAAGTGTCCGACACTTCGGGCTGGGCTGTATGGGAAAAGTTTATCACGATATATTTTTTTTCATATCAGTCGATATCGATATATATCATGATATAAAAAATGAAATTTATAAGTGCCTATTGGTAGCATGTCTTTTGCAATAAGCTACTACATCTGTGAGGTCTTTCTGTCTTTTCGACGTCTTTTCGTAAGGCGTTGCGATAGAGAAAGCTGAAAAAATGGTCGGCTGTTTCAGCTGCACAGGCGACATGGGCTCCTTGCTCCGCTCGGGGTTTGTAACCTTTTGCATTGTGTGTGCTCTGCCGCGTGGCACTGCTGCAGCTGGTGAAAAACATGGCAGAATGCTGGCCATCGAAAAGCATATTGACCATGTTTCATATTGATATTGAGGGAAATTTATTTTCAGTATATATTGTTATCGTTTTATCGCCTTAACAGCCAGACAAAGTTGCTCTCTGTGATTTTCTGTGATTATGCTCAAAACTGAGACCTTAAGCAATGTTGTTCAAAACTCAACCTTCGCTTTTCCTGTTCACTGTTAGCGAGCCCATTTTTTTCTCAAACTGAGTTTTGAAACCTATTTGAAATGCTGACCTCCCCCATCAAAGTTTGACCTTCCAGAGGCGGGCCTTTAGCCTCCAAGCAAATAGCTTTAGTGTGTCTGCCTGTCAGTCAAGTCAGCCATGCCTCTGATTTGCCAATCTTGTAACCTTAATAACTTTGAAACAAACGCTTTACCAAAAAATGAAAAAAAGAAAAAAAAATGAAAACCATCACTCCTCGTATAGTGGGTACTGTGGGAGCCCTGAGCTATTCAGACCAGAGTTGTTTTTTGAACCAGTCTGTTGACATGTTTATTTTTGCTCTACAATTGGCTTTTGCCTCATAGTTTAAGTGGTTTTCTTGCACCTCTGCAGCCAGCCTCAAGCAAGCACTCAGAGAACTGGAGTTTATAGCACTTCATTTCTCAAGACTGGAGGTTGCTGCTTGGTCTTTACAGATGGACCGGCCTCAGGTTTCAGGTGAGTTTTATCTGTATAAGGTGCATATCCAAAAGGCACTTTTTCACAAGGGGTTCACAAGTGAAGCAGCGAGCCCAAACGGATACTTTGTGGCATTTTCTATGACACTCTAACTACTAATGCTTGATTTCAGATTTAATCTCTGACGCGCACCCATTTACAACCTGTTAATTGTGTCTTAAAGTGTGAATGAGATCTTTCACTGAAGACACAAGCTTCTGAATCCATGATGCCTCACCACTTTCCAATCTGATCTCATTCACAGATGACATGAACCAAAAGCTTAGGCCATGGAAGTTAATTTGGGTTGTGTGTGTGTGTCTCCAGGGACAACATTGACACATTTATACATTGACAGCAGGACATGACCCCAAAGCAACACCAGCTCAGACAGTATTGAATATGACCATTACTCTGTATTTTACTGCCTAATGCACGTTTTCCTTTCTGAATGATGAAATATTTGTTGGACTTGTGTCCTTTGGATCTATTTTGCACTATTTTTGCGTCCCTGTTAACGGTCATGGTCAAGAGTGCTGTGTTCAACAATACTGAAACCTAAAAAGGACTTCCTGTTTTAAACTTTTTGCAGATGTGACAGTTCTGGTGGCCAAGGCAGTTCATTTTCATATCAAAATACTGTATATGGAAAATAAAGTGATGCGTACATATTAGGGGTGGGAGAAAAAAATCAATACAGCGTAGTATCGCAATATTTTGTCTGGTGATATATTGTATCATCTCATTTACCAAGTATAGATTTTTCAAATTAATCGCTAACATAAAGTCAAATCTATAATAATGGAAAATAAAATCAACTGTTTGTCCAGTGAGGTTGGCAGAGGTGACATCATAGAGCAGGAGAAAGTTAGTACAAAAAATATATATAAGGTTTACAAGACGTGCTACATGAAAATAAAATACAGCGTAAATCAGACAAAATTAGCCAAACAGTTAAAAAAAAGTATAAAAATGACACTATATTGTATCTCAATAATATCTTATCGTGGGGCGATAAGATATTACGGTACTAACTATATATTGCACAGGTCAGAGTGTGTGCTGCCACTAAGGCATTTTTTTATTTTTAAACGGAATGGTTCCTTAATAATTCATGTGTCTTACTTCAGTTTTAGAAGGAATTAATTACTGCCAGTTTAAATTGTTTTAAAACGAGTTTTATTTTGAAGGCAGCTTGTCTAATGACATCACGACCTGTTCATGGTCTCCACCTGGATCTTCTCACAGCATAGACATAATAAAAGATAGACCCCGCATCGGCCGCTACCACGAATGGGCGCTGTCGAGAAATGCGGCCGCCATCTTGGTCCGGTCATCCGCCTCACTCTGCACCGCTGTTTAACCGGCGGAATGAAGTCTGAGCGCATTAAATGAATCATAGTTCGCTCAATACTACGTAATTTTCTTCTCTGCAAACGCCATTCAAAGAGGCATAATAGAGGCTTTATTTTTTTTTGGCGTTTTCAAATACTCAGAATGAATAAAATGATAACAAGTTTTTGTCCTTAGGAAATCTTCAAAATGAAACAGGAGATCACCACAAAGAAATCTTTAATAAAACAGAGCTCACTTTCTTCCTTCTTCTTTCTATTTTGTTTCTTAACGTTTCTTAGAACCTCTCTCAAACAAAAGTTTTTCAATCTAATGCAAATCTGTTGATAATAGAGCAAAGTTGCTATTATTGTGAATAAGCTAGCTGTTCGCAAATGCTGTTTCCTTTTTGGAGTTGACCGATAGTCTTCCTCTTTGGCCTACAAATGACTCTACAGTCAAGTGTAATGTTGAAAAAACGTTTAATCATAACTGTGAAAAGTTATTTCTTGAGCCCTGTTCTCTGCTGTCCGCCTGTTGGCACAGGAATACGCCGCACAGTGCTCCGGCATCGCTGAATGAATGAATGAATGAATATGATTGACCGGAGCGTATGGGAAGCTTGACCTGACCAAGATGGCGGCCGCATTTCTCGCTGCGCAGCACCCCCAGCGGGGTCTACCCTTTTATTATGTCTATGCTTCTCACAGCAAGGCAGACATGTTGAGCATGCGCTGAATGCAATCTGTTGTCATCCACTAAAAATTCATCACAGAGGCAACGCCGTAAGTTCATATGCATAACTACAAGAATGTTAAGAATATAAATATTGAGGTTTTGTTAAAAAGGACGACGTTAATTTACTTTATTTACAGTTTAAAAGAAACATTTGAGTCTCCTAAGAGTGTGTTTAAAATCATTTATTATGTTATATTGAGTTGTATGAGTTGTTGAGACAGTTTTGTACTGTTTATTTGCAGTTTTCACCGGCATGTTTGATGAGGATGAGTGACAGTAAATGTCAACTTTACTACGACTCTGTCTTCATTCGCTCCGGTTTAACTTGGTGGTAAGTCAGAGTTACAACACACTGCACGAGAACACCACAGTATGTATCACATATGTGTTTGTGTATGTGTGTAAAAGTGTGTTGGATTCTGAGGGCAGACTGGTTGAAAACTGTAAAGAAAAAAAATGAGAGATATTGAACTGACATGGTCTTTCTTCAAGCACTCAGCCTCCACAGAGCAGAGCCAAGTGGTTCTCAGAGCCTCATCGGTTATTAAAGACCCCTCACACACATCTTTTTTTAATGTGCAATGCTTTATTGATCCATGCAAGATTTGTTTCTCACACTGGACACTCTCTTCATTTCACTTTGAATACGGCCTGTATGCTGCTAAAGAGTGCTTCTGTGGTTGACTGAACTTAAACCCCGAGTTGTCACCAGGCCACTCCACCGCCTCTAATGATAAAACTCCCCCACTCCTCTGCTTTGTGTATGATGACTCACAGCAAGTATCCAGCACCGCTGCAGAGAAAACAGAAGCTGGAGTTAAAGCAAGGCCAGCAATAAGTGTTCTCATATCTCAGCTTCCTGTCCCAAGATGCCCTCTGTCTGCTTCACTCTCTTATTTTATTTTTCAGAGGCAGTCATATCTCTCTGCCTTCTCAGCGCCCTTTTCTGTTTAACTCATTTTGTGATGAGCACCAGAGCCTTACAGTGAGACAAACAATGTGTGTATGCCTGCTTGTCGTGTGTGTGGGATACTCTGAGTCTCTACGCTCTCGAACCCAGGCATGAGCAATTCTTCATATTATTGCAGCGTGTGCTAAAGTTGCCGTATCTGTGTGCAATTACAGGTGCAAAGCAATCAGTCAGAATGAGGCCAGCGCAGTGAATGCTCCACTCACAACTTGTCATCTTTATTCTATCTATTTTTTGCTTGAATATTCACCACAGACTCATTACACGTCTCCTTGCTGGGTGAATAAGATTTGTTTGTGTCTTGTGAGTGGCTTTGTGTTTCAGCCATAAAACTGTGCGAAGACTGAGAACATTATACGTCAGAACGCTGGGGTCTTTGTGAAACACATGCAGAAAAAGGATGGTATAAGCAGCGAAGTTCAACCAAGGTGATAGCAGCAGAAATAGCGCCTGATGTTGTGGCAAATATAATGTTCTGATATCAGGAAGGATGTTTTGACACCAAAGACTAACATAAATGGATTAATAGGAAAGGTCCGTGTGGACACCGACTCGTTTCCTTCCTCTGCTGAACCTTTTATCTGCCATGCTCAGAGTTTCTCTTGCTTGTTCCTTTTTTCTATCACAGCCTTCTCACTATCTGGCTTCGTAGCCTAAAATTGTGTCTCTCCCCTCTGGATAGTGTTCATTAGTATGATAAATCTCCCGGGCCTCCCTAAATATTCTGCTCAGTTTCTAATGAGACACGCCCGTGTGCATGCGCACACACACACACGCAAATACCAAAACAAATCTTGCGGCGATGCTGCAAAGATCAAACCTTGTTTGGAATCGGCTAGATAATGCATCCTTTCAAAGTTACCACAAGGCAGGGCCCCTAAGAGTTTGTACACAAAACCTAATCTGTTCACATGCTGTGATCGCAACTAGAATGATGTCGAAGCTGCACAGAAACAAGATCAGCAGAAACTTACCGCACCATTACACAAAGATTCATGTCCGCTTTGGTGCACTGCTTATACTGAGGACTTACTGCAACTTCCACCACATCTCTACTTCTCGAAAACTTCATAAATGTTTCTTTGGAGTTGTATTTGTACTGAATGCCTTCCCCCCTTCAGAGTCTTGGGATGCTTTTTACACAGGCTAAAGTTGTCTATCCCCTGAGTTTTCCTTGAACAGATTAGCCAATGTCAGAATACATGCTGTCACGAAACATATCTCCCAAAGCAACCATGTTGCTAAAAGGCTCAGGAATCATGTAGTCTTTGTCGCCCTGTCATAACCAGCTCCCATTTGTAATGTACAATACCTCCCATGACCCTGTTACATTACAGTAAATCTAACTCATACAAACTTTGACAGCTAAGGGCCTGGGTGATTGGAACATTATGAAAACTGAGGAAGCAAAGCATGGGTGGGGTCTCAAATAAAGAGAGTGAGCCTGTCTGTCACATTTTTAATAAAAACACATCGTCAGGGATAAATTGCTGTCTTCGTGTTCAGTCTGGGTTGTTGTCTGTTTGCATGGGAGTTATTGCTGTTTTTTTTGTTTTTTTGTTTTTTTCACATTGTGTTATTCATTCGTTTTTACTGGTACAATTGAGCATGTGCAACATTTGACTCCAAGACAAATTCCCCCTAAGGGACAATAAAGTGTATTCTAGCACACCACTAAAAGTAAATAAACCAAACAAGCAGTGCTTTTGTTTTTGTTTGTTTGTTTGTTTTTCTAAAGAGAGCAGGATCTTGGACCAAGCCTATTGTTAGAGCATTATGAGTAAAGGCAGGTTTCCACCTTATTGGTGTCAGTGTCGTAGTCTGTGGAGAGGAGGCACCTCTTCAGGGTCACCTCCTAATAAATGACTGAGGCAGATTATTAACTTCTGTATCTCTTCCCCCACTTCTTCCCGCTCGCCGTTCACTAATACTGCAACTGCACAAGGAGCGTGACCCTTAGCTGCCACACACGTCCACTCAAAAATCTTATATGCACTCACTCTGTTCTGCACACGGACTGTGCCATTCTTCCTGACTTACCCAGGGCTGTCCAGGGACAGATTAGCTGTGACACAGTGCTGCCCTGCCACCTCTGACCTTCCAGAAAGTTCTGAGAGCGCAGACCCCTGGCCTACCACTGAAATCCAATTACCCAACCAAGCAGGGAGGCAAGAGGGGAGAAAGAAGGCATGGTAGCCAGGGATGGTGGGTAGAGAGGACAAAAATGAGACTGAAAATGCGGCTTACAGTAAATTCATCCAACTTGCTCCGTTTTAATCCTGGTTTACATTCTCACTCACTGCCATTTGTCGTACTGCTTTCTGTCTTTTGCCATCATATACATCGTTTACCACAGTTTTGCTATTTTTAGATTATGCTGTTTCATGAGGCCCACAGGCAAAGAATGATATAGAAGAGAAAAAGATGAGACAGCATGGCTCGATAAAGTAGGTGAAACAGAACAAAGGGATCAGCTAAATATTATTAGATTCAAGCCACACAAAGTTTCAAGGTAATCTGAGATTGCTAATGGATTGAAGTAAACGAGGTGGATGAAACTGTGCTCAAGTTTGCATAAGCTTTAAAAAGTCTTTCCATTAGATTTACATATTCATGAGTGTCTTCTACAATCTCTACAAACAGTCTTCTGAAGGTTATAAAAATCTTTTATTTATCTTATCTGTCCTTGTATCGATCACTGAATCAGAGTTCAGGTAGCTTTTCTCAAAGGTCTGCAGCAGCCCTTTGATATAAGACTTGATGTAAGGGCCAAAAATATTCCTCCCAAAGGGTGAAGAGAAGCCCGATAACAGAATTATCTGGAGAGAGATCTGTTTGCTTGGGATACAATATCACCTCTTATCCTAGTAATACTGATGAAGGATCCACTGGTCCTGCTTTAAAATTCATATGAAAGAGCTCAGCAGGTGAACGGATCCAGATATCAGGGCCGGCTGTAAATGGGCCACAGGGTGCTCTTCAGCGGTACTGAACTTGTGTGCATGCAAACACAAGTATGATACCTGAGGCTAAAAACAACAAGGATGGGAGGAAGAGAAGAAAGAAGAAAACTGCATATGAATTTTCAACCTTCAGTGTCTCTAAATATTGAGTATCTGAAAACATCTATCGGTCCATCTATCACGAGGGTTGTCACGATACGAAAATTTCAAACTCAATATCGATACCCAGGAAAATACTCGATACTATTTTCGATACTACTTTAAAAGGCTTAAAACATGAAAAACAGAACAGCAGATAAATAATCAATTAAATAAATTTTTTAAATGATCACAAAATAAAAAATATAAAAAAATAAACAAGACAATCACTTTTTCATTTGGAACCCAGGTTTCTCCACTGTGTAAATGTGTAGTTGGTCCTCACAGATATACTCTGCTACAGCTCTGTTTTTATTTTGACAGCTACAGAAGACTTTGGGTCAAACTTTCTTAAATAGCAGTGGAAGAGTAGGCTCTGGTTTCTTTAGCAAGCTAAGGGCTGCATTAGACATTAACCTCAGCTAATGGCTAACAACAAAAACAAACAACATTCACTGAGCATAAAGCTAACCATGGCTACTGCAAAACCATTTACAGTAGTGTAAAGGATGAACGGGAGCTTTACTAACCTGGCTGGTTTTGCCCTCCTGCCGCCGCACTGGCCATACTTAACAGCAGTAAAATGTGGGACAGCAAGCAGGGTCGCAGTGAGGGCTCTCCCGACTGCTGGACACTGTCTGCCGGGTTGGCAGCGCTGCTTGCAGAGTGCGCGCATTGGGTGCTGCGGGTACGCACACCACAGTATTGATACCATGGCAAATTAGTATTGTATCTGGATACAGCGCTTAAGTATCGATACTTTTCAAAGCATTGATACTTTTGACAACCCTATATATCACAGGTGTTAGTGGTTGTGTTCGTTGAGTAAAACTGAAATGGAGTGTTTTATTTTGAAAAGAAGCCAGATGCCTTATTTTGTGTCTGTGCCCGACTTCCTTTACAGCACAGGTTAATCTGTGCTGAATTTATCCGTAATTCCCCAGTGTCTGGAAAAAATAGAACTCTTACGATTAGCTGCAGAATCTGGCAATCTGTAGCGGAACGGAAAGAAACTGGTGAAAATTGACACATTAACTTGAATGGTTATGATCAGCTGTGATTGGCAGATACAGCCTTTTCGTAGCCATTACAAATGCGGTGGAAATTGGGGGTAATGGTAGTGCTGACTCAGCCTCATTTTCAGTCATCCTACCAGCCTGTAGCCTCTTTGCTAATAGCTACAGTGTGCCTTCTTGGATTAAATCAGCAATTCCTCTGATCCAACAAGCTTATAACCTTAATATCTTCAAAAAAATAAAATGGTTACAAAAAATTCACTTCGTGTATGTTCGGTGCCGAGCTATTGGGAGTAGGAGCCCAGATCTTTAGAAACCAGGCTTTAAACATGTTCAGTTTTTTTTTTTTTTTTGGGTGGTGGTGGTGGAGGGTTCTTTTTGCTCAGTGCATACATGGTTTCTGGTTCTTCCATAGCCAGGCTAAAGTGAGCACTCTTGAACTGCAGGTTATAGCACTTTCACATTATTTCATTTTTTTAAGACCAGAGGTTGCCACTTTAATTTGACCACCATCAACTTGAACTTCTTTGTGACAGTCACCTTTGTCAGAAAAAAAACAAACTTCCCAGCACCACCAAGTGGACCAAACAAGCACTTAGTGAATAAAATATTAAGGTGGCTGTGGAAAAAATATAGCCACAAATATGTCAGGATACTATGCACTATTGATTTATGGCCACATTCCTCTTTATATATTTATATAACACAAATATTCTTTATATGACAAAACAGGAGTAATTAGACATGTCAAGCAGCTGTCCAGCTCTGCTTCTGCTGATTCTAAGAAAAACAGTGATACAAAAACATCTTTATTCAGAGGTCTGGGTATATTTGAAGCTCTTCTTATTCTAATCCACAATTTTAAGTAACAAAATTATGGTCTTTTTAGCCAAACACAATCCTTGTTCAAATTTATACAGGACTCTTTTGAAATTTGTACCTGTAAACTTCATTTTTCTTGTAAATCTTATCCGTGGCTCTTCTAGTGTGCATGTTCCTGTTCGTGCATAAACTAGGCAGATACAGGTCACTGAACCCAGACAAGTTTTTTTATCCTTAGGATATCATCTGACTTTAATTCCAATCCCTTGCATGGCTTGCCACGATAAATGAAGTCATTCAAAAGCAGCTCCCTCCTCACAACACCCATTCTAACATCCAGACACACACATCGAGTAGATCACTTTACAGCAAAATGGTTTAGGCGCTTTCCCATATTTTCTTTTCTACCTACCACTATCATTTGCTTTAACAGCATGTCCTCCAATTATTTGGCTCCATTGCGACTTTAATCTTATTTTTTGTTATTTCTTTATCATATTGTGTATGTGTTACATCCTCAGATTCACTGATCAGTTAAAGTGTTATTGCCCAAAAATCTTCAAACTGCCTTTGATTGTGAGCAGAGATCCGATTCACAGATAAAGTTGAATTTAAATTAAATGGCTTTAGGAAAACAGCGGCTTTGAATAACCAAAACTAGACCAGGTTTATCATGACAAACTTAGAATATGATTATAACTCATCAAAAGAATGAAGAACAAAGATTTCATTCTCAAGATAACTAATTTGGACATCTAGTCAAAGGCAATGACAGGGATAAGGAGATGAAAGCAAAATAGAGAAAAGTTTCAATGCGCAGATTATACCCTTGAAAGAAACTTAATAAATGGAAAGCACAAAGAGGATTAAACACGCATATGGAGCGGTATCCTATGCGTCTCTGAAGCTTACTTTGTTGTATCATTGCAAAAAAACATCAACATATGCCATAAACGCTAAACCACTCTGAAACAGCTGGCATGGGAATGTGTTTTCAAATGGAATAATAGTCTTATGATAATCTGAATAACACAGTAAAAGTGGAACAAAGCCAGCCTCACGAGATGACGTGTATAATTAGTGACTGGGGAGTCACGCCCAGGGAGGGATATTTCCCTCTTTTTCTCTGCAGAGGTTGAGTGATGAGATTGAGATGTGAGGTGTGGGATTGCAAGTGACACCTCCTAGAAACAACACCTGCTACCTCGCTAACGCGTTTAGCATAAAGTAATCAAACTTTTCTCATTATCTCAGCAATGCAAGCCAATTAGACATGATACATCAACAACTCTGCAATTATCTACAATTACAACTCATTAAGCTCTGATTTACTTATGTTTTAATTAGCTGGCACCGCACTTTGTGTCGCAGACAATGTCCTTGCGCTGGTGTTGGTGGTCGTTGTTGCCGCCGTCGCAGCTGATGGTGTTTGCTGGATTGTTGCACTTGGCTGAGCATGGTTTACTCAAGAGGCCATCAATCTCCTCCTCACCGCCTCACTGTTGACTCTCACTCCTCCAATACACGCTCTCTAACTGTAGCCTGGCTTTTGAATGGCTGCATGTTAAGTATCCGTTAGCATGCTTTAATTGATGGTGCTTCGCCTAGAGTAAATATTGCAAAGCTCTCTCGCTTTTGAATTGTGGCAGAGCACGGCAGAGGTGACAAAAGGGTCAATAAATAAATGTGTGCTGGAAGCGCCCTATTTCTTTATTCATCCCACCCAGGTTCACTGACTTCAATTTCTGAAAATGAAAAATAAACCCACAAAGGAAAATATATCTTATTTAAAAGTACACGCTGTGTCCAATGCAGTAAATAAAGCCAAGCATATCCTGGTGGTCAATGTGTCTTGGAAGTAGACCTATTATGTTGTGGCTTTTCCTTTCCCGGGCCTTTAGATTCTTTGCATGAATAAAGAGGTGACAGAAAGAGTTGAATGCAGAGAGAAGAGAGGAGAGGGATGGATTTAGAAAAGCTCCATAAGTGTTGGAGGGAGGGAAAGGACTGCTGGAGCAGGCAAGGAAAGGGAATGGGATTGACGCCACAGATTACCCATTTGCTGTTCCCCCATCCTGGTCTGTGAACAAGTAATTTAGCTATTTCACTTAAAGCTCCTTTCGCTTCTCCCTGGCAACGTTTTAACCATTTTTAGTATCAATTGTCTCTTGCCTTCATGACAGAAACAAACCAAACCAATTTGCACCCTCTTGTTTTTTGAAGAGGCAATCAGCAAAGTGTCCTTGGTTTGATTAGATCCCAAGTGGCTGTCTTTACTTACATCCATTTACACACTTTATTTCTTTTGTTGCCTTTTCCCCCTTAAAAAGGCTTCAATAGTGCTTCTTCTTAAACCCCACAGAGATTACATGAAGTTGAAAATCCTCAATAAATGCTTGACCTAAATAGTCTATCCCTCCATCTAATAAAACTTATTCACTGTCTCCCATCCATCCTGCCACTCTTTTGGAAATCAAATTTATCTCTGTGTGTGGCCTCCTGCAAGTAACTGTGGTAGTTTTTTAAGATTTGCACCCCGGTGCTGCACAGTGTGACTCCCACAATGACATGTGGCTTTGGCATTGATGTTACTCACTCTTTCAACCACTGGGGTGCATTTTTTAAACATTCACAACGTCACTTTTTTGACTGTATCTAAATTTTATATGTGTATATATGTGTGTGTATATATATATATATTTAAACTACAAAATTTGGCTTCTAAAAAGCTCTGTTGAGATATCGGGAGAAAAAGGAAAATAGCAGACAGGCAACTGGGGAACAAACAGGAACTTATTTGAGATAGAAAATGTTTTCTTAATTTCCTGGAGGAACCTTAACACAATGATCTCAGAGGGGTTCTGTCTATTCGCTCATGCTGAAGTTATTGTTGGTTAAAAAGCCCTTGGCTCAGTCAGCCTCCATTCCTCCAAAGCCTTCAGTAAAACTAGCGATTCATTGTGTTAGTTGGACTGAAACAGGACTTTTAAAATACAGGTTAACACTGAAGAAGAAGAATCAGAAACAGAGAGATGGAGCGAGATTTACAGAAACAACAATAATTTATACAGATGAAGGGTTCAAGTGGCAAGAATAATGGAACAAGTCTGTGTTATAATTTAAGGAATGATGATGATAATTGACTGATAGTTTAATTTGTGGCAATTACAGTCAACAGGTTCATAGTAGTAGCAACATAACAGTAATGATGTTTGATGTTTGGTAGGAGATGAAGGAGACAGTACAGCGAGATGGAAGTAGGCATATCTCCGCATACATTTGTCAATAAATCAGTTCTTAGCTGGTGCATGCAAGGACAGTAGTTCTTAAATCATTTAATCTGCTTACCAAACTATTATTGTAGCTTGACTTACCTGTACATTTAAACACACAGGGCCTGATCTACTAATGTCCCAAATAACGAGAGCTAAATTACGTGTGCAAACTAAAAACTACACATTCTATTAGTTGGTGTGTTGCAGGTGATCTACTGTGATTGTGCGCTCATTTGATAACAGGTGCAAAAGTGGTACAGACTACCCTATTTAGATGAGGATTTAGCATGTGCTACTGGCTGTCACCAGGGAGAGTCGGGAACAGAATGGCCGTAAATGAAAAATTACGATGGAAGCCATGGAGTTGCACCTATTGTTTTGGGGAAGTCAGCAACTGCATAAAAAAACTGTTTTGTGTCATTTACTACATCCCAAGTGCATAGGAACTGAATATACTTACTCACCCTGTGTGACGTAGCATTTAACACCTTAACAACACACCAGAAAAACTATTTTGGGAGATGTGTCCACTATTTTTTTTATTTCCGACAGTCCAAATATGTTGACTCCCTCCGTCGTCTGTCACTACACTTTTGCCTCATTCTTGCTAGTGTGCGCAACACTGTGCCAGTTTGCACCTGCCTTTGAGACAGGCCAAGTATAGACGACCGCAATCAGTCCCCCGCCGCTTGTGATGTTGACATGTAGTTATTATAAGACTGGTTTTTGCTCCAGTCCTCTTTTTTCTGTACAGCTCCGTTTTCAAAAGTTATTAGGGGGTTCATTTTTTCTATGATTGATGGGTGTATGGGTGTACAAGGATTGCGTCACTCACCCAGGGGATACGCTGTTTGAGTCGAGTGTCATCACAGCGACTGTCCCGTTAAATGCGTACAATGCTACTGCGCAATGCGCAAAGGTTTCAGGAAATGGAGAGAAAATGTGGAATTACTTTTTGGCTTAAATACGTACAATGGCAGAAGGCGGAACCAAGTTGTCCATAGTATATACAGTCTATAGCTTGGACCACAAAGCTCACCCATCACAGGAGACGGAAAGTCTCTCTTCAGACTTGAGTCCACATTTCCTCTCATCTCAGCTGGAACAGCTTCTCTTTTTGGTTTTGAAAAGGATTAGTACATCTCTTTGCTGATTACTGTTGTCTGATATCTCACTGTTATGTTGCAGCTGTTAACTTCTTTGGTCAATTAACTGCTGTGTTCTCCTCATTCTCGTCACGGCCACCACCAACTGGAGTCCAACATAGTGTGAAGCACACCTTATATTACCCCAGTGTATCATAATTTCATTATACAGGTCAAAATGACGATATACTGCTGTATTCATTTGGTCCCATCCTTAATATACAGGTATGACGTGATGTAGATAACTGCAAAACAATCAGCTTTTTCTCTGTACGTCTCAAGGTTAATCTCATTAACTGTCATAGGATGAGAGCATTGATTGCAGACAATCATTAGCAAAAATTATGAAGAGATAGCCTGATTGGAGAGAGAGAGAAGGGGGAGAGCATGAACTGCTTAATTACCGCACCCTCATTACTGTATTATTGTCCTATTCTTATCTGTCTCACCTTGGGTTTTTTCTCTTCCTTTTATTTTCCCCTTTTATTTCCTCTCCATCCCTTCCTCCTGCAAATGAGACAAAGCAGTCAAAATGATTAGAGGGACAGAGCGAGAGGGATTAACCAAGGATACGTGAAAACTACAAAGCTAGGGTTGACAGGAAGATACACAACAGTTTTTCAATGAGGGAGACAGAAACATTGGGGAAAGGAAAGTATTCTGCAAAAAGTAATGACAGAAACTTGGAGGCAGAAGAGACTTGATGATCTAAATTAATTGGCAGCGGTACCCCTGCGGATGCTTTAAAATTGCAGAAATAAGATTATCCTCAATTTATTCTGACAAAGGCAGAAAAAACTGTCGAACATCTCATCAGTCTGCGCAGTGGGGGAGTGTTGAGCGGCACAATGGAAAAATTACATCTTATTAGAAATTAATAAAGCAGAGGAGAGCTAGAGATGACACTGAGTGACCCTAGACTAACCTGGTTTAAGCAATTAAGAGAAACACTATACTCACACCAGAGGAATGTGCTCAAATATTAAATATGAGCGCTTTTTCGAGCAAGTGTCGGCAGTTTTAGGAGCAAAAATGTCTGTTTCTATACCAAGAAAATGGTCCATGTGTTCCAGCCTCATGTGCTCTGCTTAATTACCCAACGTTTCCTGTCTTTGTTCCCACAATTGACATGAATCTCAAAGTGGCAGAAGAATTAATTATGCGTAGAGGCGCTAGCATCCTAAAGTGAACAATCAGTGAAGAGGATGAATGGAAAAATGGGCCTGACAAGTGAGTACAGGCAACAATCAACATCAGAGCCAAGACAAAGCTTAATTGGACCTACTTCATGGATTAAATTCATAAAACTGGACTGAACTGAACTGAAAACAGTATTTAGATAAACTGCAAATGTATGTTTAAAAAGGCAACCTTAACTACCTCTGTTGAAAAGTTCATCATTTTCTCTTATGGTAAACTGTACTCAATATGTTTCCATTTTTCTGTCATCAAGTTGGGTTATTTTTTTTGGTGTGTCATGTAAGGACACTGTCAGTGTCACAGAGTTTCAAGATAATATAAATAAACTTTGCTTTCAATTGGTCAAACTTTTTACAGTAAGAGGTCGATGTCAATGCTATTTAGGTGAAACAGATACCTAACAGCGCTGCAGCATTAAAGGTTGTTATTAATGATGAATGTCCTGTCAGGGTGAGTTAGAGCCGTAGACAGGTCTGCTCCACATACAATATTCCTGGAAGACTGCCCGGTATGAGTAAGGAAGAAGAGAGGTGGTGAAAACAATGAATAAGAGTGGATGATAGGTTGGGGGTGAAGAGCTGGGAGGAAGGTTGGAAGATATTTTTTCGAGGTAGAAAAGGTTAAGGAGAAGAAAACACTATGGAATCCTTAAAAAGGTGACAATAAATAGTGGGCAGTTGTGAATTGCATCAGCCTATTTCAGAGCCTGCTGAAAGCAAAATTTGATTTTGGGGCCCTCTATTTCTGCCAATAATGATTGTTGATCATTCACACATCTTCACAAATCTCTTTGATTAACATTCCATGACGTACAAACATACCTTTATCTTGGCGTTTTTTCTCTTCTTCCTCTTTCTTTTCTCTGCTCCTGAAAGATACGTCCTTTTTTGCCCCACAACTACCTTTTTGTTTTTTGGATTGCTCTTCGGGGCCCTCTATTGGCCGCAGGGCCCTCAGCAAGCGCGTAGTTCGCTTATGCCTTGGGCCAGCTCTGGCCTATTTCAATCTGCTTATTTTGCTCTCAACAAAAACTTTGATCTTACATTAAGCAAAATCATAGGATACAAAATAAAATAAAATAAAAAATTCATCCACATGCTGACAAATTCATTTCAAATATAATTTATTTCACTGTGGATAATTTTTATGTAAATAGATGGATAAATGTATTTAAATACGATAAATGCAACCATTTAAGCTTAAATATCGTGCCAACCAAACAGTAGTGCATCTATGATATTTCAATCAATTAATTAACATTTATTCATATTGCGCCAATTCATGTTATCTTAATATGCTTAACAAAGAAGAGCTGGTCTAGACTAGACTCTATTCTATCTATCATGTATCTAGACTCTATTTACAAAGACCCAGTGGACAGATGGGATAAGATTGAGCCCAACCTTTGTAACAAACGTCCTTTTAACAGGCAGAAATCTCGAGCAGAACCAGACTCATGTAAGATAGTCATCTGTTGCTACTGCATTGGGTTCAGAGAGAGGATTGAGGGCGATGCAGAGTTTATATTGATTAACTTGAGAGAGAGACTGATTGATTGATTGACCCAGGCCCGAGCCTGACCTAGCTCCAACTATGAGCTAAATTTCTAATATTTAGTTGGAAAACTTTTAGGAACAAAAGCTTTAATTGCTCTGATTTCTACTTTCTGGTAACAAAAACTTTGGTGCACATGCAGAATGTAGACAGACACACAGAGCAACGGTGCGCGTATGAGCATGATTTAACATTTAACAAGGCATTCATTAATACTTTCAGGTTTCTTTGTTCTTATAAATGATGCTGAAAATGAATTTGCTTTTAAAAACACTGGAGAAGTTCTGCAATTATTCATTCTGTTAAATTTTTCAAACGTTTACTCCGGTTGAAGATGAATCAGAGATGCTTTTTTAATGGGTGGCATCTGACTAAGGCGGTAAGCGTTGTGGAAAACCCTCGTCTATGTTATGCCTTTAGAATGGCATGTTGTGAAAAGCCTGCTGTCATGTGGAGCAATAGTTTCATGCATACCAGACTTGTATGAAATAGAGGAAGCAGCCAAACTGGAACTGCTTAAAAAATGCAAATTCTGCAGTGCTGCATGAACAAAGGATCATGGAATGTCAGTGGGTGATCAAAATTACCATTGCATACTTGAACTGTATACCAAAATGACACTGAGTAGACATTTTTGCCATGCATTCCCACATACTGTATTTCTCAATGTGCTGCAGTTTAAGTATCAGTGAACAAGCACTTTAAAGCTGTCTTCTACCTCAGGATCATGATTTCAGTCCACTAAGATTGCAGAGCAGCATTTATTTAAATAATAAATCTTAAAGTCACTTGTAAAGACACTTGCAAGACTTGCAACATCAGAGTCCTTTGGCATTTCTGACAAAAGCTCCTGTCCGTTAGTCTCTCTTTTTCCAACAGATTCTTCACATCTCCTGTCGACAAGTTGGTCCAGAGTTTGCTCTCATTTTAGAACATAACTTTTGTTGAGTAGAACAGGAGACAACTGTTTGTGCCAGAGTATCTTAATTAAGCCGGCACTTGGCTTCAAACATTACTCATTGTGCTGTGAAACTTTTGATGTGTCAGTGAGCAAACCTGCAACTTCAGATCTATTTAATAATAGTCACCGTGGGCAGTGAATCTTTCAAGAACTGAAAACAAAAACACTGGTAAAGGAGCAGGACACTGGGTACATACTGTATGATCTAAAAGAAAGAGCTACTGCTGGCACTAAAGCAGTTATGATGATTGCCTTAATGACAAAAAATCAACCTCAGTGCATCATCCTGACAGTCCCTGTAGATTTATTTAATCCTTAAAACAGGTGCTGTGCTTTCAAGACTCCTCTGTCTGTGATGGCTTTACTTCTTAAAAGTCCATTAGCCTCACAATCTTGCAGCCTCTACTAATAACAAGATTTTGTCTGTTTCCATTTCTGAAATATCAACACTAATTAATTATGTCTCTCAGAGTTTTAATCTTTGAAAGGCTTACTGAAATGACTCACAAAGTATCACTTTGAGCTTAATATAGTGCATAATATCCTAGTTTTGTGAAGCCTAATTTTAATTAGCAGGGTAAGCTGCACTCTCATCCTTCAGGAATGTCTGTAGTTGAGGCTGAATGTATATAATGAGTACACCAGTGACAACATGTGTGAAAACTAATCATCATGTCTCATCAGATGTTTTACCTGCATCATACACGGTTTCACAAATAATTAAATGTGGCATCTTAGAGGTAGACTGTTAAAAATGACCAGAATATCACAATATTAAACAGTTTTATTTTGTAGTTAAATACTGTAATCAAAAGCTCCTGTAATATAACAAATAATACCTGTAAGGACTACTGTGACACTGGACTTCACAGCATTACAGTGCAAATAAAATACTGCTGTCAATATCCTCTGTAATATCACAGGAATTAACTTGAGTCTTGCAGCTGTAACACGAGAGTATAAAGGTCCTTACACACCGGGAACAACGCAAATATACGATGCGAAATTACGAATTATTCAGAGGCGAATTTTTACACGCCAGACTATACACAGCAAGCGCGATGTGATTTTGTGACTTTCCGGGAGGAAAGAAAAACGTGACTCGGGTGGAATCGAGTAGACAAAAATGGAGTCTACCTCAACTTCAAGTGATGACGAATTGGTACTCCTTTTAAAAATGATAAGAGCTACCATGTGCCACAGTGACTAAAAACACAACAGCAGACTGAGTTTTTTTCAGTTCTGATTAGACACTAGTGTTGAGATGTCTGTCTGTCATGATAGCATGTACTGAGTCGGGGCCAGTACCAGATAAGCACATTAAACTATAATCCATAAATGTAAGGTAACAACTGAGACCTAATGGTGCTGTGACAGCAACGTGATTGAGTTTGAGACAGTGAAAATACATATGGTATGTTGTATCTGAACAGGTTAGCTTACGAGCTAAAGTTACTTAGCACAGATGAAAGTTAAAACAAAGACGTTTAGCAAACTGTTAAAGCACACAAACCATCGTCATATGAGAGATCCGACGCTATGACTCTCCACAAGTTGTCCTTCAGGTCGTTTTCTTTGTAATGTTTGTGTTTTTTATCATAAATCACTCTGTTCTCCGACACGCAAACAATCAGCCGGTCAGCCATGTTGGATATACCGGTGAATCTGACGTCACAAGAACAACAAGAAATCTGATTGGTCAGAAGTGGACACACAGTATGTGTACATTTAGAAAATTCGACTGTGATACGAAACAACAAATGCTGCAATATCGCAGGACGGGAAAACATCACTGATATGAACACTTGTATTGATAGGATATGGGTTCGAAAAAAAATAATGATGGCCGAAATAATCGCACAAAAAAACGCTCACGGTGTAAAAGGACCTTAAAGTTGAAGGTTGACGAGAAATTACTGTAATAACACTTATCTTGCAGTTGTAAAACTACAGTGTTAACATGTAATTTCACAAAGAAGTCCTGTGACATTACAGCTGTAAAGTTACAAGAAGTTACTGTGAGGATATTTAGCAGTAAGATTACTGTGAAAGTCACGCAAAATTTGGCAGGTAATTAACAGCTAATTTACGCTGAAAAATTAAATAGTGTAAATGTGCTGAATTATTTGCCAGAAAGTGAATTAGGCATCAATTTACCAAGGTTTGTGCTGACAAGACAGAGGTTACATTTTTCTCTCATGTATCAACTCCAATTAAGGTGGAAAATCAGAACAGAGGGAAATTAGTCATGCCGTATATTCAAGGCCTGGGTTACTCATCACCTTTCTACCTGAGTGTTTATGCGAGCTAGGCATTAAACAGACATTTTCAGTCTTGTGGGGTTTCATCAAATAGCTGCTGTAGGAAAGCCGCAATAGCTGCAAATACTTTTAAAAAATAGTTGGCATTACCCTTTTTTTAGTTTGAATAAAAGGTTAAAATCATTTAATGTGTATGCTGTCAATACTTAAAATAAATAAACACTCCGCCTTTCCTCTGCACTTCCTTCAAAACTGTAAAGAGACTTCTCACAAGTTTTATTTGGCATTGACAAGCCAATCTTAATTTAGGGATCAAAACATGGAAGATAAATGAGTAGAATATTTTATTTTTTGTGTCTGTTGGGCTCAGCAGTTGTTGATTCAGCTAACTGTATGATCAAAAGGAACTCTCTAGACTCAATCTTTATGAGCAACACATAGAGAGAGACAGAGATGGAGAGAGAGAGAGAAAAAAAAAAGGCCTTCCTCCCTGTCAATCACTCTGCACAAACTGTTACACAGTCTTTTTCTGTGCTGTCTGCTCAGATACTTTTGGCCACTTGTACACACACACACACACACACACACACACACACACACACACACACACACACACACACTCATTCACAACCATCTCACCTGTCTCTCATGAAAGCTTCTTATGGTATCAAATAAAAGGTCAGGGCTATCAGAGTTCAACTGACAGCCGTCTTGTTTTTAACAGGACCTTGTTAGCCCCCTGCCACTTGACTCACCTCGCAGCCAGTGCTGCAGTGTAGGCAGTCCACTCTCTACGGCTTAGTCAGCATAAGTGCTGAGGAAGTAGGCAGTAAGAAGTCGAAGACGGCCTTGATAAAAAAAAGTATCATTTATTTATTCACACTTCTTTGGAATGAATACTGATTTATTGGCAAATTTTAAACTTACATTTTACCTTCTTACCCAACAAAAAGTAAATGCAGCTTTTCTTGCAATCAATATATAGACGTCTGCTGTTCCCAACAGAATATGTGTTTGTAATTAACTCATAGCCACCCCCTCCGCTCAGGTCAAACTTGTTTAACTTTGGAAATGTTTATTAGGTGAAAAAACTTTTACCATTTCAAAGTCATGATCTTAAGTGCAAAGCAAATTAGTTTTTTTTCAGGTGGATAATATGGGTGTTAGCGCACGGAGCACAGAGAAAGGTGGATTTAAGGCTCTCTATTATTTAAAGGTGTATACTGGTGTGTACATGAGCCAACCAATCAGAGGGTATTTTTTTATTTTGTTTAAGAGCCGGCAGATTCCAGATTTCAACCCATCTGATTTAATACACTGGGCTCAAACCCAGGGGTGTAAGCAGAGCCGGCCCAAGCCTCAGTGGGGCCCTAACCAAAATTTGGCCTACATCAGCAGCAGCATTAAAATATTTTTACTTTATTTTATTTTTACTACAATTTATATTTGATCATACAGAAAGCATCACTCATACATGCAAAAAACAACAAATATTTATTTTATTTTTTGATTGCTCTTGGGGGGGGGGCCCTACTGTCCATGGGACCCTAAGCTGGCACTCAGTTCACTTATGCCTTAGGCCGGCTTTCACTGAAAGTAGGAGGTTCTTGCAGGTACCCGTAGACTTTGTAAAAGAGAAGCACACCCAAGTTTAACGAGGTGCCGACTCTGATGCCACAGTATCATCATCTGCTGCATCCCTCTCTGTCGAAAATAAATCAATTGCATGTTGTTTTGTTTTTGCATTAAGAGTGAAGCAGCTGTCTCTTTAAAAGTCCCCACCGCCTAGGCAACCAGCGCCCAGTCAAAAGTGCACACTGAGCGCTACCACTTATGAAGTTTGTTTGTGGAAGCAAATATGACTCACTGACAAGCAGCATGGTCCTATTGGATTACTACAGTTACAATGCAGAGTGCAGACTTATGTGTGGCAACACAGTAAGCAAATGTAGCCTAAGTACATTGCAGGAATGAACGTTTTTTGCGTACCAGCTGTAAACTGCTGTTTATGTCTTTCTGGTACAGCGTATCGCTGCGTACCGGCTTCACTTTCACCCCTGCTCAAATCATCAGCAACCTTCCTGAGAAATGAAGCTGCAGAAATGTTAATAAAAAACTGCAGTTCCTAGAGTTCCCATTCCCCAGCTAGCTGCAGAAGCACTAAAAACCACACTCATTAAAAAAAAGCCAATTTAAAGGGCAAAAATTCATGTGTTCACAGGCTGGTCTGAATAGGTCAGCGGACAGAGAGTGACAACGGCAGAAAAAACTGTTGTACAGCTCATCAGTCACTCATGTCACTGAGACCATGTATTATACAGTCTATCAATCAGAATGATCATCCTTCATCCTTGTGCTGCTTTATATGTGGAATTTCCCCCCTGTGGGACTAATAAAGGAGTATCTTATTGGCTTATTTAATGTATTTTCTTCCATGGTGTTCATGATGATATAAAGCATAAAACCCAAATCCGACACTTAGATCCCTCAGTGGGTGCTGGATCCAAATACTAAAAAAGAAAAAAGAAAAACACATCCATAAAAAGATCCCATTCAAGGGTTTAACCAACACACTTGTGGTCATGTGAAATACATGCTGACATTGACATGATCAATTACAATTAAAATATAATAACTAGGAAGTTTTAAGTAACATGGACAGATCACACGTTTTCAAGGTGTGGTTTCATGTGCTATAGGTTTTATTCAGACTCTTACACAGCACAAACACAATGATATAACATTGGTGTATTTCTTTCAAGAGTGTGTTCCATTGTTTCAGAGAAAATGCAGGCAATTGTCAGAACTAATTTTCAAAGTTTTACACAGTTAGATTAGCCACAGGTGGGATCAGTTAGATTTTCAATTTTGTACATTGTGAAAGTGGCAATATAATTATGTGCATTACTTCATTAATTTGATAAATAACCAAGTGCTAAGAATGGTTTAGATTTTCTTTGGAAAGTAGAGAGAGGGCAATTTGTGAATTAATGGGAAAATAGAAAGAAACTGTGGAAATAAGAAGAGTACAATTAACTGTGAGTCAGCTCGCCTGTCTAACTGAAGACTTTCATTTCATAACCACCATTTCTGAAATGTGACACCTGTTCCGACAAAGAGATTGCTAAACATAAAACTCCAAACAAATTACCTATTAATTGAGGTTATTATCCATGACTCTTGAAGGGCGTGGAGAGTGATTAGCTATGTGAAGACTTTTTCTTTTGTCACAGGAAATTCAATTTTAAGGAGTATGATTCAGTCAAGAATGTTTGATTTATGGGCCATAACAGAACAGAGCATTCATAGATTTTAATTGATTTTTAAGCTATAGTTGCTGTCACCAACAGTTTGAAAAAAACAGTTTTTATCTTGTTTGGTGAAACAGTATGCTCTAAGTTTGGCCCGTGGAGAAATCTCTGTCAAAAACAAACTGAGGCATGTGTCACACCCCAACGTGAAGGTGCAAGGGCCCACTCAATGCCGCTTGCAGCTTTAATTTTTTTCTGTTCTTTTAAAAAGCTCAATAAAATAAGTGCATGGTCGGGTTTGTAGCTTCGCAGTTAAATTACATGCCCCGTGTACAAAGGCTATTGTGCTGGGCTCTATTTCAACCGGCAGAGCGTCACCAAATGTCAGTCCCCATTCTTTCTTCCAGCTTTGTAGGCTATCCATTGACTCATACTTTCAATCAAGGCAATGACGGCAACATTTTAAAAAGTAATAATAACTGTGTGGATAGTCATCATTACTAATTTTCAGAGATCTACTTTCTTTATTGTGAAATAATTGGTGCATTTATGTAATATTCAAATTGATGTTAAGAGCTACTGAGGCTGAAATGCATTAAGCTAAAAGACTTTGTGAAATGTGGGCAGTACAGTGGCCAGAAACACTGAACTTTGGTTAACACCAATCATCTAGAAAGCATCTGCACCTTACACACAGACACGCCGGCTCCCATAGATCATATACAGTATCATTGTAGGCAAAGGACATCATTTTATGCCTTTCCCTTGTTGTCTTTGATCTTATCTCAATAACATCTATTTCATCTCGTATGCCTGCTGTGATCTTGTTTATCCTGTGTTTTTGCACTTATGCATGGCGGTTACATCCCTCATGAAAATACACCTGATATGTACTGGTCAGCCCAACTGCACTGACTGTGATTTCAAAATGGCCTCAAATAGATATGTGAATAGTGAATATCCATCCAAATTCTGGACCAGTTTGCAGTGACAAAAGACCAATTTGCCCCAAATAGCCTTCTCCCAGGTCATCCCCTTAGGGTATTCCAAGGGGTTCCCTGGAGAGATGGGATATGATCTCTTCAGGACATATCGCTCTAACCTGGGGTCTCCTTTTAGTTGGATGTAACCAGAAACCTCCAGGTGCTGAGGAGGAATCCTTAATTGCGTGAACAACCGTGGCTCTTCTTGATTTGAGAGAGTAGTTGCTCTACACAGTTCCCCCTGGACCCTCCAAGCTCAGGACCCTTTCTTCAAGGCTGAGCACAGCAACCTTTCAGAGGAAACCAGTTTCATATGATTGTATTCGCAATCTGGTCCTTTTGCTCACCAGCCCATGACCATAGATGATGATTGGAATGTAGGTCAGCCAATGAATTGAAAGCTTTGCCTTCAGGCTTGGCCTCCTCTTCGCCACAGTGATAAGATACTGCTGCTGACACTGCACCGACAATCTAATGTCGATCTCATCAACTATTTATCTCAACAAGACCCCATGATACTAAAACTCCATCACTTGGAGTACAGATGATAACATGAGGCCTTCAAACTGGGAAGCCCTCTTCCCCCCGGGTTATCTTATCTTGACTTAAATTATCATTGCTTATCCTACCTCCATGAACCACAAGCATAACACTTTCAGCATTTAGCTGGTAACAGCAACAAGGAGAAATTTTCATTGTAATAGACAGAGACTTCCACAGAACCAGATTAATGTTAAATCAAGTGGGAGTGCATTGGGCTTGGAAAGGGAAGTAGAGGGACACACTGAAAGAAAGAGATGGATAGAGAGTTCATCCATGTTTAAAACAACTGAAGTTAAGTGTATCTCAAGTGTATACAATTACTATTACTATGAGAATCATAGAGGAGGAACTGGTAATGAAGCATCTGGGTCAAACAGCTCCAAAATCAACTGTAAGGTTAAACAAAAGTGGACAGTAGCAAAGTAAATTAACTTGAGCTCAGTAAGATATGATGGTGTCTGACCATAAGGAGTTTCACAGGACACGAAAAAGGATTTTAAATCCTACTCTAGACTCTTTAAGGGGGCAATGATGAAAAGCACACATTGGAAAGATATACTCTATTTTCCCAGTTCTGCAGCACTGGAGCCGCAGCTTTTCTGTACCAGCTGAAGAGCCTATATAGAGTTAGGACAGTCTGATAAAAGGGCTTACTGTGATCCAACCGAGAGGTAACTATGTTTTTTGCACCATTTTGAGGCAGGATGTGTTATCTTTCCAATATATTGAACTGCATAGGAAACTGGAGTGACCTGTTTGGTGCATAAGCACAAATTATGGCCTTCTCTATAACTTGTAGTTGCAGAGAGCCAAAGTCTTGTTCACCAGAAAGAACCCCGAGGCATACAACACTCAGCCAGGGGCTGTAGAGCCCGCCTTAAGCCTCTCATCCTGGGCAAAATCCAGAAAAGGGGAGAGTTGATGTTACTTAAAATGCGTAGACATATTAAACATGCATCCCTTTATGATATTTGGAGTTTCTGTTTGATTTTGGTGAAGGACATGGAAGACACGTAAGAACACCATGGTATGATGCCATGCCATTAAGTTTCAAGTTCAATTTTACCTACCGCCTTTACAGCATTAAACATGATTCATGGCTGTAAAAAGGCTAACTTTCTCTGCTTTCTGCATAATGTGCCTCCAAAGAGACTTTTTTTTCTGCAGCAGTGCGTGGGTTCCTTTGTCCTCTGATATGAATATGAGCTCATAACATTCTGTCAAAGTCATCTCTGCACACACACTCCTGTTCATATTCACTCTATAGTCTACATCAAAGAACTAATGGGATTACATAAGGACAGTGGAAAGTCAACACTCCATTTAAGAGAATAGGGAAGAAAAAAAATCTCAAAACTCAAAGATTATGTGTTATTTCTTGAGTGCCATTCACTCTCTAGTCTGTAAGAAAATAATGTTCTCACCATAAAGATGGTCTGGTCTTTTTCCTAACTTTATTTCCAACAACTTACATCTCCTCATAAAGAACTGTCTCCCTTGTTACATGACACCTTTACAACTTAATTGAAATTGTTCGTCTTTTAGTCCAAGAATTCAGTAATTCATAAATGTGAGATTTCAGAACCATTTATATCATGTGAAGTCAGAGTTCTGAGCTGTGGTGCCTGGCAGATAGGGTGCATGGGTGTTGATTTATCACTTACAACAAGGAGAGTAAATTCCATTTCTTCTCCTTCTTCATTGAATGAGGATAAAAAGACAGTTTTTTTTCTTTAATCAGGTAAATAAAATAAATGCGCTGCAGTAAACATATATTTGATCAAAAAATGTCCTCTGTCTAGAGTTGCTGATCAATCTTAAAAGTGTGGGGCGCGATCATTTGCTCTGTAGTTATCCTAATTTGCATGATGGAGCTTCAAAGGAGGGAAAGAGGGCAGCCCCTTCATCTGGTCAGCGGGATGAGAAGAGAGAAAGGTTGATTAAGGAGAGGGCTGACTTGTTTTGAGTCTTTACAGATGCCAGTGATCTTGGGAAGATCGGCAGCAGGAACTGATAGGAGATGCAGGAAGTAAAGTAATAAAGTTTTTCTTATTCTTATTCTTAAAATATACTAGAATTGAATCATTTCACTCCTGGCTTGTTTGTGCAAAGTCTGTCTGTCTGAAAAAGATGTACCTGAATCTGTCTGAAAGCTACTTCTGCAGTCCCCACAACTTACTCAAATCTCTTATCTGCTTTTCTGACTGCTAGTATGGGGCCGCTGGTAAAACATCTGCATCCAGGGAGCTCACTGTTTGTATCAGGCCAGGCAAGGTCTACTTCAACACTTCAGACTGTTGTTAAACATCATTTGACCCAATCTGCAGCATGATGTTCTTCACAGTTGGGTGTTCAACAACATGCAGGATTCTCTCTGCAGAGCCAAAGACCATATCCTTTGTGTAACAGAGTACTTTGGTGTTTTTACTGAAAATCATTTGCACATCTTCTGTGGTGATGCCACCCACAATCACAGCTTGAGGCCAAGGCTTCCCGTGTAGCTTTACCGTGTCTGGGATGTTTTCATTCTTACCCTGCTGCCAGCGGATAAAGTTTTGATAGGGATAGTGTCCTGTAACTGTGGAGCAAATCTGTTCTGCAGTTTCACATTCAGTTGTTGGGAAGGCTTGTTGCTTACCTCTCATTTTTGCAGCTGCTCACAGCTGTGTCCTATCCACAAAGGGTTATGGGTAGGACAGGAGGTTGAAAAACGCACGGGGCAGTGTTCTCCGCCTGATGTTCTTACTTTCTTCCAGGGAAATCAATCACTTTTAGGCCTTACTCTGAGATAGTTCCAAGGAGGACTTACACTCGCAGATTTATTACACAGCACAGAACCCTCCTGTTTGTTGGTAGCTTTATCTGTACTCTTTAGCCCTGTTGCTTGTTCTGTCTGAGATAATGGTAAAGTTATGCCGTTTTCACACAGTCGCTTAACTTCCTCATTTACTTCCAGGCGGTGCATTTTTGGCCCTGTACTGCAGTCTTCTGCTGCAGTTAATGGTAGTCATCTGTAGACAGAGGAATTATTTTGATGTGACTTACCTTGAGCTGTCAGCCTATTTTAAAACTTTGTACTTTGGTTTGGCCCCAGTCATATCGTGCTGATGGGGCTCACAAAAATATTGAGAAATTGCTCCTTTGTTGAGCAAAAATGACAGTCCTATTGATCTGTAAATGTCAAAGATCCTCTGTTTATTACTTCTAGTCAAGTAAAAATAAAGATAGCGACAAAAAATGAATAAAAAATACAGCAATACCGAGAGCAAGCACAAAAGCCTGTGATCCAGGAATGTCTGTTGTTAGAGCTACATATGGAATATATTTACTCTTATTTCAGTTATAGTTTTATAACCCCAGTATGTGAGGCCAGGGCCTATTTTGTTTTAGCCCCCATAGAAAAATACACACAGTACACATAGTTATACACATACACACATGTTGCAATATACACATAAGTAAAAACACTGACCTGCTATGATAAAAGTAAAAACCAAAAGTCCACTGCCAAGTTTTGGAATTGAATGCAAACTACCAGGCCACTGCATTAGTATTCTTGTTTGTCATTTGCCTTGTTTTAAAACCCATATTGGTTTTACTAAATCCTTTATTTTAGCTAATATAGTCTCCGGCTGCAGTGCAAAAGTCCTGAAAAGCCCAAAGAGAAAACAGAAGTTGCAAATTGTTGTCACAGATGTGCAAAATGCCATAGCAACACAACTGTCCACAAAAATCTTGTACCTCTTCAGTCAGGTCTTGATACGTCTCTTAAATATCTATTTTTACACTCTATCAGGAAACCCTTACTTTGTTTACGTACTGACCTTGCCTGATACTACATGAACCGATCATTCATGGCATAGATTTGTTGGAAATCCAAGAGGTTATCGCCCTTAAAACTTGTATTTGTTAATGCTCCACTTCAATTGGGAGACAAGTTCATCACATCATCATAAGGCTCAGGATCCTGTTTCATTGTTGTTGTTGTTGTTTTCTTTTTGTAAGTGTTTTTGTCTTTACCCTACTGATGTGCCCTTGAACACTGATTTAAAAACTAACCATGAGAGGGAGTGATTGGCATGTAATCCTACACACTGAAACCCTGCAGTAGAGATAAGTGACAGTGGTTCATGAAGTGCAACACACACTAACGCGTACACACACACGCTAACACACACACTCACTCACATTATGGTAATTGTCAACATTAGTATGGAATTACTGTCATCGCCTTCTCCATCATTCCAACATCCATCTTCACCTGTATCATCATCAGCATTATAATCACCTGATGTCATTGTTAACACCAGTGCCAACTCTATCACCATAGCAACTTCTAGTTGCCAAGATGCAGGGACTCAGGGTGTCAGACATCATGAGGTGATTTTCAAACACCTTATTATGCCTCTCACACATGATAAGTTATTATTAGTTATCGACCTAACCTGTCTTTATCATCGCACAAGTACAATGGAACAATGTGATAGCACCATTAATTTAGTCAGTGGGATTTGGCTATTAAAAATTACACCTTGGTACCAGGTATAAACTTTAATTATTAACTACAGTAAAGAGGTGTGGATGGATCACCTCTCACCTGAAGTGGTTTATACATGCCACCTTTTTTGTGTTGAGTGCTTTATGCCTGTCTATGTATTAGTTTCACAACCTTTAGTAACTTCCCCTAGTTCCTGGTAAAAGTCTACCATTACAGTGTAATAACACATGCAATGACATATTTGCAGCTCGGTGAAACAGAAAACGTGATTAAATTGGTCCTTTTGCCTTAAATGACACTGTGACAGGACTCAAGGGAAAGATTAATAATCCTTTTCCAGTAATTGGAAAGAACTGCACCAGTGTTTGAGCAGGAAATCAAACACATCTATTCCAAGAGCTATCTCTAGTATCCGTCTTTTTGCATTCATTAATTTTCAGACAAGTGTGGAGTTTTGTTTTTTTTTTTCCTCTTTTTGTAAAACATCTAGTCAAGTTTCTGTGCTGGACAACCAAGTCCTATGCATGGAAGTTCCACCTCATAGCCAACAAGACTTAAATGATTTGCTGCCTACATTGGTGCCAGATAAAGCAAACCTATAGAGCTCTGGGGGGGTCCATGTCAGAGCTTTTTTGGCCCTGACCATAGACTGTATGTACTATGGACAACTTGGTTCCGCCTTCTGCCAGCATACGGATTTAAAGCCATTTTTTTCCATTTCCTGAAACCAACATTGCGCAGTAGCGTTGTATGCACTCCGCCACTTGCACAGTAGCAGTGTTCGCATTCGGCAGGAGAGTCGCCAAGAGTCGCTGTGATGACGCTCGGCTCAAACAGCGTATCCCCTAGGTAAGCTACACAATCCTTGTACACCCATTGGCTGTATCAAGTGTCAATCATAGAAAAACATGAACCCCCCAATAACTTTCTTTTATGACCTATACTGCAGCCCACCGCCAGAGGGTGCTGTTCTCGGGGTGGCTTCACCCAACAAGGAGGCAGACGCTGTCCATTCTATATACAGTCTATGGCCTTGACAAAATAAAAAAGGGGGCGGGACAGGTTATCATGATGTTATGGTTGATAAGTGCACAAACCCAATTTGTGGTTTCAATCGGTTTGGACCGCCCACAGGGTCTTTGATTGGCTCTGTCGCAGGGCTGCTTTTTGTGTGTGATTGGCTATCCCTGCTGTCAGTCATTCCATGCCCGCCGGACTAGTGTTTTGCAAGTTGCTCGTGTCAGCAGAGTCGGCCCGTGAACATCGCTATTGGCTGATGTAAGTTTACAAGAAGGCAGCGTTTATTTTCCTTTCATAATGTCACATTCATCAGAGGTTTTTATTTACATCCCTGTATCAAGTTTGTACTTCCATCCTCCCACTGTGTGCAGGATGTGTTGTTTGCTAGGCTATATATATCTGAACAGTACTCAACATTAATCAAGTCACATGTGTTCCGTTTGAAATCAAAATTTCATCCATGGATTAGTGTATATCTGCAACAAAATTGTGTTTTTTTTTTATCTTAATTCATTTATTCAAATAAGCCTAAAAGTATAGAGTATAAGAATGTAAACTGTGACAGATTTTTAAAGTGATTTGGTTTATTGTTTGGAAATTGCATACCCATCTGTATGAAAGCTGAGAAGCTTTCTGGGCTGTCAGGAAAGGAAACAACGGGTTAAAAACCATGACAAGCTCTCAATAGGAGTTTCCATAGCAGAACAATCAATACTGCTGGTTCAAACAGAGAGAGCTGAAGTATGACAGTTATGTGTTTGTGTGTATGTGTGCGCACACGCTGAGACGTGACTGACTCTGGATTTGACTCAGTTCAGTGCATAACAGCAAGAAACTGAGTAGTGGAATCATTATTTTGACAGTTACAAACCGTCTCCACACAAGCTCACAATATCACGAAACACACTCGTGCTCTGATACACACACACACACACACACACACACATTCTTGCACACACAAGTACAAAAGCCAGAATGTAAACAGACAAAATCACACAAATACACTGCAGAATAACAGTTTCTTCATAATGAAGTAAACATCAGATGATTTTTTTTTTTTCCTGTGTAATACGCTGTATGTACGCAACACACACCCTCGCAATAATGTGCACACCCATGCAGTCAACAGTTGAGTTCATCACACACGCAACCTCCCCCAGAGGCCAGAGTTCTTAACCTCCTCACAGTCTGCTGGAGCAACACATCGATCACTGTCCTCTGTAAAGACAATGAGGCGAGAATGAGGAGAGGAGAGAGCACAGTGAGAGGGGGAGGACAGGAGAGGTTTACAAAGCACTGTAGAAGCACTGTGTGTTTGACCTCCTGCATAATCAGAAAGCAATTTGACAGAGACACTGAGTTTTATTGTGTAAACGCTGGCTGTCGTGGAATTCTACCGCATGCCTCACTGTAAAATGAGAAACAACCACTGCAGACATTAGCTTCAGCAGCTTTACGATTACAACTCTCAAAACAAAAGAGGACATTTCAGCGCTGATTGTATTAATAGTTTGGTAAAGCATTGTGACAATGAATAAATGAAATGCAACAAATATAGAACAAATAGTATTTCAAAGGTAGGAAATGCTTAATTGAAAGAGAAATGATAACTTTTCTGTAACTGATTGTGTGTAGAAGTGCGTTGTGAATTTTGATGGGTATTTGAACCAAGGATATACAAACCTGCTGCAGAAGCACTGGAAACTGTGAACACACACAAGCCAGTTTTGGTTTGAACAGCTCAGGACTCTCATGGCACCTAGTGTACAGGAAGTGATTTTTCGTTTCTTGTTTATTTCAGAGTTATTAAAGTTACATGATTGGCTGTTTTGACTGACAAGCAGGCACCCCATAGCCAGTTGTGAGGAGGCTACAGGCCTGTCTCTGATGGGTTGAGTCAGCATTTTCAAGAGTGCAGCCACTGCCAATAGGCTTCAAAACTCTGCTTCAGAAACAAATGAATGACGTCACCATCCTTTTATTATACAGTCTATGAGATTCACTTATGTTTTGACTGACTTCTTAGGATTAAGGAAACTATTAATAATGGTGAACTATTATTGACTGACTCTTAGATTCTAAAAGGCTTGGACTCTGGGTTCATTATGAATTTATGAAGCAAAATTTCATATTAAACTTATTAAATTTCCATGTACATGTCACACCATTTTGAGTTTTTGGTAAGGTGTGACATACATTAAAAAGTGCATGACTTTGAATCTTTACGTTTTGTTAATAATTGTGAAAAAGTCGGTTGAAAACGTAGACTGTATATAGAATGGAGAGCGTCTGCCTCCTCAATGGGTGAAGCCACTCCGAGAACAGCACCCTTTGGTGACAGGCTGCAGTATAGGTCATAAATCCCGCCTCTCTTAAGCTTATGGAGCTGTGGACAAAAGTCTGTACAGCTCCTTTTTTAAGGGTTGTTAGAGGGTTCATGTTTTCTATAATTGACACTTCATACAGCCTATGTGTGTACAAGGATTGCGTAGCTCACTCGGGATACACTGTTTAAGCCGAGTGTCATCAGCGCGACTCTCCCACCGAATGCGTATGATGCTACTGCGCAAGTGGCGGAGTGCGTACAACGCCACTGCGCAATGTTGGTTTCAGGAAATGGAGAAAAATGCGGTATTACCAAGAGCTTGTCGACTTCAAATCTGTATACTGGCAGAAGGCGGAACGAAGTTGTCCATAGTCTATGGGTGAAAACAGTCTGAAAATTTTTGGTGCATCTTTATTGCAGATTGAGTCTGAAGTGTAAGTTACATCAGGTTTTCTATCCCCCTTATGTGTTTAACACCGACCTGAAAAGGTTGTGTGTTAAACCATCCTCACACTGACCTAGATTTCTCATTTATCCTCTTGTCCAGCATGACATGATCAAACATTTGATCAGGCAGTGGGGTGAATAAGAGAATCTGAATAAATTGGCAAGCAAAAAACAAAATTTTGGACTGAAATTTAGTAACAAAAAGAGAAAAGATGATGAATATTGAAAAAAGTAACAATTCTTTTATGAAACAGGGAGAGCAGACTCAGAAATAAGGCAAAAGTTGAGCAGAAATGGTACTAAGGAAAAAAGCAGTCGGTTTCACAGGGTCTGGAGATGTATTTGAAGCATAGGGCGAGCAGAAACACGTGGTCGTTTAATAAGTGGGCACTCCTGAACTTAACATTTCAGGGGCTGACACCTGTGGAAATGGTGTTCAAACACTTCCTAGCTGCCAGGCCTGCTTATTTCAGGACACAGAATGCACCAAAAGACCTATTTGTTAAAGTCCTGTGACACCGAAATTGGACTTTGAAGTGGTCGACAGGTAGCGAGAAAATTTAAGTCGAGGATTTTGTGGAGAATGGAGGGTTAAAGAAGTCAAGTGAAAAGAGTGGTAGAGAGAATGAAGTGACGGAAAGAAATCAAGTTTGTCCAAGGGGTTCATTGGCCAACTGTTGGAGACCAGAATGAGAGTGAATGGGGAGTATAAATCACACTGAAAGAGAACAGATTGGCCAAAAATGCAGTTAAGCAAACTGAGAAAAAAGATGATGGAAAAAAGTCAAGATGGGTACTTTTAAGGAGAATTAAGTATGCAAAGAAACCGAGTAGGAATTATATGCAAATGTATAAAACGATAGTCGAAATGCAACAACATGTCGAGGGGAAAAGAAAGAAAAAAAAAGACTCAATGTCCCTGCAATCACAAGTTAATGCATCATCAAATTAGATTATGATTATCACACTCATTAAACTCTCATTATTAGCGTCGCAAACACAGATGCCACTTTATTTGTCTCACTCATGTTTCCTCTCTACTACATTGTATCCTAATGATGTTGTTTATGTAAGGAAACCAATCAGATGACCTCCCAGAGCCAAATCCCCAGGAACTTGGAATCTGTTAAAGAGAAACTATCTACTTGTAGCTTTTCAGGCAACTAATAGCATATGGCCTTGATTTACAAAACCATTAAAAGTAAGAAAGGTCTTTTTCAGATTTTTGAGCTACGGTGAGATAAGGTGCTAGAGAGGGCAATAGACACGAGCAAGAAAATGACACCTTTCTATCATGGCCAAGTAAGCTGCACCAGTCACCTTGAAGCCAATGGGCCAACAAAAGGAAAAAAAACGGAAGAGAAAAAAACAGACACACTGGAAAACGATGTGAAAAGAAAAAAAAAAGCAGATCCTGGAGACTTAGCACAATGAAAAGAGAAAAAAGGGCATGAATGGAGAAAACTAGTCAGTGGAAGCACATCTCTATCTGAGAGACTTGGCTAAATGAGTAACTTTACTTGGTTATTAGCAGAGAGACCAAAAAAACTAAAATAGTGGACTAAGCAAGGGATTAAAAAAAGTTTGTATGCTGAACTAGAGTCCTTAGACTTTGAGGGAGTTCTGTTGCTCAAGAAGAGGCATTCAAAAGACTAACATCCCTGAAATGGCGACTCCTGGGATTCACGACAAGGCTTTGCTCTAAATAAACACCAATGGAAGTGCTTAGAAAGGCAGTGACAGCCATCTACAATCCATACGAATCTATAGACTGCACCAAGAGGTCTGCAAACGGAATCTTGGCTTTGGCTGCTAATTACATTTAAGTGGTCAAAAGAGTTTTGTTTTAGGGAAGTCTAAGGGCCAATCCCAATTGTACCCCCAAGCCCTTGTCTTACCCCTCAGCTCTCGGTTTTGCGCATTCACGTCAAGTAGAGGGGTATCCCATTTCTCTGTAAGGTTAATGGAAAGGGGTAAGGGCAAGGGGTACACAGCCCTTGAAACTAAGACAAACCGGTACCTCCCTTGAAAGCAGGGGGTATAATTTTGACATGATTGTCAAAGTAGTGACATGTTTTTTTTTTGTTTTGTTTTTTTAAATCAGATATTCAATCCTTTGCTACTCCACATAAATATTAGCTATATTTTGAATTGTCTGCGTTTTGAAATCATGCATTATGACTGACTATCTTACGAAGCTATAGCTATTGAGAGCTACGCTGATGTCAGACTTGGATGATAATTTCACAGCAAACGGCAAGGCGTGATGACGCAGCAGGAATCGAGTGGTGTCTCATTTCTTAGCGGAATGTTTTTACCCCTTCCATGAGGAAACATGCCCAATTCAAAAATCTTGATTTAGGAGTAATAAGTAATATGCCCATGTTGGAAAATCCAACTCTTACTGGTCATGAAATTCATCTTTAAAACTAAGGTACTAAAACAAAGATGTCCATCTTCTTCTGGATATTCCTTGAAGATTGCAGAGTTTTGCTGCCTGGGACTGGTAAAAACATATAAGTTTAGTTTACTTTAATAAGGCAAAATTTATGAGAATTCCTTTGTAATTTCACATCTCTATGTCAATAAGCAAATATCAACATTTACCATACAATCCTAGGTACAGGTTGAACCTGTATATAAGGTGCAATCTGAACTTTGTTTCTGCACAAAGGCTTCCTTTGCAGGAAGCTTTTCATTGTGTTAATCAATGTACGGTTTCTATGCAGATGTGTAGCTCTTTCTATCACCATTGTCACATGTAGAACAAAAACAAAGGGAGGACCCATTCAAGCGCAGACTGCAATAGTTGAATAAACAAAAGGGGAGGAAAAAAAAACTTTAAACTTAAGAAACAAAATGCAAATCCAAAAAACTGCAAAATTAATAACACTCCAGGCAGAAAAAAAAACAAGAATGCACTGGGACAACACAAGGATGTGAGGTAGGGCTGCACACACATGGACACATGGGCGACATCAACAGGCTTAGATGATGAACCAACAAGTAAGGAGGGGAGGAAACACGTTAACCAGCAACTTATACAAGATCATTCTGCTGCTACTGGTCTTTAGTTGTCATTGAGGAGTTTTTCTACTCAAACCAGCACTCTACAAGGTTTATTTGTTAACAAGTAGACCACAGTTTTCTTTAAATGCATGACTATGACCTAATGAGGGAGGAAAGTGTTTTTAAAAGAAGTGGCGCTGCTAGACTCTTCTTCACTGTGTACCCAGCATGCTTTGTGAATTGAAAAAGTCTATGCTTTTTCAAGAGATGCCTTCTGGGCAAATACTTTTAAATAGAAAGCCTGCAACTTATACTGGTTGCAATCCACTTTTGGAATAACTCAAAAGGTATTACAAATATGTCATTGATGAACTAATTTTGCTTTATCAGTCAGACTGTTTCACTTGGATCTGACACGATACGAGCAGTGATATCCATCAAGAATGATTAGAAATATAGATTTAGTCTACTCCTCTCATGATTTCTTACGTGGATTAAGCACAAAAGTAAAACTGGTAAATGACGGGTCTGGAACTTTTGTATAGAGGAACATGAAGCTATGTAAGAGAACAGAGGAAACTGTGGGAGTTTCTTGTGTTTGCGTAGAACTGACATAAGTTGTTTAACTTTACTGAAAACATGATGAGTCTGAATAAAAGTAAATGTCAATTTCAACTTCACTCGATAAATTTTGCTCGAGTCTTATTCCGTATTTATGAAGAATCATTGTGTGTAATAGTAATGCAATAATTATGGTCAGTATCTCGGGTATGATCCATGCATGACTACTTTTCAGGGTCATAAGCGAACCATAATTGGACTATACTGAGAAAGCATATTTAGCTAATTCCCAAGCTGTGGCTGGAAGATGTCTGCCTATCCAGTATGTGAAGTGAACTGGAAGACATGAGACAGAGGAAAACAATCAGGGACTCCATCTGTCAGTGTGCACATCTTCTCCACCTCCCTCTTCCCGGCTCCACTTACAGTCCTTGAACACTAGCAAACATACTAAGTGATCGTGACAGCACTTATGCCCAGCAGGAATGTGCTTTCTCACTCCGCTGCTTTGGCTATATTGTAGATGATGAGCTTGAGTCACTTCAGATTTTTAGGAAGGCGCCCAGGGGGAGCGGCAGTGTAAAACGATCCCTCTCTCCCCACCGGCAGTAGAAGATTAGTTCCTACCCCCTGCCTGAGCAATGGGCCCAGGTTTAGCTCACTCTGCTTTTCTAAATCAATTATACTACCTGCTAAATCAGGCTCTTACGCAAGTACAAACAGGTTTCTTTGTCTCTCTCACATTTTTTCTGGCTTATTCCTCCCCCTTATGCCATCTCTTGCGTGTCACTTCCTCCATTATTTGGCTTTTCCACCTTCTTCTCTGTTTGCCCCCACTTTCACTCTGGTTAGATAGTAAAAGGCAAAGGTGCAGAGGTGTGGTGCTAGTGCCATCTTTTGACTAAACAGAGGTTGTGATAGTGTCAGAGTGACACCTTTCTGTCCATCCCTGGAGAAGATATAGAGGGCCATCATGTGAGCGCTTCCCTGCATGAGTGTTGGTTTCACATTTATTTATTATTCTTTGAGTTTGAATAATCTCTAAAGAATTGGTGGCGAACTTTTTCACCCCACAAAAACCACAAAGGATTAAATCAATCAATAGATTGGGTGTCCATCCTTACCTTTGTGCCAATTCTCTCTTTTCCTTCCTTTCTCCTTTCCCTTCTGTCTCTCCTTTTCCAATTCCTTCTGGGGTCTCGCTTGCCGTGATTTAAAATCTTGTCGCCTTTGTTTTGATGTGACATTGAATTCCTCCTCAGAATGTTTAGTGGTGTGCTCAGCTGCACATCAAGGGAGACTAAACATGATACGCACAAATGTACCCTCTCAAGAAAACTCACTGCAAGCCAACCTCGTTGCAGGAGAGGAGTTTTTTTTTTTTTTTTTTTTTTTAAACTTTTTTTCACCTAAAGAGCAGTGTTGGTGGTGATAGTAATGTTAATAGTGCATTGAAATTTTTGCATAAATCCTTCATTTGAATTATGCTCATTGGTGCAGGTAATTGAGATTATGTTGTGATGTACAAGAAGAAATAAACCACTGTTCATTTTGCGATCTATACTTAGAGAAAATGCTGAGATTACACTCATTTGCTCTCACACGCTGACTCCCTTAAACACTTAAATAGTTCTTTTGATTTGCTTACTTTGGTTCTCCATTCATTTACATTCACTTCTGAACGACTCAGTTTTTATAAATAAAATCAAATACCAAAACAAACGGTGTAACTTTCAGTACATAAATCTATCAATTCTCACATGCACACAAACTTTGTTATATTTTGTCCTCTAAAAACATACATGACTGGAAAATATGCACACCGGTTAGCGAACTCTGACTCATGTATACAACAGACGGATTGGTGACGCAGTTTCTGAGTGAGTGAACTTACGTCAAGCCGTACTCTCATGCCTTTTATACATGAAATTCTATTAAACATCAATAAAATGACTACCCCGTGTCGTCATAATCGCTAAAATCAGCATGTTCCAAATTCACATGAGACACTGGGAAGCAGTTCCCCGTAAGCTGTTATTAAAAGATAAAAGCAAATCTTTAAGTCCACCAAAAGTTAAATCAGACGTGTTTCACCTTCACTTTTCTCCTAAATGTAGCTCTATTCTGAACCGGATGGTATCCTTACATAATGGTCAGGTGTTGAAATAAAAAGTAACGCAATCAAGGAGCTCAGTGTCAGTGATGGTACCACAAACCTGTAATACTGTGCAGTATCACCAAATGTAATATTTTATTTCAGTAAAGATTACAGAGCAGCAAACACAGAGCACATGGAGACTCATGCATGCAGTGAAAGTTATGCCATGAGCAGATCTCATACAATAATCCTATATATATGTACAGTTGAAACCAGAAGTTTACATACACTATATAAAAAGGCACATAACCTTTTTTTTCCTCACTGTCTAACATTAAATCAGATAAACTTTTACTGTTTTTGGTCAATTAGGATTACCAACATTATTTTTATATGCTAAATGCCAGAATAATGATTTTTTATTGTTGTTTTCTTGAGAGTCAAAAGTTTACATACATTTCATTGGTATTTGGTAGCTGCTTTTTAGTTGTATGACTTGGGTCAAATGCTTTGGATATGCGTCCAAAAGCTTCTCACAATAGTTTGCAAGAATTTGTCCCATTTCTCCTGACAGAACCGGTGTAACTGAGCTGAGTTTGTAAGCCGTCTAGGATTGAGATCAGGGCTTTGTGATGGCCTCTCCAAAACATTGACTTTGTTATCCGTACGCTACTTGAAACCAGTTTGGCAGTGTGCTTAGGATCACTATCCATTTGGAAAACCCATTTGCACCCAAGCTTTAACCTCCTGGCTGATGTCTTGAGATGTTGCTTCAGTATTTCCACATAATGTTCTTTCCTCGTGATGCCATCTATTTTGCGAAGTATACCAGTCCCTGCTGCTGCAAAACAACCCCACAACATGATGCTGACACCCCCATATTTCACAGCTGGGATGGTGTTTTCAGGTTGAAGCCAAACCGGCCATGATAAAACCAGCACGTTAAAACTTACATTCAGGGATCAAACTTTTGTCAAATAATGTTGTAGAGAAAGAGGGGCCAAGATGGCTGAGTAATCGAAGCCCTGGATTCTATAAACACAGACACCCGTTAAAAATGGTGAATGATGGATGCACAGGCAATACTAGAGACTACGTGGATGCTGCAGAGCCGTTTGTTGTTTCTTTTGTGACCCTCCCGCTGTGAGAAACAAGCAATGAAAGCTTTCTGACCTCCATTTCATTCAGAAGCACCAAGATTTCTGTGTCACAAACTTTGATTTTCCTCTCTGTTATTGCTGTGATTCACCAAGAGCCTTTGATCCGCCGGCTCATTGTATGCAGTTTCATTTCTAAAGAGCTTCACATTGGCCATCATTGTGAGAATGAAGGCCAGATGAGGGCAGACTTGATTCTACACAAACATTAAAAATGACACCTGAGCTCATTACAATTTCTAAACCACAAGAAGTCAAGAATTATATAGTCGAAAGAACAGTCTCGTAAATCTTTATTATTACATCTCATGGGTGAAAACCTTCTCAGTGATATAACCGGCGTCATCGGATAAAGATCCACAAACCCTAACCCTGAATAAACTCCACCTACATCGTAAACCTTTAGCTCAACACACTGGGCGTCTAATTCAACATAATGCCAGAAAAAAAGTACCACTGACAAAGTCATTACACCTCAGAAGACCTTTGGATATCAATATTTTGACCAATCTGCTAAACAGATGTTTGAATATTATGCTGACTCCATGAAAATCAAGAGCTACTGCAGGCACCATTAGGAACTTGTTGATCAGTGGAGTTATTAAGAGCCATCCTAAGCACTACAAAATGCCATTAAAAAGATTTTGCAGTCAAGGAGCTGAGGCATCAGCCTGGACTAAACTCTAAATAATGGAACAATTACAAGCATTACTATCCATTCAGCCACTACATGAATTTGGCAGCTCACCTCGGTGTTAATGACTGTTTCACTCCTCAAATTCAAACTGCTCCAAAATAGTCACTTATTTAGTGTTATTTATTCAAGTTTATCTTAGAGGTAAAAATGGATTTGGCATGAAATTAAACAGATTCATTGTACTTTTTCAAAATATTCATCTGGTCCCTAACACAAACAAGCATTTCCGTATCTTCTTTTTAAAATAACTCTTAATGTAATGGCTTTGCACTAACTTTAATGATAATGATCCAACAATCACTCATGATCAAGCAAGATGGATTTTATCTGAGAGCCACCACAGTCTGTGTTAGTTGGTTGTCATAGCACAAATGATTTCTTGTGAAAAACACCATCAAAGTCGACTAATGCTGCACATGGGCACGTGGGAGACATTTATTCACATAAAGCTTCTTAATTCACTTTCCCCACTGTAGAGCATCATTAAATGACAATGAAAAGAAGCATGCAGGCACAGTCTGAGTGATTTCATTACACTGTACAATATGTGTGTATCACATGGGCTCATTAGTCTACTTAGCTTATTGATTTGCATAACACTTTGCACATTATGCTTTTTCAGAGCACTTTAGGTTTTGGATTAGACTTAAAACTCCCACTCTGAGCATCTAAATCTCTTACTCAAACATGCAAAGGTACATCTAAGCAACAAAGCCTAATTGGCTTAAACTTATTTATTTTTAAGGCTCTTTTTCTGCATTGAATCTAAGAATATTTTTTATACCGAACCTTAAATAAATCCTTTGATTAGGAAAAGAAAAGAAGTTCTAGCTTGTTAAGGCTTTTCTTCATTTTGGCGAGACAAGGGGAAGTTTTTGTTTCTGCATCTTTAATGAGAATCGCCAGAATCTCAGAAATTGAGGCTTGACTCTCTCTCATCTTTTTTCCGTTTTTTTTAAATGATTTTTTTTAATTATATTTTTTATTTTTTCACCAAGGCTCGGGGTTGTTTTCTTAAATCTTCAAGTTCAGAGTCTAGGTTCAAGTCATGGTACTCTGTAGTGTATAGTACCTCCTTAAAGGTCGTGGTGAGGTCCCCAAATCATCAAGAACAGTGTAATCTGCATAAAAAGACATTGTCTCTTTAACGGAGCAGGTGCAAAGGGTTAAATCCAGCTGTCCTTTTGGCCGATGTTGTTGGCAAACATTTAAACATCATGCAAGTATTTTGCTTAAAAAAGATCCCTTTTTGGCCATGTCACAAAAACACTCACAGCAATACTAACAGCCACTCAGAGGGACATTTTTACCATCTGCTGAGTGTTGGTGACTGTTGCTCAAACTTTTAGGAATCAAGCCAATACCCAATACTTAATTAAAATATTCAGCATTTTGGTCAACAATCTGTATTGACCTTTTGTGTTACAACGCATAATATTAATTCATTGGAAAATCTGCAACTTTGGCCCCACTTCTTTTTTTGTCTTTTCTTCTGGGTCTATTTTCTTCCATCACTTCATCTCAGCTGTTTTTTTTTTGTCGACCACACTCTCTGATTTGTTTGACTCACTCCTCATTACTAGTTAAGGTAACTGTACTATTCACTGTTAGTGGATAACTGTTAACTCATGTTAATGATGTTGAACATTTCATATTTGATCAAACATCTGACATTAAGACACAGGAAGAAGGAAATGAAAAAATGCAGCATTTTTTTTGGAGGGGGAAAAAGGTGAAAATTATTCCCAAAAAAAAAACAAACCCTTAGAAATAGTGAAAGTAAGCAACATGGAGTCTTATATGTTTCTGCAAGACTGAAGATTTGCAGCATCCTCTTATTTTGTTATCCCATGTGATCAAGTCGGTTCTCTTAATGGGAGGTCTGACCCTGAAAGCATGCACACTCTGACACAAACTCACAATCCACACCACACACAAACAAAAGCAGAGACTAAGCCAATGCGTGGAGAGAGAAGTGATCGATCTTTTAACTCAGAGGCACTTCCCCATTTAGATCCACTTCACCCTCAGGGTCAACGGAAGCAATAAACATGCTGACAGGCTACCAACACATGCTGTCACACACAAGTAAACATGTGCAACTTATATGTAAACACCTGCAGAAACCTAAACAGGGGAATACACAAACACGCCCACGCAAACACTTAGTCAGACATACATGACGGGGTCATTGCGGGTTTCCTGGTGACAATTGGATTCTCAGAAAGATTGTGGGTGGACTAATCAATTACAGCTCAGTGATATGTCAAAGTTGAGGCAACTGATTACAATTTTGTTGACTGAACAAAGAACAGATAGCAGTTACACAATGTGGTCTATACTTCTGCTTGTGTATATATATATATATATATATATATAAATATATGTGGAAAAGAAACAGGCCCAATTTACCAACCGTTTTACTAAGCTGTAAAAGTTAAACGTGCTTAAAGATAAGATAAGATGAGATACGATAGGAGGAACTTTATTGATCCCCAGAAGAAAATTCAATAGTCTCTGCTCATGAGAGTGATCAGCTGAGCAGAAAAGGTCCTGTTTCTCATTTGTTGACAGCTGAAGATGTAAGAGTACTTCATGATGTGTTCAAATGTCCGGTAGCATGGCCCTTGAAGATGCTCTCAAAAGTTGTCTTGGTCAGTGCCTGCTTGAGAAATCTTCTAATACAGTTATACGAACCCTCGGCTAAGATCAATCCAGTGGTGCCATTTCATACGGGATGTGAGTCAGGACTTTTCGGCTTGAGTATTGATCGTGTCAGTGCTTTGAGATCCATGCCTTTAAAAAGAAAATGGGCTTTTAAGTGGTTAAGTGCTGAATTATCATCATCGTTTTTATCTCTTGTCTGCATCGGTTTCGCTGTTTTCAATAATCGCTGATCTTTTAAGTCATGGGAGGTAGTCAGCTCCATCATCAACATTTTTTCTCGCTCAGCCCTTTAACTCTCCACATCACTAGCTTTGTATTCATCATCACATTGTATTTGTTCTGATTTTACATAACTATGTGTGCCTGCGTCTTTATCTCCATCTCCAAATTTCTCTCTTAAACTTTTGCCTCTTTCTGCAGATGTTCTTTTCCAGGAACAAGACACGTGCTTCTGACTCCAGACAAGTTTCAGACAGAGGCTAAATCTGGCAAACAACTACAGATTGTGACTTTTTTTTGTCTTTTTAAATCTGTTTGGTCTGTTATGCAATCAAAGAACTCCTTTGAAGCCATTACAGAGGGGGAAAAACCTATAAGGATTTCAGTTTCCTACAACCAAACAGAAAAATAGCCAGTTTATGCTTTTTAAAAGCAAAAAGCCCCCAATTTGATCCACATCTGAAGATGTTTTTCAGGAGCCAAGCCCTGATTATGTGTGCAAAAAAAATGACTTTTTTTTAGAACAAGGCTTTAATACAGTGGTGCTTATCTCATTCACTGATCGAATAAAAAAATAATACAGGGTATACTCAATAATAGAAAGTGTATAAAGTATTTATGAGTGCCAAATGTACAGTTTGTCTTTACTTTAGAGAGGGGTTGCCTGAGGTTCTCATCAAAAAAGAGGGTTTCTGGTCAGCTTCATTGTCAAGAAAAAGCCAGCAAGGAAGTTTGACAATGACTTGCTGCAGGTTGAGTAACTTTACCATGAAACTTTGCCAAATTAAGGAAAGCTTGGCCCAGAACTTCGAATACTAAAAACATTTTAAATCTTTTACTTTTGCTTTTTGTAGACTTGTTCTACATTCCAGTCAGTTGACGTAAAAGTCAACTCTTCCTCTCCAAACCACAATTCATAAACATCCCCTCTTGTATTCACAGTAAATCACATGCAGTTGTCAGTAAGTTATTTTAAGTCCTATTTTAATTTTTGTTTATTTCCAATCTTGCAGACTAAAACAGCTGATTGGTGTTGTGTCCATAAAAGAACAAAGTGGCCCCCTACTGTCAAAGTCAACCGTCTAGATATAGCAAAGACTTATAATGACATTAATGTCTGGGACAGTTTTTCTTAAAATTGGCTAAACTGGCTCATTAAATTGATCCATTTGATAACCTAAATTCACCAACCTGCCCTGGTCAAGGCTGGCCAGTATCTGCCCTCAGTTACAATATGATACCATTCAACTCGACACAATATAATAGGAAAAGATACAACAGGATATGATACAACGTGATGTGAAGCCATTTGAGTTGATACAGAGGATACAATCCAATATGATTCAATTTGACACTACAATATAGTGCACTGTATTGTTTCAGAGGTAAACTTGACTTGGACTTCAGTGCTGCACATGTTCAACTGCATCCACAATAATACTGATAGCAACGACACCGTCAAACAGTCTGGGTTCACCACAGAAATTCAACTTCAACTTTCTTTAACATGTCAGATATCCTGGAGTTTTTCATAGTAAGAAGGGATTTCTAGGTAAGTACAAATGAGGAGTGTTGACAAGAATCTCATACCGTCCTAGTTAAGCCATCAAGAAAAGTATTATTTTTAGAGGAACACACCATATGGCAGATCCATTTAGTATCATTACAAGTGGATAATTTGTAAATTAGCTATATGATGTTACCTTAACTCTAACTCTAATGTGGCGCTCATACCAAGCGGGAGTAAAATCATCTACTCGCTTAATATGCGCGAATCTAGACTTGTGAATGAAAAGTATTGACTCGCTTCATTTACACATCAACAGTAATTTCAACGGTAATCCCCGCCAGTTCAACCAGTGGGATGAAGTGATAGACAAAGGTTTTTTTACAATTTACAAGGTAATCCGACCTCCTCACTCACTCCTTTTTGTTCCGGTTTCGATAATTGAAAGAAAAATAATCATATAATTCGAGGCATCCACACATCGACTCAGTTTATCCTCCATTTTAGATACCAGTGAACAACCATCCATTTTCATACGTCACCCGGCAACCTTGGTGCTGAGTAGTTGAGATCCGCCCAATTCACGTCATTCACGCCGCCAGAGTCATAGGAGCGTCTAATCGCGTCTTTGCATTTACTTGACATGTAATTCATTTGTGTTGATGATTTTACTCGTGCTTGGTGTGTGGAGGCAGTAACTCTGTTGTCATGCATCCATGTTAAAATGTGTAGCTTACTCTCTCTCTCTCTTTCACATGCGCACACACTGATGAGCAAACTGGGAACGTAAAATTAGAACAGTTCCGGAGGGGGCAAAGTTCCCCCCTCTGTCTAAGAGCTGGGAAAACAAAAACAACACAGACACTGAGAAAACAGAACAAGAAGAAAAATATGCTTCAACAGCAAACCAGATCATCAGGACAAGTTGCTACAAACACCCCCTGCAGACTGAAAGCTTGAGGATCTAGTAACCACAGATAAGCTGCTCAACTGAGGGGAAGGAAAATGTGTCTGATCTGGGGCTTTTTGCTTTTTCTTTGCATCTGTCATTATCACTCTGACTTGTGGGGGTGTACGCACAGACACAGACGCACTGTTTTCCTGCTTTCTGTCCACGATGTGTTCTTCCATCTGGCCTGATACAAAGGTAAAGCTTTCACAATATTTATGCCTTTTTTTTATCCTCTCTTCCTGAACCTGTAGACAGTCCTTTGTTCTCGTGAAAGCCATCTTATAACACCTTCACCATCACCCTGTTAGCTTGAGTGCAACTGAGGCACAGCAGGCCCAATTCATCACACTCATATCATGTCCGCACATGAAAGTAAACAATGACGTAGGTTGAATGTGAACAAGATAGAACAAGATAAATTGAATTTGATGAGGCACAGAGAAAGATAGGCATGGGAGGAAAAAAAGGCTAAAAACTGAAAAAAAACCAGGCCATATATCTGTTCAGGTTTCTTCTTTATTGACTTGATTTTCCTGCCTCTCCCTCATTCAGCGTCAGTCCTGAGGCTCAACGATGAGTGATGTGCCCTTCCCGCTCTATCTCTACACACACACATTAACACACAAGTGACGGTGTTATTCCATTAGTGCTCTTGGACCTCAGTCATTGTCCCTTTCCCTGTCCTCTGAGGGAGCAGCCAGAACCGCTAGAGGGGAGCAGCCACCCGCACAACACGTCTCAGACAGATTGTTAATCAGGCAATGCTGTATGATATTCTGTAGCCGCTTACATCTCGCTCCCTCCGCGAGTAATCACCTAACAGTGTTATGCCGACGTCGCACAGGGTCAGGTGGAGGGAGAGCTGTTTGTCGATGTTAAAGAGACAGAGAGAGACGGAGAGACTTGGAAGCCGAAGAGGAAAGAAGACTAAGTGAGAAGCAGGGAGACAAATAGAAGAGAGATGAAACATGTTTTTAATAGCACTTGATCATGTGTAATGTGCCTTATTTAGTGTTATGATGCAGCTGAATCACTCTGTTTTTACTTGCGCGCACACACTGCCACATTATATATTGACATGCTCCAGTGCTTTAAGTGCATCAAGGCTTGAGAGACGAGGCAGCAGCAATTAACACCTCTCTGACATTTGCTTCTCCAGCTGTGGAAGGGGGAATAAGGGAGATGAGCGGAGGAGAAATGAATGCAATCCTTTCACAACAAACTCACTTCTGAGTATTTATCTCCCTCTCTCTGTGTCTTCATTTTCTCTGAGCTCTAAATGACCCTTATGTTTTGTCTGTGTTACAAAAACACAGTGATTAGAAGAAGGGATTTAGAGTTCATCTTTCTTTGGGCAAGCTCTCCTCTTTCTATTTTTCTTCCTCTGACACATGAACACATGCGCAAGACGATGCAAATAAAGATGTCCCCCATGAATTGCATTTTCTAATTCTTGCCTAATGACTATTGTTGTTGTAGACAATCAATATGGTGCTTCTTTGTGGGCGAGCAGAGAGGCCAAGCCGGGCTGCCCAGGCATCTGCTGCTCTGTCTGTGCTGCAGCCTTTCCATCCTGTAAATAACACTTGAGATACACATACACAAACAGGCATTTTCTCGTACGGTCGACTGAAAGCTGCTCAGCAGTGTGACAGCTCTCGTTTAGCCACTTCAGTGTCCTGGAGTCCTGTTTCTTACAGCAGCCACATTTGGTTTTCTTATATGAATATATATTTCTTCTCGCCTACTCTGGGTGGTATTGTGCCTCTTCAAGCTTGGGTCCTCTACTAGAGGCCTGGGAGCTTGAGGGTCCTGCACAGTATCTAAACTGTTCCTAGGACTGCACTCTTCTGGAGTGAGATGTCTGATGTTTCCCCAGGGATCTGTTGGAGCCACTTCTCCAGTGAGGGGGCAACTACTGTTGCCTTCACCTTCCAGGCTTTCTCTATCTCCTATTTGAGCCCTTGGTACTCCTCCGGTTTCTCGTGTTCCTTCTTCCTGATGTTGGAATCGCTTGGGATGGCGACATCTACCACAACAGCTTTCCTCTGCTGTTTGTCTACGGTTACAATGTCTGGTTGGTTCACCATTACCATTCTGTTGGTCCGTATCTGGAAGTCCCACAGGATATTGGCTCGGTCATCCTCCATTAACTTGGGAGGTGCTTCCCATTTTGACCTCGGGGTTTCCAGTCCATATTCTGCACAGATGTTCCTGTACACTATATTGGCCACTTGGTTATGGTGTTCCATGTATGCTTTTCCTGCCAGCATCTTACATCCTGCTGTTGGTGTTGGGCTGTTTCAGGGCCCTCTTTGCACAGTCTGCACCTAGAGTCTTGCCTGGTTTGGTAGATCTGGGCCTCTATTGCTCTGGTGCTTAAGACCTGTTCTTGTGCTGCCATGATTAGTGCCTTGATTATATACATGTATATATTCTGTGCTTTGGCGAAAGAATGAATCAAAGTTGATAACCGCTTATCAAAATAAAGTTTAGGCTTTGTATCTTAAGATAATACTTTTTTTCTGCCCATCTGGCTGTGAAACCAACAAAACAAAACAAAATATGAGGACGGATAGATTCAATCAGCGCCAAACTGACAAATAAATCACTGCTGCTGTGTTTAAGATGCATAACTGAGCTACAGCATGCCTCAAGGGACAGAATTGCTTTTTAAAAGCACTTTGTGAAGAATTTCTAAATGGTGTTTATGAGTTTATAGAAATTTTGATTTACATAGTATCCCCTCGCCAGTAAACTAAAGTTATGGTAACATCTGTGCAATAGCAATAACATATGAATGCATGCATTAATTCAGTTTTTGTTTCATAAATGTATGGAAAAAAACTGAACTGCTGATTCATAACTGAATTGAACATAGATATCATGTTTATTAGTCTTTATTGATGAGGTCAGGTCCTGCAATCAATGTAAAGATACAAAAGAAAAGCAAGCAAAAACACATTTTACTGATACTCATATGTCAAAGAGAGGTTAAATTAGGTCTAGTGAACATGAGCAGTAAAGTAATGACACATAATAAAGGAAGATGAGTTTAATAGCCTGATTTCAACAAATTTATCCAATAGCTCTGTTATGTAGCTCATATCATGACTTTTCAGTTTACTTTACATGTGTAAAGAGCATGAGGTACAAAGATTATAAAAGAAGTCATGGCGTTGTATAAAGAGTAGAATAAGACCATGTTTTAGGGGTCAGGGTGGAAGAATGGGTCAACAAACTCACAACTTTTATCCATCAGGTGTAAATGTGTGAGACAACACAACATTAGTCAGTATTGATGTGTTTACATGTACTCAAGGGGAGCAGATTTAACCATTGAGCCCAATAGCCTGTCATACAGAGATGGCAAAAGTCACCTGATAGTTGTTTTCGAAACCCTGTCCAAAACTCGTACAATGCAACACCATTAAAGGCATGGGAAAAACTTAAAAGCACACTGAAATTGACCCACAAGGAACTTAAATTGCAAATGACACGCATGTCCTTGAAAGCAACACACAATTCCTGAGATTCAATTAAGCACATTTAGCAAAACAAAACAGATGTACCGAACACATCAAGGGTTTAAAGTTAAGAAGCATAAACTTAGGATGTATTTTTGCAGACCAAATTGAGAGTAAGAGGATACAGCTCTGGTTTAATGGACTGGATAATGATTAATTAATTATTATTTCCTCGGAGGGAGAGAGGAAAATAAAATATAGAGGAGAACAAACAGATAGAGGAGAAATGATGGGTAATACTTGTACACTCTGAGAGGGAGAAAGAGACTGAGATGGAACTGATAGTGGTTAACTCGGCTACTTCACTTCTCTCTCTCTGCCACCTTCACTCAGTGTCATGGCCTTCGACTTCTGAAGAGATGCTAATGCACATGTTACCAGAAGGACATTTCCACCCTGACTGTCCTGAGCATCCACTCTCAACACTCCTCTCACTGTCATTTCCAGCTCTCTGTCACCACGCCGCCCATCACTCTCTCGTCCCTCCTCTGGCTGATTTCAGCACACTCGTCTGTTCATGGCTGTAATCTAACTGCATCTCTCTGTCACTCTGTATCCTCCAAGAGTCTCTCTCTCTCTCTCTCTTCTCTCTCCCTGTCTTTCTTTCTATATCTTGTTAGGTTAAACCCCTCTGGTCAGTTTGTTTCTCCATTAAAGAGTCTCATATGCTAACACCAATCACATAGATTTTTTGGTCAGCAGTAGATTGAAGAAAACGAGAGAAATCCGAGTTGAAAATGGCTCTGATGCTTTAACTTATTTATTTCCTAAAAACCTAATGCACTCACTCTCAGGGAGTTCTCGCAGAGGTCATCCACAAAAAAGTGGAAATAAGAAGTGCACATCACCAAGATTATGTCTGTCGACTAAAATTTGTATGCTTTCGAGTTGCGCATTATGGCACCGGCCACGGGCAATTATGGGAGCCAGAGATGACCCTGTTGGGACAGAGGGTTTGGAGCCGACCAGTGGGCAGTGAACACAGTTGTCAAAGCCATAATACAATAATTTATGAACCCGTCCTTATTCATTTGCTGGCTAGAGACAATTAAACAACTGCTCACTCTAAGTATGCAATACTTCAGAGTCACTGTGAGAAGTATTTGTGTTGTGTTTGTTCTTGAGGCTCCTTCTGACAAATATTGGTAGGCCTGGTGGATACTACATGTTTTCTATAATCAAGAAAACAATTATTATACAATGCATGGTTAATATTCAATGTATCTATTTGTTGATTTGTATAATTTACTTATTTATTTATCAAATTGGAGGAGGATTCTCTGCTAAGTGCTTAGCGCAAGTTAAAAAGGCCCATGAACCCATGAAGTGTTAACAGTAAAATTTGAAATGTGCTGCTTTGTTGTAATTTCTGCTTTCTTGCAAGTCTGAATGTGACATGCACAAAACTTAATTCTTTTGTCCCCAAAGAACAGTGAAGCATTTGCATGCCAAGGGAAGAATAAAATTCTGTTCGTAGCCGTTTTTTTGCTTTTAACACGCAAAGCCCTGGTTGAAGAGTGTCTCTGTCTAAAACAATAGTCTGATAATAAAATGTGCGTCCTGCTCCAGATTAGCTATGAGTCAAAAACACTATGAAGAAATATAGAAAAGTCCCTGATAAAAAAAAAAAAAGAACTCAATTTCTTACAGCCAAGCATTTCCAGAAGAGTTAAAGCTCCGTCCCAGTTGTACTCTGAAGTCGGAATTTCCAAGCTCTGAGTCAGAAATTCATCTGGAACTCCCCCCTGAAGTCGGATTTACGACTCGGAAAGTTGGACGATCCTCACCAACCCTGACTTGACAACAACGTCATTATCCAAGATTGCAGTGCAATGCATCAACAGTTAAGAGTAACAGTGAAAGCTCTCGTAATGTATTATTTATCATCGCTTCCTTTTTGTTTTTGTGAGATTTCTTAAGTAGTATATGTTGAACTGCCCAACGTCTAACTGTGAACACGGTGCTATGGTGTTTGTAAGAGTAAAGTACTGTGTTTTGCGTTGTTTACAACTGGTAAAGCTAACAACAGCTGACAACAGCTAATAACAGCTGACATCCAGTAACAACAACTGACAACAACAGCTGACAATTGTAAACAACAGCTAACAGTAGGCATCCATCTTGGTTTTCCAACTTCTTAACTGGAACGTTGCCAACTTAGGTGTAGCATCATTCCCAGCTCCGACATCCAAATTCTGAGGTCACTGGAATGCAGCATCAATGTATATCTGTCTCATGTGGCCATTTAAGGAACTACACTTATTGACATTCTGACTTTTCCCGTTTTTTTTTACGTCTTTTGTGAATCACACTAAATTGCCTTGTTACTGAGTGTAACAAGCAAATTTCCCTTGCTCTGCCTTGCTTGGATATGCAGCCCCCGCTCTAGTGTTCCTGCTGTTTATGTAGCGTTTTATAAGCACCATCTCTCTTCTCAGCATCCACCTGTGTGGTCCCTATCTACCTTTACCTATGGGGGAAGTTATAATCATCACTCCTTCCTCCCTGCTGGGGGGAGTTTGATGCATCCCTGTGGGGGAGCGATGAGGTCAGAGCCAAGACACTCAACCTCAAAGCCATTCACACTCTACATTCACAAAATAATCCATTCTGGGAAAGCCAATGGGCTGAATTAAAATTGTTTTTTTTAACCGTGACCATATCCTTAACCTTAGTTTAATTTGCTGTGCATAGATTTTAGAAATAAAGACAGAAAGTGGGCACTGAATGTTTAACAGTTTTGTCACTTTACAAAATCTTATGCCAAATTCTTCGAACCCAACATTTTGTCTAATAATAGAAGATGCTCATTTGCACACACACACACACACATATGCAATCCTTTTGCATGCCAAGTTTGTGTAAGTGACCTTTAAACAGAGAAGTTAGAAGCCATTGCTGTTTTAAACTCTTTATCCACCCACTGTTTCCCTCATCAGATCACTGTTGCAGTCCAAGGGGGACCTCTACAGGCCACACGAGGAACAGATCTCCTCAAGCACTGGTGTTAGATTGAAAGTTGCATGCTTAAAGGCGTCCCACTCAGTCACTGTCACAGCTTGTGTCTATCTGTCAGGCATGAACTCACTGCTTTGGGTCCTCTGTCACACGCTCGCATATAGACACTTGTCTCAAACATGGTTTACACGGTTCAAATACAAATACGTCGCCATATATAGACGCAAGAGGGGGAATGATGTGAGTGTCAACACTAAATATCAAAGGTATGATCAAGCAGAGAAGGGAAATCGATAAAGAATTATGTTTCTACATTTGAGTGAGATTTATTTGTGGCATCCGTGCTCAATCAATGACCTGTTAGTCTGGAACAGAGCAGACATACTTCCACACCACTGTCAGGTGTTTGAAAAGTCCCCGCTGGGCCACATAGTGATTAATAGCACTTATGTCAATATCAGCAAACTTATTTTTTGTTATTTTCTCATATTGCTTCCCTCACAGTTATGGATTTAGTGAAAAAATGAAAAAAAAAAACCACTCTCTTTTCATCCGTCTCCATTTGACAACGGCATGTGTTTTTAGTGCTTTATAGCTCCAAAACCTGAGGGCTGGGATGTTCGTAAAGGTTGTAAAATGAATTTGAAGGGTGGTAAAATGATTAACGGAATAGAGGGAAGAAAAACATATTTCTCCTTCACTGAATCATGCTTATTTTTCAGCCTTTTTTTACCGGGTAATTTGTCTCTTCAGGCCTTTAAATATTATTCAAATGAAACAATCTCAGAGAGAAAATTACTCTTTGGTTGAGCCGCTCACAGCTGAGGTGTCACAGGAAAGACAGGTTGGAAAACCAGTGCTATTATTGATGCTGTTAGCGTGTACTTAAACTCAGCTGGCTTTGACGAATTATATTGAAGATAAGGAGACTTAATTTATGACTCTACAGAAGGAGAAGAGCCTCGGAGATACTGCCGTGTTTCTACACTCTCAACTGAGTGATGAGATGAATCATTTTCCTGCTGTTGTTACAGTTCTTAGATGCAGATGTACCAAAAAAAGAAAAGTAATAATAATCGTACTGAGACCCTATTTCAGTTTGTGGTTGTTTGCCATTGTGAAATGTAATAAAAGTCTCACCCTTTGAGTTGTTTGTGAAGTTTGCAGGTTGTTCTCAACTTTCAAGAGGAGTACTTTACTTCACCACAGGTCTTTCATTAGTGTGAGCTGGAATAAAATGACGCCGAAAAGGGCATGATGGTGCTTTTTAAATGAAGAGCTCGCTTTGATGTGAGAGGAGTATGTTTATTTCATAATTAGAGTATGATATTTGGATATTTTTGTGGAGTTTAATACACGCTATCACTGGTTTGAGCTGATTTTCCTTGACTGTGTTTGACATTTGCCTCCTTGGTTCCTCCTCTTCTGTTTTGATCCTTTCACCTCATAAAGCGGCGTCTAAATTAGAGGTTACTAAACAGAAAACACCCACAGTCCGACTCTATTTTCTGCGGCTTGCTTTTGTGCATCACGACTTTGACTGCTCGGCCTCTTATTTTGTGTAAATATAGAAAATGTATCCTTGAATTTAAAAACCAGAAGATGGATTCATGACTGTTGTTTTACAAATTGCCATTACGTTTTCTTTTAGCAAAATCTGAAAATGCAGGATATTTAATTAAACAAAATTAGTGACAAGGCACTGCTGTGTTTCTACGCTGGTATATGTCCCCTCTGAAAAACATTTGCTGGAATGAATGTTATTGTTGCAAAGGTGAACAGAGGAGCTTGAAAAAAAGCAGATTGTTCAAGATTAGGTTATATAGATTTAGAGTGGGCACTTTTCCTTTATTTTCAGAGTCACAAATACAATAAGTTGGGAATCAGGAAAAAAAAAACCTTAGTATTGGTCAAAACAGCTTTAAAACTGGTGGATGCAAACCACACTTCCCAACAAAATAACTCAGGGCTTTATGAGGGTGAGTGCTGACACAGGTCTCCAGATCAACCAACACATCATTTGTCATCAATTATTATTGGCTGCTGTGTGTGGGGACCGGCCTGATTGTCAAACTCCCAAGGAGGTTTCAGTGTGGCGTATTGTGTTGTTGTACAGTGCATTGAGCTGATATCGACAAGTGTCACTGCCTGGTCTGCTCAGAGCTGCAGAGTTCTGTAGACATCCCCTGCTGTGATCTTTAAACTTGATGTTTTGCCGACTGTTTGGACTTTAATAAATAATTTAAGAGTGTTTGTGTGCAGATTTGTGTGCATGTGAGGTTGTGTGTGTGTGACCATGTTACACAGCCTTGCATCAGTTTATGCCTGTGCAGCACTACAAAACAGACCACTTGAATTTAACTCTCACTTTTATATTTCCCTGCCTGAAAAATATCTCTTTAGCTTGTGTAGCCCTTTACTGCTCTTAGTCCAAAGCACTTTCTCATACTCCTTTATTCCTCATCTCCCTAACTCCCACCCGTCTCTACTTTAGTCTTAAAAAAAAAAAAATTGCTAGTTCTTGCATTTCCAGTTTGATAAAACACTTCTTAACATGATACTGTTTGAACAAAGCTATGGCGTAATGTTTTAACTTTTTGTCAAAAAAGACCTTCAACGGAGTGGTACATTTTTTTAAACCTACAACCTCATGTGACTCATTGTTCTGCTTTGGTGATGCCTTTTGACAATGATATCTTGGTGTTTTTAATGTTATTAGCGGTGTCAAGATAAAACTATATATATTTGCAGTTTGTTTGCTTTTTTCTATGTTATTAACACATGTGATTTAGCCTGGCTTGTGACAGTAAAGTGAGCTTTTAAATAAACAAACATATCAGATAAATTCAGTCTGATATCAAAAACATATCTGGCAAAATGAGTCAAGCTGAAGTTTTGAGTGCAGGAGTTGTAAGTTACATGTAACGACAGAAAACTATAATAATGATAATGCATCAGATTTCATGTAGGGCTTTATTAGAGACCCTCAAAGCGCTTTACATTGGATACGTCATTCATTCGCTCACACAGTCACACTTTGGTGGTGGTAAACTACCTCAGTAGTCACAGCTGCCCTGGGGCAGACTGACAGAAACGTGGCTGCCATTTTGCACTCTCCAACCACCACCACCACCACACAACACTCACAATCAAACACCAGCGGAGGACACACACACTGGGAGCAAGGTGGGTTGAGTGTCTTGTCCAAGGACACAACAGAGAAACTCAGGATCGGGGGGAGTCGAACCGCCAACCTTCTAGTTATTGGACCACCGCTCAACCTCTTGAGCTACAACATCCAATCTGTTTGTTTCAGTGACAGAAGGAAATGGGTAACACGTCTGTGAACTTTAATGTGCAGATTAAAGCAGCCAAGAAGAGCAGAACAACACAGACAACATGATTTTTTTTTTCAACTTCTAATACCATATATTTCTTGCGATTCAGGATCCAAATCTCAACAACAATTTTGAAAGTCTAAAATCAAAATACTTAGTCATGGGGCTGCAATCGAGAAACAACCACTGGCAGTGTTTCTATCATGTCCAACAAATACAAGTGAAAAGCTGAAAAATCCTTCCTATTACATTTGACCCTGTTTACTGATACAAGGAAGAACATCTTGTTTACACCTTCTCCTTGTGTCTGTTCACACTGACACAGTGATGAGCTTTCAGGCTTCACTGACCCTGAGGACTATGATTACTGGCTTAACCGTCATCAGTGGGTTTCATGTAAGAGGATATCAGAGCAGACATAGAAGGCCAGGAGGCATCAGATACCTCAGTGCTCAGCAGTCAACTTCATTAAAGCCATGCTGACCCATTTGTCATTATAGAAACAACGGTACAAAGGTAAAGTGCACAGTAAACGGACTAAATATCATCCAAAAGTTCATTTTTTCCAGGTACGTTTAGCCCAAAAGAAAATTTTCAAATTATGCGTTCATTACAAATAAAGTAAAAGCCATTTTTTTTGTTTCAACTCCAATAATTACAGCTAACAGCTCATGAAATCAGAAATCCTCTGTCTAAAATCATCAGAATATCTCTTGAAATAATTTTTAAAAAGGATTTTCAATACAAAATAGTATGTTTATACATTCATTCAGTACTTTACCATGAATTACTGTATTACTGTGGTGTTGTATGAAGGTATCAGCATGTGGCACTGCCGAGGTGAAGCTTGGGCTAAAGTTGTCATTGAAATTATTCAGTGGTAGTTTTGGCATTGTGGGCAGGAGTCAAGTCACACTGAAAAATAGGTCCCTTGTCTGTAGAACCTTCACACTGGACTCCACACACCCATTTAAAAACATTCAGAGTAGTCAAATAAAGTCCCGTTCATAGCACAGCAGTATTTTTTTTCCCTTTAACACAGATCACAAAAGATGGCAAGGTTAGATTGTACTGAAGAGTGTATTGGTGTCCCACCAAATTAAAAAGTCAAACTTTCTACTTTTTGCTTCTTCACAATAAAGTCCCTCGTGAAAAACCCAACACTTGGTTTGAATGTATTCATACTACCCAGAGTGTTGAAAACTTCGAACCCTTTTATGATTCCTTGGAAAATAACCTTGATGAAAGAAACAAACCAAACAAACTAACAGAGAACACAGAAAAATGTGTGTTAGGATAAAACAGCAAAACTTCAGTCAATGAAAACTTCTTTGTGTGTGTGTGGAGACACTAAAGTGTGTGGGATATGTGTGAAGTTTCAAAGAGTATGAAGGTTGATGTGCCTTTGCAGTAAAATAAAGTAACAGAGGTTATATGCACTGTCGCTGAAAGCACACTTCCCTGTCTTCAGTCATCTCACCACAGCGACAATACTCATCACCCCTGTCTTTAGATAATCTCCAATATGTCGTCTAATCACAACGTTGCCTTGAACTTAACTTTGTATGCACAATTGTGTCCTAATTGAGCATTTAGAGGTGCAAAGCAGGAGAACACTAAGTTACCAATCAAATTGTCAGTCCTCTTTTTGGAGGAATCCAGCTTGCATTAGATCAAAATGCCTGCTCCACCTTCAAACAACAAGTTTCTAAGGTGATGAAGAGGTTAAATCATAAAAAAAGCCTCTCAGTTTGTTCAAGTCAATAACAGTCTGCATTATTTACCAACAAAAAAAATCAGTTTCTTTCAGTGATTCAGAAAAGAAAAAAAAGATTCAAGATTCAAGCTTTTATTGTCAGTTATTGCAGTATGTGAGTACAAACACAGGAATCGAAAAAGATGTTTCTCTCCAGCTGAAAATACAGAGAATGATTGAAAAAAAACACAAAGAAGGAAGTACAATACAGTAGGAGAGTGGTGATCTCTATTGTGCCTGCTTTGTCTATGTATATATAAAAACTCCTTTACATATGCACCCTATACATACACATGCAAATACATATTCACACATGACCTAAAGAGCAGGTGGTTGTTGCCATCTACAGTACGTCTTTGATGTAGAGAGCATGTCAACATTTAGCATTTAAGCATTCATGTTAACTGTGGAGTTGTAGTGCAAAGAAAGACTACACAGAACCAAGTGATTCTGAGTTTTTATTTATTCATTATAGTGCATTTATTATGTATTTAGTAAGGGTTGAGAGGAGGTTCAGAGTCCAGTGTTTTCAAGGACAGTAGAGGCAGGTGGTGGGGAGGGAAGATAGTTCAGCCTTCTAACAGCCTGGAGGGTGAGGCTGTTTATAAGGCTGGTAGAGCAGGCCTGGAGGCTCTGGTACTTTCTCCCAGAAGGCAGGAGGCTGAACAGGCTGTGCAAGGGGTAGCTGGACTCCCTCACAATGCTGATTGTTTAGGGTGTTGTAAATGTCCAGGAGGAAGGGAAGTGAGACAACAATGATCTTCCCAACTATGTTCTCTGTGTTTTCTGTTCTGTGCAGCTCCTGAACCACACAGTAACACAGCTAATCAGGTGCCTCAGTAAAAGATGCACATGGGGTTTGGTTGCACTGTTGATGGTCAGTGGTGGGATGATCGGTGTGGCCTCCTCTCAAGTCCATAACAATCACCACGGTTGTATCATCAGCAAACTTCACGATGTGGTTGGTGCTGAATGTTGGTGTGCAGTCTTGGGTAAGCAAAGTGAAGAGCAGAGGAGTATGCACATATCCCTGAGGAGCTCCTGTGTAATGGTACTCAGGGATATGTTGCCGACCCATAATGCTTATGGCCTTTCCCAGATGCACAGTGAGGTTTTGAGTTCTAGATTGTATCTTGGTCGACTGGTTGGCTTAGTATGTAAACTGGAATGGGTTTGGTATAGAGGGGAGGATGGATTTTATATGACACATGACTGACTAGCCGTTCAAAGCACTTCATTATGATGGGGAGTGTGACAGGGTGGTAGTCATTGAAGGAGGTTGGAGTGGACTTCTTTGGCGGGGGTATGATGGTGGTGGTTTTGAAGCATGCTGGAACAACAGCCTGGCTCAGGGGAGTGTTAAAGATATCTTTAAAGTTATCTTTGAGCACCTTTGCGCAGTCATTCAACACATATCCAGGAATGTCATCTCGACCTGCAGGTGTTGAAGGTAGAGAGTGTCCTCTTCACATTGGCTGCAGACAGATCATAGAGTGGGAGTGGGGTCTTCAGTGGATGTGTGCTGTTCTGTGCTTCAAACTGGCTTCCTTCAGAAGATATAATGGATGGCCATTTAATATGATTAACTCCACCAGGGGTGAGCAGTGTCTACATACCACCACAGAGTCCTGACCAAGGGTTGTTGATGCAGACACGCACTCCACCGCTGCAGGATTCCCCCCTGAGCGCATGTTAGCTGCTCCAGCTGCACAGTAGGGTCCAGGATGTTGTCATTCATCCATGTTTCTCTAAAAGCAAAAACGCAGGAGTCCCTCACCTCGTGCTGGGCAGACCCCTGCTGTTGTACTTGATCCAGTTTATTGCCCAGGGATCGAACATTAGCCAGGAGAATCGAAGGAATGGCTGGACAGCTCAAGTTAGCTGCTAACCTAGCATGGATACCTCTATACCTGCCACTCTTCTGCTTCCTCTCACACAACGCTTGCAGTGTCTCAGATGGCAAGGTTGACTCCGGTGTGGCTGCAGGCTGACGGTGTAATCCAAACTCCCTCAGAGTTTCCACAAGTGTGTTGGACAAAGGGTTGTCCAGCGCACATCTGCCAATGTCTAACAAAACCTGGTGACTGTACTTGTGTTCAGACACAGATAGACCAGACAAACACTTCTACGCAAGAAGCAGTCATATGACAAAAACACAAAACTATCAGGACAGAGAGGGGCCGCTGCGTCCACAGACCACTATCTTGGAACAATATTGATCCTTACGATAATGAACAATGATGATCCTTTCTTCCTCTCTCAATAGCGCTCAGTTTGTTGCGGTTTGCAGTAAAAACATTACAACATGTCCACTAAGCTTCTATTTTTATTAAAATCAGCAGTGTCCATCTTTTCTGAGCACTTCAATTCCCTCTCTCGATTTAAAAAAAAGCCCTCAGAAAAAATAATAATGCTGATGCTCACGTTTTCTCGGTATGTTTCAAATGGCCACATTTTCATCAACAGCACTCAAAGAAACTCCTGAGAACTGAAAGCTCTCGTGATTAAAAGGCACCAGTCAAACATCTTTAGTGCTTTTCTTCTTTTAACCTTTTTTCTCTTCTTTTGCGAGTCACAACCAGCCATCTCGTTTCCTTATCTTGCAAATGCTCTAGAGAGTTATATTCAACTTTCCACAATATTGTCAGTAAACCATCCTGAATTTTGTTACCTCTCTAAAGTAACTCACCTAACTCCACCCTGTGCTTCCAAACCCCCTCTCCTATATGATCCACAGCTTTGGCAGACGTCCTTGATTGCAATCAGGTTGCTTTCTGATGCCGCTCTGATCTTCTTTTTCAGGCATCTCCAAGACGAGTCATGTATCTTCTTCTAAGCAAGAGCTAATTCCCAAAGAGAGGAAACTTCCTTTTATTGGTCTTGATTTATCTCCTCTTTCTACCTGTGTCTGATGTTAAATTAGTTCCATATTTAGGTCCCTAAAGCCTTTTCTAAGTTTTTAACACTTAGGACTTTTATTTTCACAGTTTCCTTCATTCATGCTCCCAGTTGAATATATTGCTAAATCATCCCTGTGGGCGATATTTCTGCAGAGCAACTTTTTGTTTAAGGGTATAAAGTTTGTTCAAGTCCTTGTGTGACTTGCCTTCTGGCTTTTCTGATCTGCACTTGACCAAATATTTGAAAGGCAGTGATGGGTTTTGGAGGCTTATCTGAAAAAAGGTTAGTTAAACATAGAAGGAGAGATTTTTTTTTATTTCAACATACACTGTTAAACCTAGGTATCTTTCCACATCTGTTTTTGGAAAAGAAACACAGCTTTTTGAAAGCTCAGTGAACATTGGGTTACATGTTTTTTGCAGACATTGACTGCACTTTATACCTGTTACAAAAACCAGGAGGTCTGGCTTTAAAGAGAGGGATACAGAAAGAGAACCAGAGTGAAAGAGGGATCAATACCTCACCTGGAGGGCTGAACAGAAGGCTAGCCTTTTCCTCTTCTAAGTGAACAGCACACCTCATGATGTTACACACACATCAAAACGTCAAGGACAGTTTGGAGCCAGTGTGTCTATGTGTGCAAGTGTGAGTGATACTCTGTAATGCTCACGGTGGTTGGACCAGGTGGCTTTCCAGGTGTGTGGGAGGAAGTAAGCCTTGGCAGACAGATACGATGGGCACAAGTTTCAAAGCGGACACACAGATACACAAGCACACTGACATGGACACATATTGCAGCCTATTGCTGATGAGGTGGTTAACTTCGCTCTCAGAGGATGAAGGAGAAGATAACCCTGAAGATCAAGCTATCAGTAGACCCACAAGCACTCCTTGAATGTGAACTACTTGTGTCCCTGTTGGCATGTCTCCTTTGCTTCTAGCAGTACTCATTTCAGAGTTAACTGTTACAACATTTTTTTTTCACTCGAAGTGATCTGTGTCAGATTGTGGTGTAAACAAGTCTTGATCCTGAGTGGATCAACGTGATCAAGTCTGTCTTAATTTAGAGTTATGAAAATGTGATTAGCAAAAATGACTCGATCCTCTAGAGTTTCAGGCTCCTCTTCACCTTCATCCACAAAGCTGTCAATGAGCTTTAACGCTTACAGGCATTACAGTCAAGCTCAGTTTAGAAACAGCTGGTGATCTGATCACTTCAGCTACACTGGTCCATAGCTTCCTCAAACCTTACTTCAAGATTCTCAGTCACGCTTGGCACAGGTTTGAGTCTAAGTCCTGATTTCTGAACGACACGAATCCATCATGCTCTGTCAGTGCCACACATATCAAAGGTGACCACCTTTCCATTCTTGTCATGATTGGGTTTTCTCCACAAGGAGTACTGCAGCATGTTCCCACTCATCCCAGGTGAAGGTGAGGGTAGGGTCCATTTTTGACGGGGCCTAAACCCAGCACATGAGGATACTGACCTGGACAGGGACTCAAACATAGAAAACAGCTTATAGCGTCCTGTCAACGCCACGTAATTCCTGACTTTATATCAGATGTATATAGAAAAGAAATACTTATTGATGAACATGTTGTAAACCACAACATAACAGCCATACCCATGATCTCTGATGACCACAACATGACATTATGCCGTTGACTTTGTCTGTAGTTAACACAACAAAGTAGAAAATACTTATAAATGTTGAACACAATTCAAATTGCAAAAAGCAAAACTTAATAATTATTAGGGCTGGGACAATAAGCTTTTCTCCTGATTCGATTCTTCTACGATTTTTTGGATGCCAATTTGATTTAAATTGCGATTCTACGATATTGCCGATTTTCTCGATTTTTAGTCTGAATTTTTAACACCAGTGAAACAGTTGAATGGTTATGATTGTCTACTGACTATTCCAGGAACCATATTTCCCTAAAAAATACACATCACATGTAAGTCAGTTTTTAAAATTTATCCTTAAATTTGAACAAAAAAAAAAAAAAAGAGATTTTTGAACATAAAAATTGACTTAAAAATTGTAAAACAAGAAATCGAAATACTTTTGTAAATTGATTTTTTTTCCCCACCCTCAATGATTATATATCATATTTACAACTGATAGAAGAGGTGTAATCACAGAATTATATGCCATAATCTGTTGTCAGTGTGTTATGTGTTTGCTGAGCTCAACTGATGGAACATAACACACATATGTGTCCTGTGGGTTTGAGTTGCAATATTCGGTAGAAGCCATGACCGAGATAAGAGATGAGACCGACTAGGCTAGCAACCAGCTGGTGCACTCGGTCCCTAAAGTTTTAGTATCCTAATAGGAAAACACAGGCAAAGAAATCAAAACAGTTTCAGAAGAAAATTCCCACATTATCTTATCTCAAACATGAACACACTAAAAAATATGATCATAATGACACATCATTCACTACATGGGATTTTTTTGAAATATAAGGCATCTATCCTCTGTCTGTAAACTTAAGTTGCATTACCTTATAAGATTTCAATTCATGCATTTCTATCTATTTTATTTGTGGTTATCTATTTGTCTTGTGGTTTCCAGACTTGAAAGAGTTGGGAAATTTTTCAGTTCTGATGAGTAACATTGCCAGCGTGACTTTCATAAAATGGATTATAGGGGCTCTATGGGACATATTAATATGATAATGATGTGTGCAACTGTGCACTAACAAAGTGACATGCATAAGTAAAAAGAAACTGAGCAAATATGAAAGATGAATTTTATATTTATTTGTTAAGCATGACACGAACAATCAACAAACTAACAGCGTATGTGTTTATTCAAGACAGAAACTGACACAGCGGGATCATAGAACGTACAGCAGAGACAGTACACAAACAACACTTCCCTTCCTTCTGTTCCTCTTGCTGCCATGCTTTTCACTAAAAATATCTTCAGGGCTTCCTCCTACACTATCAAACAGTTGTTTGTCCTCATTATCATAACTCATTAATCCTGATCAGACTCAATCCCACTATATTTTTCACTGTGCCTTTTTTCCCCCTTATTTTGGCTTTTTTCCTCCCTCTCTCCTTCTCTCTCTCTCACAAATATATTTAACAGAGAGAGAGAGAGAGAGAGAGAGAGAGAGTTGCACTTTCATTTGTTGCCCCCATTCATAATTCAAAGGGTTTGATCAGACAGAATGTTTGATAAGGTTTACAGTCTAAGCCTGCCCGGGCGGAGAGAGGGACATCACAGATAAACAGTCATCAATATACAGTATACATGTTTACTCTCAACAGATGGAGTATGAGGCGATGTAAATGTTACTACACAGCAGAAATGGAGGCATTAGGGCTTTCAAAGGCCTCAAGTATTACATTTTGGATAAATTTTCAAAAGTTGAACTACTTAAACTTAGTGAAGAAACACATTACTACTGATTTCTTGATGGTTTGTTACAGCTGTGTCTTAGCTGCTGCAACTTTTAGTCAGAGTAACCCCATACCTCTTGGATTCGTCCAACAGTCAACAAAAGTATGCTTCAATTTGTTAATCTTCATTTATCTACATAGAATGCATCATTGAGTATTTTTAGTGTATTCCACATACATACTTGCCACAAAGAAAATGCTGAATGCACCATGAACAGCATGAAATCTGTCGGGAGGAAAGACAGAAACCAAAATAACTTATAAATAAGAAAAATGGATATCTCTCATCTAGTCCTTGACATTCACACACTGTTACACAAATTTACTCAGTAGGGGTGAGTAGTAGCATTTACCACTGCATTTTACAGAATTGGCTGTGAACATTTGTGATCATGAAAACATTAATACCGGACACTGAGACGGAGAGACAGAGATAGCGAGAATACAAGTGGGAGAGCAAGACAGAGATTGATAGAAAAAGTAAATCCATCCCCCAAAATAAAGGCTAATCCAAACTGAGTCTGATGGATAAGTTGGTAAATTGAGTAAACAAACTCATCCCTCCCCTCATTATAAGGTGCTGAGAAATATCTTGTCAAACTAATGGAATTCAAAACAAGTCGGTTTGGTTCAGATGGGGATAATGTTGGATAAATATGAGCTACAGAGGGAAAGAGCAAGGGGTGAAGGAAAATATGAACAGAAATCTGCCCAGTAAATTATGATCCCAAGTCGATTTGACAGACTTGTAGACAAGGTAGCAACAACAACAACAAACCTGAATTGCAAAGTTCACACCAGATAATGTGCTGGAGAGGGAGCGATGGAGATTTTAAAAAGTAGGAGAAGAAATAGAGTCAAGGATGAAAGAGAGGAGGCAAAAATGGGGCTCGGTGAGTGGGAGGCTCGTCAAGAAACAATATTTGCCGCTTGAATTTGTGATAACAAGTCTATGCTTTGTGCTGGATAGACAGGTCTAAATATCACACAATACTCGGCCGAGTCTGTTGTGCACTGATGCAAAACACTTCAGGGAGACCTGGAGATTGGCTGGCCTTCTTTCGCAGTAGAAATTCTCACTTGTCTATTCTGTACTGCACATTTTTAGTTTGTACACGCAATTCTGCAAAACACTTAATGAGAGGGACTACAAACAAACACTGACATGTTTATTAGGGCTTTTTTATCGGATGAAAACAACATAACTGTGAGGAACAATGAGGCACCAATGCTCCTCCAATAAATCAGGAATACAAGATTAATTCTTTCATGTAGTTTGACTGATACTTTAGCAATGAAGTCATTTGAATGCAACCCTTATTTATATGTTTGATAACTGGTTACTTTTATAGCACATGCTAATGTCGCACAATCCTGAAGATATGCTTTTTTTGTTGTTGTTGTTTTGTTCATTTTAGTTTTGTTGTTGTTGCTGTTTTCCAGCGAAAAAAATCTAGTCTGGTGAAAGGCAACAGCCTAAAATGTCATTTATGGTAATATTTTCATCTATTTTTTATTGTAGCAGCTGCTGGTGTGCAGGCTTTATTTTTTCCTTTTTTAGATTTGATTCAATTTTAGAATTTAAAATGATGGCATCCACCTTTCTAGCCATAAAAGTAGAAGGTATTTCTTACAATCAGGCTTATAGTGGAATTGCTACTTTCTCAGCATTATTTTTATAGTATCCCATCTCTGTCCCAGGGGGCTCTATTACATATACAGCCTACAACAACCTCTGTCTTTAAACCCTTGCTTAAAATGCCTTGGATGCAACATCAAGGTCCAACTCTTCCACTGACCTTCCCTGATCACTACCTTGGCCTTGCAGAGCTAGCATAGTGGAGAAAGGACCAGTCATTGCATAGTTGTATCAATGATTTTTTTTTTCTTATTCCCTGCAGACAGAAAGTAAAGGTATAGGATCATAAAAATACAGGAGCATTTGAAATGCAATCAACTGCAGAATGTAATGCCTTTTCTCACTCTGGTATGTCCTCTAAGGTTTATGTGTGGAAAATGCAATGGGACCTCATCATGGAGTATTATAAAGAGTAATGAGGTTACAAATGGGACCAGTAGAAAAAACCTGGTGATATGGTGGATGTCTTGGTTTGTGATGTGGATGATGATGTATCCAGAGTCTCAGCACTGAAAGGATTGTTGCCTGGATTATAAATGCATTTTCTTTGCATCACTGATAGGTTGATTTTTAGGTGATGTTTAATAAAGTTAGCCATAGAGAAAAATAATGCTGAAGATGTTTGTGCAATTCAAGTCAACAAAATTCAACAAATGTTATTTCCACAGTGACGGCGACTAATCAATCATCGTTCAAGATTCATACTAAAGGTCCTTACACACCAGGAACGACGCAAATATACAATGTTAAATTACAAATTTTGAACCGCCTGACTCTACACATCAAATGTGATGCGATTTTGCGACTTTCTGGGGGGAAAAAAAGACGCATTCCTGGTGGAAGCGAGAAGACTGACACAACAGCAGACTGACTGTTTTTCAGTTCTGATTAGACACTAGTGTTGAGATGTCTGTCTGTCATCATAGCATGTACTGAGTCAGGGCCAGTACCAGATAAGAACATTAAACTATAATCCATAAACGTAAGGTAACAACTGAGACCTAATGGTGCTGTGACAGCAACTTGATTGAGTTTGAGACAGTGAAAATACATATGGTATGTTGTATCTGAACAGGTTAGCTTACGAGCTAAAGTTACTCAGCACAGATGAAAGTTAAAACAAAGACATTTAGAAAACTGTTAAAGCACACAAACCATCGTCATATGAGAAATCCGACACTTTGACTCTCCACAAGTTGTCCTTCAGGTCGTTATCTTTGTAATGTTTGTGTTTTTAATCAAAAAGCACTCTGTTCTCCGACACCTCAACAATCAGCCGGTCGGCCATATTGGATATACTGGTGAATCTGACGTCGCAACAACACGCAATCTGATTGGTCAGAAGTGGACACACAGTATGCAAAACTTTAGAAAATTCGACTGTGATACGAAAAAATAAATGCCGCAATGTCGCAGGAAGGGAAAACATCGCTGATGTGAACGCTTGTATTGACAGGATACAGGTTCAAAAAAAATGTTGACGTCCGAAATAATCGCACAAAAAAAAACGCTCTCAGTATGTAAGGACCTTTAACATCAAAATTATCATCATAATTATCACCATCATCATCATCAATAGCTTTATTGTCATTTAGTGCAAGGAGGGGTACAAAAGTGCTAATTCTAGAACATTTAGACTGATTTAAAAAATTGGGATTTTAGTTTTTTTTCTTTAAAGATCCTACTGATTTAATAGAATTCCTTCCACCACTGGGGACAACGGGGGAAAAGGATCAGATTAGTGACCCAAGGCCCAGGTGTGAATGGGAATAAGGCACCTTTCATTGGCCAAGCTTAGCAGGTGGGAGGGACTGATGACCTAGATGAGGGGTTGATAGGTTGCAAGTAGGCAGGAGGTGTTTTAATGTTGTTGTTTTTTGTTTTTGTTGTTGTTGTTTTTGAGCATCACATGAGTTCTGCTCAGCTGATAACCTTGCCTGCATTCAGTTGAAATTTTCCAGAATGGAAATCCTATTTAAACTTCAACAGCCTGTTTCATTTGTGCTTTGCAATCCTACTATTTTTAAGCACAACTTCAAACAATTGGATGCACAGGTCAACATTTTTATTATCTATTACAGTGAGGTGAAGTGAATCGTTCTTGTGTTCAAGTCTTTAGCTAAGGAAGATATGCATTCCTTCTTTACTTATGCTCCTATTCAATCAGCCTCTCCACCATGGTTATGATGCTGATCCCCTCCACAAAGTGTTTAGCTTACTCCATACAAACAATCCATGCATTTGTTGGAAAAAAACACTTTGCAGCCACACAGGTCTCTGCATCATCCAGCATTTCACTTTCTTTGTTTTACACTGGCCTTCACTGCTACAGCTTCTCTCTGTTAAGAAATCGTCTTAATGTTTCAAGGTTGCAGCTGCTGTCCTCACTGATCTCTGGTAAAACTAACAATCCACCATCACAGTCGCTTTGCATGGATGGTCAGATCAGTTAAACTGATGTTTAAATAATTGATTTACATCCTACATGTTAAGAGTTTATACCCTGGTGGGTCGAAGATCTCTAGCTTTTTGCTTTCTGATCATACTCCACTGTGATGGGTTGCAGACAACAATCTCACAGCTAAGTTTCCTTTTTTCCCCCTTTGTTATTTAGCTCCATGTTGGGCAGAAGTTCTGTAAGGGATGTTTGGAAGATGGAAAAGCTGGCTGTTATTGCTGAGCTGGGCCAAATGATCTGGATACCAAAAAAAAGAGACTGAATTCGCATAATTTCTCAAGCTGTTTTAAATTACTACCACATCTTGTGAGTAAAGACCGACTGGGAATTGTTTGCAATCTATTTTCACCGAAGCAGAAAATGAAACAACAAAGTTCAACGCAATAAAATGCAGTTTGAAAGATTTAAAACATCATTGTTTTAATGAAACTTAACCTTTGAGCTTCTTTACCTGGTAATCCATCAATATTGCTGTAAGACAACTTATCATGGTCTCATTCTTCTGAAATTAAAACTTAAAACGTTACCTGCCATTATGCTTTATAAGTGCAGCACCTCCAGTGTTTTTTTTGGCCTTTGGAGTTAGGAGAGGGTTTCATGTCATGGTCGTTTTGGAGTTCTTGCAGCTGCTGCTCTCCCTGCCTTGGTTTTTGATGGATGCAGATGAGATGGGGAGGTTGTGTGCTCTACCCACTCCAGGCTTTGGCTTTTCCACACAAGCACGTAGAGGGACAGAGAGCTCTCAGAAAGAAACCATGCTGCCAAATATAACTATTGCATAAAAGTAGTTAATTATTTTAATGAAAGTGGTTCTAACTGAACTAAATCCACTTTCTATGCAGCTCTTACCTACAAATGCATCCATCAGAGGACAAACAGAAAAACTTTTCATCCAAATCCAAATACCCTCTCTCATATTTGGCCATAAAAAAACAAGTGTTCCCAAGAAACCAAAGTTCATCCGCTGTATGATGATCCATGATTTGTGAAAAATTGGAGGCTATAGGTAGGATGTTTAATTCTGTGCTTTTATTGTGAAGGGGAAAAAGCAATGACGATGCGTATTACCATTCATTTATATGTGCCAAGGCTGTTCTTTTTCCCAACTGTGCTGGCTTTTGAACACAGAAACACATTAGCAGCAGAAAGCTGAAGAAAAATCTGTTGATTTCTCCCTCATTTATGCTGGGTCCCTTTTAGAGGAAGCTGAAAAAGACGGGGACATGTGGCTGTGGTAGAAAAGAACATATGGCATCTGCTCTAGTGGAAAACCTAATATGGGGTTGAGTATTGGCACCCATCGCCTCACTAGCATTAACATGCTGTCAGAGTTGTTCTGGCAGAACACTAAGTGGAGCACACTTGTCCAGCACAGTTCCCAAGAGTACTGCAGAGTGTCCCTTCCCACTTCCCATCCACTCTGGACCATGTCACCGGTGCTGATTTAGGGAAGCAAGAATAGTTACATGCTGGAGGATTTCTGTTTGTCAGATCTTCAGCCAAACATTCAGTTAGAAGTACTGTTCCAGTAAATTTAACACAAACATACCGCACACACAAAAAAGAAGTGAACAGCTGTGAGATACAAGAGTAGAGTATGCATAAACTGAAGGAATGTTAGCATTTTATTGAAGCAACAGTACATTAAAAGACACAACCATTTTTTTTTTTTTGTTTGTTTGTTTGTTTGTTTGTTTTTAATGAATTTACTTACATACTGCTCCAAAACAAAGAAACAACCAACCAACCAACCAACAAAACAAACAAAACACATCTACGACAACCACATTCAGAGAAAAAGAAAGAAATAATAATAAAGTTAAGCTAACAAGACCAGATTGAACCATTTCCTTTAAATAAACTATTAAAAAAATAATAAAATCAAAAATTTGAATTGTAAACAGAGCCAGATTTATCAGTATCCGTATTTATTGGTCTTCTAAAGGGATTCAGTACCGGTAGATTAAATTAAGACTAAGAAAGAAAAAAAAACACCTAAATGACAAATTGTTTGTCAATTAAAGGTGGGATAGACAGGAATCTGTTAAAGAAGCATCTTTTTTTGTGGTGTATATACATAAAAGCTTTTAATATCAGTCAATAGCTATTAGTTATTGATGACATTTGGTTATAAAACAATATCGCTGTGTTCTGTGATGTCTGTGTAGTCAACATTCAAAATTTTTTGAGAAGCGTGCTCTTTCTGACTGTGAACAAGTCCATTCTCCTGAGGCAGAAGCTGCTCCCCCGTGTCGTTCACGAGCCAAAACAGAGTCAGCGTGCTACAATATCGGACAGTACAAACCAACCAGAAAGTATGGAAAATTGTCTGAATCCTCTGTTAGCCACGACTGCCAACACAAGCAAGAAAACGAAGTTAATACCGGAGACTCTGTCGGAATAACAAGCGCTTAAAAAGGAGGTAGACCGGACAAGAGCTAAAAAGCCGGGTCAACATAAAACGATAGGGGACGCTTTGGGATCTTATCGACCCTGTAACCTTTCTGCTGGACGGGTAAACCGCTTTAACAAAGTAAGCCAAGTGTCTGTAACAGAAGTGTTTCTTATCGAACGGGACCTGCTGCATGTTGTAGCGCCGCTAAACTGTTTACCTCGGGTCCTGGAGTTTGTCCCTTTAGTCTGTTGGCATCTACAGTAGCACCAATGCTGTTTACTTTCACGTTGACTGGGCCCCATTTGTAATTATCTGAAGTATTTATCGGCATGATATCTGAATTTAACTGGAACGATACGAGTGAGCAAGTGCGTCTGTTTGTGGGCGGGGCTTGCTGGAGCAGAGAGAGAGGGGAGAGGAGGAGCTGAGGGGAAAACTGTTTGGGAGGGGTAGTGTTTACATTCAAGATTTCTCCCAAAAGCTGGCACTTCCTCAGATCCTGCCTACCCCACCTTCAAGCAACGATAATATGATAAATAAATACACAAAGATCCTGAATCTGAAGCTAAGTATTCAAATGTAAAAATAACTTATGAGAGAATTCCAATTCTTGTCTTTTGATCTCACGATTGCACTGCTTTTTCCTCCATGGGAACCTCTAATAAAAAGTAATCAGGGTTTGAGTTTCCATGCAAACCACTTTGTCGACTGCTGCAGTATTCTATCCTCTCCATCTTCGCCCCTTCTCATAATCATATCACTGCTGTCATTTATTACCATAAGACTGCAAATGTAAGTTTGTGACACCGGATAAGAATGCAATAAAAATTGAGAGCGACAGGAGCTAGCTGCTCACTTAAAGAGAAATAAAAAAGATGAAATAAAAAGATGAATGTGGAACAATACGGGCTGGTACGTGGCTTTGAAGAGCGATAAAGTATGAAGAGGGGTTTTACAGAATGTTAAAAAGCAGGAGAGGAGTGAAGGTTAGACTGCTGCTCTTTGACCAACTTTGCTTCTAATTATGCATTTCCAGGGTTGTAGACAACCTGCAACCTTGCAGCTCCAAGAGCAGAGCGTTTTTTAATTACTGCTTGACCTAAGATGGCATGTTGTGAGTGTGTGTAGAGTGTGTATTGGAACATTACTGTGCGTTAATACTGGTACTCTTCTTTGCATTTGTCTTATTAAAAACTAATAAGAGATGGAGTTGAACATTTGTGTCAACATACTGAGCAAATATGACTTATCCTTATTTGGTTTTGAATATTAAGATAGATTTTCATAAATGTGTGTATATCTGCATGTCCTGTACATCTCAAACATACACCAAGTGTGGGTACAAACAAGTACACACTTGAAATATTAATCCAGCTTTACTTTACACTATTTTTCAATTATATTTATCCTAAATGCATCACCATCCAAAATAATTAAGCCTGCTACTGCATATTCCACACAACATTTCCCTCATCATTAAGAGATGCTATCATGTGCTCAAATCAAATAATGGACATTGCCAATGATAGCAACAAGTTCTCTAACCCACACGTTACTCTCTACTTTGTGAGCGTGGTGAGAACCAAGTTATGTGCAAAAGGGCTGAAACGATTCCTCGAGTACCTCAATTACAAAAAATGATCAGTGAATTTTCACCTCCCCGAGTACTTGTTAATGAGCTCAAATTGTCACTGTTTCGCACAGATTATTTTCAAGGTGACACAATGCGCTTACGTCACCACGGTAGAGGGAGGAGTAAGCGCAGTTTTAGCTTTGCGGAGTGGAAAAAATGAATGACAAGAGGGGCTTTTCTTCCGCAGAGCTCCAGAAGCTCATTAGCACTTCGTCTTGGAGTCGTGGGCGGAGACAGCGCTGCTCTGCCCACGACTCTTTACGCTAGCTTGCAGCTTCCCTAACATTGCCAGTGTCGTAGCAGAAGCAGATACCATAGGAGCTATTCAGCTTTCGGACTTAAACATCTTTAGGGGCATGATGAAAGCTAATATCATAATAAGCTTTCTTACGAGCAGTGCAAACTGCTACCACACACGCTTGTTCCGCGATTGTTCCACGAGAATTGCGCTTTAACTAAAAAAAACAATGTTTTATCCGATTAATCGGTGGAATATTTGATAGAATACTCGATTACTAAAATATTCGATAGCTGCAGCCCTAATGTGCAATGTCCCCATGGTGAGGGTCACTAAAAAATGTACTTTTTATTTTTTTTGATTGATGATTTACTCCTTTCACTTATTTTGTTGCCATACAATTATAAACAGTTATGCGGATGACAGTTTGGTTGGTTTGTACTGACATGAGCTCTCTTTCAGATAGAGTGGTTTAATGCACCAGGAAATAACTGTAGCTTGACTAATAGACTACACAAAGGCAATGGCATTATATTCAAGATATAACATACAGGTTTTATATCGGACTCAAACCAGGGTCTGTTTTGTAAAAACCATGAGCTAGTTTGATCAGTTATTCTTACAAAAGTCATCCAAAAACTTGCCTTGCCTCAAAAACAATCATAAGAAAAAGCAGTAATAAGTTGCACAGAGGACCTCCACAGACACAATTTTGTGCTATTCCAACTGCATGCCCCATCATTTCTTCCTCCTGTTTTATAAAAAGATAAGTTCTACCAGCCATAACATTTTTCATCTGTTTCTCACAGTCTGGCTCGACTTTATGAATCCAGTGTTGCCGCTCTGAATCCAAGCTGACTGATACTGCCATCCTATGCAAAACAGCAATCTGTTTATAGAGTTATGGAGTTTTGATGGAGTAGTCCCTTGAGGAAAGCCAGATTTTAACAGCATGAATGACTTGAATAAGAGTATAAATGACAGGCAGGTGAAAATGGAAGAGTAAGGAGTGGCAGAGACATCCATAGCAGAGATTAGTGCAATTGCTTGAGTCTAAAAATCCATGGCGATGTCAGCGTGAGTGGCTGTAAATATAAAACGCTGTAACAGTTTGCTGATGCTGCGTTGCTGTGGACCTTTTAACCCCCTACAACGGCTGAATGATGCAGCTCCCTAGGAAACAAATTTCATCTCTGCTTGTCATTATCACATTAACTCTGCATCAGCTGTCAACAAAGGGCCGCGGCACACACACACACACATACACACACACACACTCATCGTCTTTCTTCTCCTTGACTAATCTCCAAACAAAGCTGTGAATGTTAGCCTCTAAAATCCTTTCACTTTGAATTTTGTTGAAAAAAAATCCCTGGAGGAGAATAAAGAAGGACGATGCAGGCGAAGAAAGAGATGAAGAGACGAGCGCTGGCCAACTCCTGCGGAGACCTCTTTGATAGATGCAGAGTTCTTCCAAAAGGGAGTTTGCTTCATTTGCAAATCTCTGTGCACGGGCTGTAGGCATTTTGTGCGTCTATATTTATGTCACTGTACATGCATGACTCATTGTGTGTACTGTATGCATACAGTAGGCTCGAAATGCAAACATCAGGCCTGTGAAGGGTTGCCTTTGTATCCAAAAAAACACTTTCCAGTTTTGCTTTTTTTTCATTCTTTGCTTATTCCTGAGTATAGGGCTCATTATCTGAATGTTGGAATTCTTATTGTTAAATCTGTCTTGTATCCTTAAAAGAGCCATTACATTACCTTGATGTTGTACGATACAGCAAATTAGGCTTACTGGAATCCAACTCTAATAAGATTAAGTCCTCCTTTCCTCCTGTTCAAAAAAAGTGCAAAAAGTGGGAGAGTGTACTGCTCTTTTGCTAAACTGACAAAAGCTGGGAAGTCCTGGTTTTACTCTTTCTGCATGAGAGAGAATTTAAGTCATTAGATTGCTGTACTTTGGGGACAGGCTTAAAAAGAATAGAGCACAAACAGGCTGAGCTGCATATTTGATTACAGCCTCTATACTCTGCTCTACCAAGCATCGCAGAGGAGAGGAGAAAACTGAAGAAAAGAAAACCAATACCGTTAATTGGAGAAAGAAATACAGATATAAGAGCAGTTATGGAATTACAGAATATGCATAAGGTGAGAAAAATGGCAAGGGATTGCAGAAATGAGAAAACCTGCCAGGGTTTTGCATGTGTTATGCTTTAATTGCATATTTTCCCTGTAACTTCATTGTTATGACTCAGATCACCTGAGCCTAGTTTGACTAAAGAAGCTCTAAATGCTGAGAGGGCAACCCAAAAAAATGCTGAACATACACACAGAAGATTGTCAGAGTATCATCGCATGGCATGAACTTCTTTGTAGCCGTGTCAAGACAGATGACACCAGATGACAAACACTTCAACTTACAACCATCAGAGTTATTATGTAACGCACCAAGCTTTCCTCTTGAGTTACCCTCTTGCCACAACAAATCCGGCTTGTTTAATAGGGTTTATGAATCTGTCAGCAAACCGAGAATCACAAGTTTTTAAGCCATGAGATGGGTCGGCGCAAAACACAGACCTAATATGAATGAACAGAAAGGATTATCTGGGCTTACTGGGCGACGGGCTAAAGACGAGACAGATCGCGTGTGTGACAGTCATGGTGGTCTCAGTCTTATCACAGGGGTGTCAGACATGAAATAAAGATCCTTTGGGGAATACTTAAGATGCCAAGAGGAACAATCTCTTCTCATAGTTACATCTAACTGACCTGAAGTGTGCAAACAACTCACAAGGCATTATCATAGACTGTATATACTACGGACAACTTGGTTCCGCCTTCGCCAGTATACGGATTTCACGCCGAAAAACTAGGTATTTTCGCGATTTTTCTTCACTTTATGAAACCAACATTGCACAGTAGCATTGCATGCATTCAGTGGGAGAGTCGCTGTGATGACGCTTGGCTCAAATGGCGTATCCCCTGGGTGAGCTACACAAGCTTCTTACGCCCATAGGCTGTATCAAATGTCAATCATAGAAAACATGAACCCCCTGTACAGAAAAAAAAAAAAAAAGAATTGGTATTTTGGTGAGTGCTGCAGCCCGGCGTAAGTATCCCCCTTCCCTGACTCTGCTCCTTCCAGCGGCATAAGTGGCAGAGAGGGAGGGGATAAGGTGTGAAGTGGGTTTAACACAGCCGAGTCCTGTTGACAGCAAGACAGCAATGATGATGACAGAAGGCGGCCCCTCAACAAGTGTCACTGTAAGCGCTGCGGCGAGCATGAAAATGTCACTGCGTCAGCTGATTCTGTTGACACCTCCCCCTACGGCACCATCATGCCCTGCTTGGTGGACCTCAGTGTGCCTCAGTCTACAAAAATACCAAACTGGCTGTTTGCCGGGCTCCACCAGATGAAAATACCACTGCGTGGGGTGCGCCACCCTTCGCTGCGCCGCCAGCGGGCATGAAAATAGAACCCTACATGTCAACATCGCAAGCAGGGGGGAGGAAAATTTATATTCTGTGTAATACATTTCGTAAGTTTGTCCACAGCTTTATAAGCTTTGCTGGAGGAGGCAGGATTTATGACCTATACTGCAGCTCGTCACCAGAGGGTGCTGTTCTCGAGGTGGCTTCACCCAGCAAGGAGGCAGACGGCGTCCATTCTATATACAGTCTATGGTCATTATCTGTATTTCTTGCATCGACCAAACTGCTTCAAGTTCATGATGGCTACACTGGCTTCCTCAATTTGGATCTATAGTGCAGCAATTTCAAGGAATAAAGATTTAAAAATGGGTAAAAGACATGCAATCTGTATTTGTGACGTATTAGTGTGGCATGACTAGTGTGGCAAAATAAGAAAAGTCATGCAGTTTTGAAGTTGGTTCATGGTGGAAAAACAACGTATAAATTAGCATCTCTGAGTAATAAGCACTATAGGAAATCGTGATATGCTAACAGACAACTTCACCTTCACAAGGACAGGCTGATCCGGCTTCTAAATAAGCAGCCAAACTGCCCCCCCTCCCTGCTCTTTTCGGTTCCTTTTAACTTGCTCTGAGGCTTTACTGAAAGTATCGGGTAAATTTATTGAGAATGTTTGCCTTTGATTCAGCTGTGTGTGAGTGGGTGCGCGTGTGTGTGTGTTACATTATAATCATGCCTCAGAAGTTGCCGCAGTGGCAGCAGAAGCCATAGACACAGGCAGAACAAGCCCCATAAAGGGGTCCAAATGGGAAGCCCTGAGGAGGTATTGATGTGTTGCTTTACCCAAAGGCCTCTCACCCAGGTAGGAAGGTGGCACGCCAAGCTCAGCAGTTAACCACAGTTTGAACTCAGGCAGAGACAAAGTCAATAAATCAGCAGCGGCATCTCCTGTGAAGGAGACTGGCAGCTGTACTTCTCTTCACCTTGACAGATAAATGACGTGGCTCAACTATCCCTTAATCTTTTCTTTACCTCGATAATCCCCCCTCCCCACCTTTTGTTTTGTTTGTCTCTTGCTGTGAATCTCACTTGGACTCTACGAGTTTCTCTTGCAACTTCTTTCTCCTCTCTTTTACTTCCATTCCTAATAATTCTCTCCGATCTGTCCTCTCATCCTTTGGTTATTTGAGGACATGGCACAGCTTTATGTCTCAGGCCACTAAAGGACTTTTAGAAGTCAGTGAGAGGGAAACTGACATGGGATCCCTGGGTTTCTACAAACACAGATTCATTCACACACAGCCGTGTTAAGCTCCTACATTCTCCACAAAGAGCTTCACTCCCACAAGGCAAGACGCCACAGAGTAAAAAACAAAGAAATGGAATGTTTTCTCTCCGTCCTCCCCTTTCCTTCCCCTCCACTCCTCGCCTCCCCCTGCTGTAGTCTTCAGTAGCTCTCTGCAGTGCAGTACAAACATGCAGAGTGATCAAAGAGACCAGGGTGTCAGAAGCCGGGGACAAGACGGACGTGTGTGGAAGACAAGATGAGAGACAGCAGCAGGAAGAGAGAGCTGTCAATCAGACTTTCAATCACACTTGGTGGAAGTTTGTATCTCAGTGGCATGACAGGGGACTTCTGAGCTTACCTGGAGGACCATCAGTGTCCTATCATACCGCCTGTTTTGATGAAACTGGCTGTTTTTCTTCATGCCTGTATGTCATACGACAAATGTGAACAAATATCCAAATCAATAAACAATAACAGTGAGACATGTCATTGATGCATTCTGTTTTAAAACCTACATAAAACATTAAAAAGTGATAACTAATTGACGGATTAAAAGTGTGTTTGTTTCTTGTTGATCAGAAATGCATTAATTTGGATATATGGTATAAAATAGGAAAATAAATATCTTTAAGCTGTTTTTAATTGAATAATTAAGAAATATAAAGTTAAAACTGATGGGTCACTGAAGAAAAATATTTTATTTGGTAAACTTTGCTTGATTTACTAACGCAGTCTGTAAACCCTTAAAGAGAATTTCCATGATTTTATTTATTTATTTATTTCTAAATAAAGAGAAATACATGTTAATATCCAAATGACAGGTTTTTTTTTAGTAGCTTTCTCCTGTCTGACTCATGGAGTCACAGCACCCTCTTCAGGATCCAGAGAGAAGTACATTTTCTGAAGTCCTTATAAAACAGTTTTGTGTGTGGGTGTTTCTACGTGTGGAGAAACAAAAACAAAGGAAGACAGTTACAGGGCTTTTTTTAAACCAAAGTTGATCTTTATTTGGCAAACTTAAAAAAGAGGGAGATCATTTATCCTGAACAACAAACAATCAATGTATTTACATGTTTTGTATTATCAAATACACCTTTGATACCAAATACATGAAATTGTAACAGACATGATACTTGATTTCACCTTCTCCTCTGGATTATTGATCTAAAGCATCAGTATTCTTCTTGTCTCTGTCTCTATCTCACTATTTCTCTGGCCATTGAGGGAAAGCCTGTCTGGGCTGGAAGTAAAATCTCAATATCTGTGGGTTACTGTTTACCTGTACTGATTCAGGGTGTCAATAATGTGGAAACACTTTAGCCTAGCAAGACACTGCCTTCTCAATCATCTATTTTTTCACTCATCAACAGTAAAACACTTACTACAACATTTAATTTTCGAGAATTGATATTGAATGATCATATTCACAGAAAATGTACACAACAAAAGTGCACCTTACAGTTTTTCTTCCCTTGAAGTGATGTACTGTGGCTCACTTTATAAAGGTTGTTCCTTTTTTACCTGAAGTGTCCTAAATCTGAGTCTAGCCTCAAAGATCAACACCGACAGCTGATGTCTGTGTTTCTTTGTGAACTTTTGTAGAGCCAAAAAAACTGCAAATAAAACTCATTATGAGAATGATTTTTCATACAACAAGTTTAGAACATACTATCGCTATGTGATTAATGTCAACAGTAAATCATTAATCAATAAATCATCAATTGTTTATCACTGGTGTACATACCATGGTTCTGGGTGGACATTTTCGGAGGACAAGTCAATTCAGCTGAAGGAAGGAAAACTGGTGAAGAAAGAAGGCTTGTTATCTAGAGCTCTGCCTGTGTAGTCCTACAGTACCTGTGTACACCACAGGAGGGCACCTAAAACAGTCTACAAGAAGTACACAACCCCACTGAGATTATACTGTCAATCACTGTTAAAGCTGTTAAACTCCCTACCTCAGGCTGTGGCTTCCAGTCAGTGTTTGGCCAGAAATGTATTTAAGATTAATATCATGGCTGACCACAGCTACATAGGGCTTTTTGTTTCATTTTAAGTCAACTACACACATAGTTTGACTACAGATCATACCACCACCACTTTTTCATAGAAACCAGGTCTTATTCCTACACTGTTCTAAGCGACTTAGGCAAATCCAAAGTTTTAAAGGAAGTAGATTTAACCCAGATTTGAGCTTTTATAATCAAAATATCATCTTTAGAAAGTCCATTCTGGTTCTAGAGTACAACAAAGTACAGATGATGTTCTACCCGAAGTCTTTTTTAACATTCTCATTACTGCTTACGGAGGAGAAAGCACATTTTTTTATATCCTTTTGGATTTAAGTGGAACATATCACAAGATTAACCATCATATTTTAACTGAACCTCTTGAGACCTGGATGGGGCTTGAGGGGCACTGCACTTCATTGTTTTTATCCCTGTCTTTTAAACTCACTTTTACATATTTACTTTTATCTGATTTTTCAACCTTTTTTTAGTGTAAATTGATTTTTTCATTGTACTTCAAAATATTCTTTAATGTATTAATGCTCTTGTTTAAACTATTTGTTTGCAAGTTCTCCCCTGATCCTCTACTTTATTGTCTTTTATAATTTTTATTTTATAATTGCTTTTTATCTATTAGTTAGTTGATTTTCATCTCACTGCACCACATCTTTTTAACTGTTTTTTTTTTTTTGTCCTGGAATCTTTTTATTGTCTTTTAATGCCTTTGTTCAGGTCATTTTTACCCCTTCATTTGCTTAGATTTATGATTTAATTATCCTCTCCTGTTAAAATTCATTTGTTCTTCTCTGTGTGTCAAGTGGTGCTTCATCAATAAAGTTATTATCATATTTATTAATTTTACTATTTTGTTTGCATTAGCATTTCTCCTCTTTTATTGTTACTGTGATTTTTTATGTAAATATAAAGTAGGAAGTGGCTGAATGCTCAGGTTTGCCATGTTCTGATGTAACCTTATTATCCACAAATACACGACAACAATATTTGAACTTCTCACCCAAAGCTTGACATAACAAGAGGAAGGTCGCAGTCGAAATGTGGTCTATTTTCTTTTGACAGTTCATTGCCTAATCAATATTATCTGCTGGGCCTATTTCCAAGAAGTTTTCAAACTTTTTCACATTGGGGTTGTTACAGTGAATATTTGCTATCCTTTCATTTCAGCAATAAACAGTGACGAGGCTTCACTGTGAACACTGTCACAAAGGACAAATAATCTACTCTTATTGAACCTGCAAACGTTGGGGCTTTTCTTTCTTTCTTTCTTTCTTCTTTCTTTCTTTCTTTCTTTCTTTCTTTCTTTCTTTCTTTCTTTCTTTCTTTCTTTCTTTCTTTCCTTCCTTTCTTCTTTCTTTCTTTCTTTCTTTCTTTCTTCATTCCTTTGTTCTCTCTTTCTTTCTTTCTTTCTTCCTTACTTCCTTTGTTCTTTCTTTTTTTTCTTTCTTTCTTTCTTTCTTTCCTTTGTTCTTTCTTTCTTTCTTTCCTTTGTTCTCTCTTTCTTTCTTTCTTCCTTACTTCCTTTGTTCTTTCTTTCTTTTTTCTTTCTTTCTTTCCCAATCAAGGCAATTCCACAATGTCATTGCAAATCACAACATTTCTCACACAACATTGATTCTCTTGATAGTTTTGATCTGTGCATTATTGGAAAACCTTAGCCTATACAGATTAAATGAGCATTAATCAATGATGGTGTTAATTTTCTTATGAAAATTTTAATGTGTTGGGAAGTTTACCACAAAACAACTGTGAACCAGGTGGTTATCCTGGCCAATAGCTGAAATCAGATATTACAAAAAATCATTGTGTGTGTTCATTTAAATGACAAACATATGTTTTTCATATAACCTTGGACAAAGAAAAATAACTCCAGTCATAACAAACATAATTGGCTGATACGTTTTATTGTAGAAAAATACAGTTTCTAAAGTTTAAATATACTAAAAAGACTTTCCCCCAGCTATAAATCAGATTTTATGAGTCTTACCTCCAACAGACCTCTTACCTCAAATTCCCCATATAAAACCGGCAACAGTCAGTACAGCAGTGATGCACTCCTTTACAATGTTCCTGCTGCCTAGCAACAATGAAGACCTCTTTACAGCAGAAGTTCTTTGCTCTGTAGACAAGAGAGAAAAAGAAGGAGAAAAAGAGCACTTGGCGTGTTATTTTATTGACGTGTTAGACATGATTGTTAAGTTTTTGGAAGTTCTTTCATTGCTGTATTTTGTGGCCCTGTAAAAAAATAAATATATAAACTCAATGTGTTTTGACAGATGTGTACTTAGAAGTATAAAAAGACTTTTCACTGACAACATACTTAATAAAGTCGTGGCTGCTATTGTGGAGTATACAAAGCTCTTCACGCTGACTGATACAGGTCAGCACCAAGGACAGCGACAACTTCACCTGATAGAGAAAAAGTCTCTTTTTGTAACCAGGGTGAAAGAAACTGTTGTATGGCACTGTTTAATCAACACAAATAGTGCAGCCTTTACAGTTCCCAAAATGTGGATTTGATTGAACATATTTCTATGTGATTGTGCTTTGTGCTTCTGTGTAGAGGGATTGATCACTCCGTTTGGCTTCTACTGATTTTCCTTTTTTCTCAAAAACGTAATACTCAAACATAGAAAGACAACACTGACAAGATGACAGGAGCCCCTAAAGACCTTGATAATAAACTGTTGTAAAGACAGCCTGTCATTGCAAAAAAATGTTACAGTTCAAATCAAGGAGGAAACATGCTGTCAGTCAAGAGATGGGCTGCAGATGCCTCGAGGCTTGGAAAGACATAAAAACATTTCTAGCTGTGGTACTTTTTTTGTTTGTTTTTTTCTTTCAAATTTAAGAATAAATCTTAAATACTGACTTACATGTGATGTGTATTTTTTGGGGGAAATATGGTTCCTGGAATAGTCAGTAGACAATCGTAGTTATTCAACTGTTTTACTGGTGTTAAAAATGCAGACTAAAAATTAAGAAAATCGACAACATCGTAGAATTGCAATTTAAACCGAAGAATTGAATCGGGAGAAAAGCATATCATCCCAGCCCTAATACAAACGCACAAGGATATGAAAGTGCAGCAAAAACAGAACTCATGCAACGAAGAATCATAACTGCTCCAACTTTTGAAAACTGGTTTGTGTTTCTGCTGAAGCCCATTGTAGACTCAGAGGCTTATAAATAAATGCACAAAGGCACAAGCACAGGATGGTTGCTCATTTGAATACAGCTGCAGAATCAAAAGGCCAGCTGGTTCTAAGCCAATAAACAAAGTAATAAAGATTTAATACACCCAATGGGACACACACAAAAACACACCTACACTCAGTGACAGTTTGTTTAAGTCCCTGGCTCCACAGCACAATCTCAGAGTGAGACACTGACAAATTACAGCACCTTTAAGAGGTCAGCACCTCCTACACAATTATTCAACAAGTTAATGTGACACAGCAACAAATATGCAGGATTTTTAATGGCATTTGATGTGTACTGCATGCAATTTTTGAGTTGTATCAAAATACATTAACAGACTATTGTAAGTCTCTTTTGATTTAGCAGCACTGTCATCACCTTTTTTTTGGAAGTGATATATTTTAAATACTCCAGGGTATTGTTACTTTTACACAAAGAAAATCAGCTTATTTTGAGCAGTATCACAGTTTTCATGCATGTAAACAACAACTATATCAACGATTGCATACCGAGCAAAGCCTACATTCCTACATCATTACCCTTCTCATAAATAAATGAATACAAAGCCTCCATAGTGCTTTGATAATGCATAGGTATGTTTTTGTCTTTTTGCTGTAGTCATTATCAGAGCTGACCACAGACATGCAGACGGTCTAACTCTGTCTCCTGTCTTCTCCTAATGGCCTGTGATTCCAGACCACTCTTCCTGCTCCTGTCCTTCCCTCTCTCCTTGTATTAGTCAAAGAGCCTACTCTTTCCCTTATGCCTAATTTTCTCTCCTGCTCCCTCTCTCCTCATCACCCCCTTGTTGTAAAAGATGAGCCTATCAGTCTTGTATGATTTAGTCTTCATTCATGCCTAAACATGGAGCCCTTTATTCCTTTGTCTATTCGCTTTGACTGCACCACATCACCAAGCTTAGGTTGCTATGGCGCGTAAGCTTACAATAAGAATAAAATAAAATAGACCTGGCATGTTTTATTGTACTAATAGTATGTCTATCAGTATGTGTTTGCCTCTGTTATTTCCCAGTATCCTCTTCTTCTGCCTCCCACCCAGGAAGGATAGACGAAGGAAGGGATCCAAGGAGGGAGGTTGGGGTGGTCTCTCTTAATTTTTTGTTTGTCTGCACGGCTGCGTTGTTTCTTTCTGCCTCAGCAGTTATTGATCTCTTTAATGGATATTATTCTCCTGATGCTTATTTGTGCACTCTAGTTTTTAACATTGTTACGTCATAAGATTCTGATACACACCAGCTGCTCTTCTCATCCAATATAGTTTGTTTTTCATTGAGGCAAGTTCATGAAAGACACATATTTGTTTAGAGTAATGGTGTGATATTGAATTATTGTCAGAGTCTCTTTAGCGCTTGAACTTTCCAGGGAGATAGAGTTACTGAAGGGTGCAGCAGCAGAATATTTCCCCAGTAGAGTCTTGACCCTGGAGGTGGGAGTGCCGCCCAAAGAAATCATCTGTGACTGATGAGATTATGAAGCTGACGAGCAGCAAACTCTGGGTAGAAATGGGAAGATATAAGATGTTGATGTCTAATACTGATGAAGCTATAACATCACAGCAGAGATGCAGACGAGAAAGCATATTTAAATCAACAATGACTTAAAGAGAACGGCAAACAATGAGGGCATGGTGTAGTGTTAGTGAATAGAGATGACCAGGTGGTGGATACACATAAGATGTGGGTAAACAGGCATGGAGGAGCAAATATAGCATACAGATAGGGGAGACCGGGGCTTGTTGCCACACTTTTTACACTCATATATTACTTGGAATCAATACATCATAAACAAAATGTGAACCAGATGAAAGACAAAAGTCTCAGGTATATATTTCGTATTCATGTCACTTTCATATCTTGTGTCAGTGCAGAGTTATAAGCAATCAAATAGAGAGTGTGAACATGTGACATGTTGCCCCACCAACGGGTAAGTTTTCTCACTACGTGGGGTAAGGTTTCACAGTGGATTTTGCAGCTAATAAAACAAGGACAAAATTGTTGTTGTTCTCATTTTTTCACATGAAAGTGAACATCAAAGTCAGGTACAAAAAATGTTTACCATTGAGCTAGAAAAAGTCATGGAACATAGCCATTGAACAAATGTTAACATAAAATATGATGCAGCATGCTCTGGAGTTTGGAGAGCTGTCTGACTCTGTGTTTTTGGCTGGGGTGAATGTTTTGCAGTACCGAGCCAAGGTATGGTAGTTGACATTAAAGTCCTTTATTGTCCTCCAGATTGATTTATTAGCTCAGGTCACCTGTCTGACTGCCCTCAGCATCAGGTCAGGTACTGCACTGCCATGTTCAGTTTTTCTTTTGAAATCCCTGACCATGTCTTCTCGCTTTCTCTCTCCTTTACACCACTCCTTTTTCTGTAAAGATATATTCAAAATTTCAATATGACAACTGCCGATAAACAGACTCTCTATGTTAATTTTAATCCCTTTTAAACATGTGACAACTAACCCCAAAATGACTGAGACATGTTGCCCCAAACTACCATGTTTGCTAATTCTAGCTCTAGCTTAAAGTTAGCTTAAAACAGAACAATGACTGAGGTATGACAGGATGCCTTAATCTCTCCTCTAACACGTCCACATGTATCACTGCTATGATTTATATCGGGAAGAAGCTTATTTTAAAATACATAAAGTTAATTTCTTTTTACTTTGGGTTGTGCGAAATGCGCTCATCTCAGCACACAATGTGCTCTTCTTTTCTCTTGACCATGTAAAAAAAGAAAACTAGTATTCCACTTTTTAGTTGCGCGCTCTGGTTGCAAATTGCAATGTGACAACTTACCCATGTGACAACAAGCCCTGGTCTCCCCTATGTCAGCATGCAGAATAAGCCTATAGTCTACCATGTCTTTTGATATAGACATAAACATCATTAATATGTATGCTTCAGTGCTCTTTGGCACTTATTTTTACATGTATGGATAGATTTATCCTTTTTTCTGCAGTAGTTTTAAATGGACAGAGTGGAGAATAAAATCTCTTGGAGTTCTATTAAAATGCTGTTCAGAAGAGTAGATGCATTCAAAGCTGCTATAAACTCAGCAAAACCAGTGTGTTGTCAGATTTAGCCTTTCTATTTTGGCATTTGTACTTGTTGCACAAAATTCTGGACCTGATACACCTCCATTCTCGTGGTCCTCTGCCTTCCCTTCTTCTATGGATGGTAACATTATACAGTACTTCCTCTACCACCCGCCTACATCCATGCAAACAAATCTACAACCATGAGATCAACCCTCATAAGGCTACAGACACTGCCAGCCATGTCCTGCCTCTAAAACTGTTTTTAGCATTTAAACGTACCCTACAAGATCGTATTTACTCTTTTTATAGTCGTATTTTTGTCCAGAGGAAATAACGCCGTGTTTTTTTTTTCCAACAAAAGAAGAGGAGAAGATGTGTTCCCGCGCGCTGAAGATGAGCTGTGGCGTTCAGCTGATGAGCGCGGCGCTGCTCGTGCTGCTGTCGCTCTCCGGTAAGAAGCAAAATAGCCAAACCGATCGATGCTCTCTCATATTGATACATGAAACAACAGTTCGATTCTTGCGACCGCACACTGTCTCTTCTTTCTGTGGTTCTCTCGCATTTTTCACCGTGTGTGTGTGTGTGTCAGAGTGGGCTGAGATGCCTCTCTATGTTATGTGAGATAATGTCGAGTAATTATTACTCCATCATTTCCGCTGCTGGCAAAACCGTCCATTAAAAGCAGATTGTTGTGATTTTTCTTCACCGCTCTTAACCAAACTGGTTCGTGTTTTATGTAAAAGGAGCCAAACCCCCATTATCTCCATATAGCCTCTGCTGACAGCTGCATTTGTGCACTATTGTATCACAGCCTTTAAAGAGGATTATGATGCACTGTGTAAAAATATATATTGGCTACCCCTTCAGGAGAACGGTAGTGTAGCCCACATTACAGTGGGTCTCGGCGAGTCAGTGTTTGTGGGTGCAGTGGATCAAAATACAGGCCCATATTTCGGTGAAACAAATGCGCTGGTTATATATAAAGGCCCTGTATTCACCGCACATAACAATCTGTCTATTAGGGGGTGGGGTGTATAAGATTACATGCAACAGGCAGTACATGTAAACACCTCAAATCCTGTGTGGTTCATGTTTATTCACTGAGAGAGAGAGAGAAAAGGTAGCTACCACATCAAAGCATGCCTCCTGAAGGTGTGACCCACATCTGATCAAACCACAGCACCACTACTCCACCTGAATGAGAGCAGCAAAACAGAAGGTGCTCCCCAACAGATTCAGCTAATTACTCAAACTGCACAGAAGCTATGACCATCCCATGTCTTGCCAGTGAAAAAATTAACATATAGAGAGCAGGTAATTGTGCAAACACCCGATCTGGCTGCTGTCAGGCAATTGAATAAGCTTAATTTTGATACTGTAATCCCACAGACATGGTCTAATAGGGCCCTACTCTACCTACTAGTAGACGTAAAAGGCTGTGATCACCTACTCATTTGCTTGACCCATTGTTACTAATGCCCAGTAGGCTTGTTATGGAGCTCATGTTTTTTACCCATCATTTTTGAAGCTTTGTCTAGAATACTATTATATTATGTTTTAACATTTTAAATATTAAAACCTGATTTTAATATTGAAAATGATAATATACGATATAATATTCCAGACAAAGAGTCAAAATGACGGGTAAAAAAAACATGAGCTCCATAACAAGCCTACTGGGCATTCATAACATTAGGCCAAGCAAATGAATAGGTAATCACAGCCTCCTGCATCTACTAGTAGGTAGAGAAGGGCCCTACTTTACCTACTAGTAGGTGTAAGTGAATAAGTAATCACAGCCTACTACATTTGCTAGTAGTTAGAGTAGGGCCCTACTCTACCCACTAGTAGGTGTAGGTGAATAGGTGATCACAGCCTCCTACACCTACTAGTAGCTAGACTAGGGCCCTACTCTACCTAGTTGAGTAGGTGATCACAGCCTCCTACACCTTCTAGTAGGTAGAGTAGGGCCCTACTCTACCTACTAGTAGGTGTAGGTGAATAGGTGATCGCAGCCTTTTACATTTACTAGTAGTTAGAGTAGGGCCCTACTCTACCTACTAGTAGGTGTAGGTGAATAGGTGATCACAGCCTCCTACACCTACTAGTAGCTAGACTAGGGCCCTACTCTACCTAGTTGAATAGGTGATCACAGCCTCCTACATCTACTAGTAGGTAGAGTAGGGCCCTACTTTACCTACTAGTAGGTGTAGGTGAATAGGTGATCACAGCCTTTTACATTTACTAGTAGTTAGAGTAGGGCCCTACTCTACCTACTAGTAGGTGTAGGTGAATAGGTGATCACAGCCTCCTACACCTTCTAGTAGGTAGAGTAGGGCCCTACTCTACCTACTGGTAGGTGTAGGTGATTGCAGCCTCCTACACCTACTAGCAGGTAGAGTTGGGCCCTACTCTATGTACTAGTAGGTGTAGGAGGCTGTGATCCCCTATTCATTTGCTTTGCCCAATGTTATTAATGCTCAGTAGGCTTGTTATCTAGCTCATGTTTTTCAACCGTCATTTTCACAACGTTGAAGCTTTGTCTAGAATATTATTATATTATGCATTATTATTTTCAATATTAAAACCTGATTTTAAATGAATAGGTGATCACAGCCTTCTACACCTACTTGTAGGTAGAGTAGGGCCCTACTAGACCATGTCTGTGGGATTACAGTATCAGAATTACGCTTATTTAATGGCATGACAGCAACCAGATCAGGTAGTGCAAAATAGAAAACGGACCAGGTGATCCAAGGCAGATGCAAAGCCAATGGATTTTAAGGGTTTTTCCAAGTGTTGCTCTTACTATTCAGAGTTTATTATTGTTTTAAGGGGTTGTGACCAATTAAGATCAATTATTAAGTAAGGCTGAGTGACAAGGAAAAAGCTGGGTAACAGTACAGGTGATTGGTCTGATGGATGATAATGGTTTGCTCAAAGGAAAACAAATGGACTAAGTGGTAGAGAAGGGTTTTTCATAAGTACAAACATAAAAAGACGGTTTGTCTAGATGGGAATCCTAGTATCTGAACTGATCCCATTTTGAAACAAGATTTTGTTAAGAGTGAGAGAGGGGAATACTGAGAGCTATGAGGGTGATAGAGCTGAAATTTGTATTGAAATTGCCTTTTCAACTCCATGTCTCATCAGATACTGCAGTTCAGTGGTTTGGAGCATGTGTGGGGATCTGACATCTGTGTATTTTTAGATGTATCAGCACCCTTTCCTTTTTTACTTGTGCAAACTGATACCCAGAAGTTTACTGTTGTTAGGAGCTTGTTGCATGGAGGTGCTTCTAAGCTGTTGCTTCTATTCACTATAATTTGATCCATGCTGATTTAAACAACAATGTAGCTTTCCTGTATGATTTAATACAATTATAGTTTTTGTTGTCTATTCAGGCACACCTCTAAAATCAACAACAACCACATTACCAATAATTACACATCAAATTGGACTTCTTATCTAAGTTTTTCACAAGTCTACTTCTACTTCTGCAGTTCTACAAAATGAGGATAAGACAGTTCCTACCAATATTCTATTCACCCAACAATATTTGAGCATTGCCCATTATCTCCTGTTACAGTAACTGCACCTAAGCACTAGAGGGCAGCAGAATCCTTAAAAAACTCTTATGGGCTGTAAACACACTGGTATGGCCTCCAAACACGCTCCACATGAATTCTTAATGAGGCATCAATAGTTACAGAAGGACCATCAAACAGCTGGGTATTTTATGCAGTGGGAGAAAACCTGATATATGACTATTCCTTAATGACAAGACCTACATACGGTGGACTTTTCAATGTAATATGACTAACAGAGAAATTTGATCTACTCGCTTTCCCTTGAGAACCTCATATCCACCACTTTATGAAGTAAATACTATTGGACATTTAAACAGCTAATTTATAGATTTGTTTTTCAGTATTTTAACTAGAACTCTTTAAAATCCCCATCTGTTTATTTAGCAGGAAAAAAATGTAATCACTTTGTTGTCTTGAAAGTAAGGATGAGATTATTTTTGTTAGGAGACATTGTATAAGCGCATAAAGGACAAGATAAGTTCAGGTATTTTTGTCCACATGAGGCACTGAATTTGGTACAAATAATAAGGTCCCAACATGAGCTTTAACATGCTATTGTCAGTTAAGTGTATGAGAAAGGTAATCCGTTAGAGTGATTATGCAAAGTTAACCTTAATAGCCTCAAGAATATAATACAGGCTTACAAGTTATGTAACAACGCACCTTAAAAAATCCATACTTTACTGGCACTATCTGCCCAAGACTGATTGCATTGAACTGTCTCTATTTTTCATCTCACACCCATAGTTCTGACTATATACGAATATAATACAGCTGCTATTTCCTAAAGACAATAAATGAACTCCATATTTTCTTTCAGACCTCTGTCTATAGGCCATAAGCAGCAAACTCATATTATACAAATGCAAAAATTTATATGGCACTATCATTCAAAGCCTTACACCTCTTTGCAAATTCCATTTAAGTATCAGCGTATTTTTGTGTTTTTTAAATGGTATGTTTATATGCAGTGGTTTTTTGGTCTTGAATTATTTGTATTTAAAACCAATAAGACTTTGTGACTCTGTTATAAAAGACACTCAACTGTTAATAAAACATAACAGTAACAAAGGGAAAGTGAACGCAGGACAGCTAGGACTGAAAGTACCTTTCAGCTCCAACTCAATCCAGCCAATAGTTTCCATGTAATATGGTTTTATAGGGAAATTGAAATATAGAGAATAGGCTCCTGCAGTTACTGTATATGAATGACACATTCCTGTCTGTGCTGTCATGTTTGTCTCTTGTACATAGCAGTGTTTACTTATGACTTGCCTCACAGTAGCTTATCATACAACATGCTGCAGGCTGACAATGAACTGTCTGTTTCTTCAGAGGCTTTTACGCCTGATAGCAACTTATCTTTGAAATAATCAAAAAAGCTTTTCCAGGCAGTATGGTCGAAAAATTACTGACATATGTTGTTTTTTTGTTGTTGTTGTGAGCTGCATTGTATGTGTAGCTGGGCACAGAGTGGTGCAGTGTCCAGGATGTAGTGTAAGAGTCTGCACAGCAGGGGGCACTAGAGCTAAAGCTGGCATTACATAGGACAGCTGAATCACAACAATATAAACAGAGGCATTTAAAGGCAAAGTGCTGAAGTTCTCATCCCATCCCTGAAAAATTGAAAAAAATAAAAAAATCTTGTGGCTGTACTGATTTTGTCGAGTAGAGCTGGTACTGAGAGGTAAAAGCTTAGAGTTAAAAACATATAAATAGATAAATACTTTCTTTTTTTAATGCTAATTTTCTGCCTCACTCTTGGATTATTGATACAAAACAAAAGCCAGCTGCCTTTATCTTCTGACCTGCCCTCAAAAGAGTATCAAGTCATTAGAGCTTTGATTGCAACTTGCCCGTGGTGACACTCGTCTAACAAAACCAATAAATGTGACGCTGAGGAACAATGGAAAAAAGACAGCTACACGCAGAACAAATGAAGTCTGCCCCAGCGGAAGTAGCTTGGTATGGAAGCGTGTTTAACACCAGTAAACAATAAGCCATCATAACTGACGAACTCTTCATGATGCATCATCATTATTAAGACAAATGTTTCCCTGAGGACATATGAATTAACAATAGCTGCTGGTTTTAAAAGCAATGAAGAGGCTTAGCAGGGATCACAACACAAAAGGCCCATCCTCGACAATGATGCAGGATGGGATGTAATAATGTTAGACCTCTGCTGGAGGGTTCCTATGTGATAATACTGTAGTGTTTACTTTCTCAAAACCAGCAGTAACCCCATCAAACCACTTAGGAATAACACCTCCTGCACCTTTCATGTAGTCAAAATTATATTCAATACCAGAAGAAGTTAAGGGTGATACTTTTAAAGCAACACAGCTTTAGATCTAGCAAATGATTGTGATAAAAATAGAGCCAGAAGTTTCCTTTTTTTTCTTTTTTTAGGAGCATCCTCTAAATACTTACTGAAGACTTCAGTGCCCTTAAAGCCGCTTTGAATCTCTTTTAGAGAGGACCTTCAGAAGGATGCTGTTTTCACATTTGTCAAGTTGTGTCTTCAGTCGATTGTAGCTCTAAAATTCTTATCTGTGCCACTCCGCAGAAGCCTGACTGAGTTGAGATCCAGAGGCAGGAGAGTTATTATTAAACTCATATCCTAAATGGTACAAAGATTTTTGACAATCTTTTACTGTGAGCTGCATTAAGTTAAGAGAAATAACATTGTTGCTCAGATATATTTAAATTTTTTATCACTTTTATCATATCAAATACAAGTTGAGATGCTTTACGATTCTCAATATTTGTTAAAGTGAAAATATAAAACTCAGGATGCTGTTAAAGGTTTATTCCACAGGGGTGTATGAAACGACCTCCTGGACTATACCTTCTTTTCTTAATCGTATAAGGGCAAGCCTAAACTATGAATATGGATCATCTTTTGTCTTGTTTTTTACCGATTACTTGACTATTTTGAGAGGTATCATGTCCTGAAAACCACAATAAGGTGGTCACGTACTGTAGAGTCAGATAAGAGGTAAGGGGAGGGCACAGGAGTGATGATGTAACAGTCCTACCTACGTTTTACCTTTTTTTCTGCTTTGACCTTGTGAAGGTAAAGGGAACAATGGAGGAAGAAGAGAGTAGGGAAGGATATAAAAAAAAAACATCAGTGCGTGGAGTTTCAGGAAAGTCAGGATGGAGGAAAAAAGGAACAGTAATTTTAAGGCTGGAAGAGGGGGTTGAGGAGAAGAGGTACTCAGAAAAGGCGTAAAGAGGAGGCAAGAGAGGTGAACAGAGATGGGAGAGGAAAAGAGGGAGGGGCAGAGGGAGGGAGGAGTAGCATGAGGCAGCTTCACTGCAGTATTTCATCTGTTAGCAGTTCTCTGTCTCTCTGTGTCTGCATCTGCCTCGCTTTCTCACTATCCACAGGACTGCTGAGTCAGCAGAAGCCAGTGTCAGACTGTTTCTTACACAGTATATCAGTGTATGGGTGATAGTCGCAAAGGTACATATGCGTTTATAGTGACTAGGTGTGTGTGTCAGCTGTGTGCAAGCGTTTACTTGAACGTGTCTGTATTAGTTGTGCGTACAGATTGGTCAGTATGCAGAGATGACATTGACATAGCATAGCAGCTAGCATGCTTAGCTCACTGCTGACAATGCACACCTTTCGGGTGGAGGGGGTGCATGTGTGTGTGTGTGTATGTGTGAGTGTTCAAATAGAGAGGGAGGTGCTGTGCTGCATCACAAGCCACCTGACTGTGGTGAAGTATGCGCGGGGGGGAAAATTGGGTGTGCTTATGTGTGTAAATTATACATATGGTCGAAGGGAGGAGATGTAAAAAGTGCATGGGTGAGTGTGTGGGTGTGTGCGTATGTGTGTGTGGTGCAGAGAGGCAGGCCTGTGGAATGGTGCAGCAGCAGTGGGAAGGGAGCCAGAAACACCCGACTGCAGAGGAGAGAATGGTGCAGAGTCCCATCACACACACACACACACACGCACGCAACAAATACACACACATTCAGAGAGAGCGGCGCAGATTCATGTGGGGAGTGTAAGCCCGTGCTGAGACATAGTGTTGGAATATAGGAGGAAACTTGAGGAAATACATGATACTTAAACGTCATTCAAGTCACTTCACAGTGTCTCCAGTTACATGCTTCAAACTTGCTTATGTAAAACATTTTTTTCTACAGTCCCTCAGTGAAGCAGCATAAGCATTTTAGCATTCACTGTGCATTTTAAATTGCGATTGCAAGATCTAAGAAAAAAAGAGGTGTTCTTTTTCAGTGTCCCAAAATAAAGAATTTATCATCCTGCCACATCTCCTTATTTTACAGCAAGAGTTGCAATAATATAAACTATACATGATGGAGTAAAATAAGCATTCTCCTACAAATAAAGCAGAAAAAATAAAATAAATAAATAAATCAGATACCTCAAACACATTAACAGTATACTTTAATTTTCAGCCCACAATTACTACTTCAAGTTAAATCAAACTGTCTTACCAGTGATAACAGTGATTACATTTTTTAGACCTGACTGCCTCAAGTTTTTATTATTTTTATCATTAACAATATTCAACTAGACTTATTCTGTACCTTCTACCTTCTGTACTTCCTTCAAATGTAAATGTGCCCAGAAATGTCATTATTAGGTATGTGAATTTGTTCCTATTAACCAGCGATCGCTGTGGTTGGCAGCCATCAGCCATTCAATAACAGTACCAAAGTTTACCTTGTTTATAAAGCATACTGTAAAATTTCCCCTCTGTGGTTTAGAGGAGACTTTCGTTTACATTGTCCTTCCAACAGTAGCCTAATTTACATCTTAAATTCAGCGATTCAGTCTGGTGTGAATTTAACAAGCCTCTATCCTGATCAGTTTTTGGGGCAACATTAGTGTTGGTTGATGTTTTGCTTTGTGGATTCACTCACACATACCAAGCTCCAGCTGACCGTTAATCCTCCCCCAATTGACTAGTGCAAATATTGTTTGTATTTTTTTCTCTCATTCTTTTGAAATTAATGGAGAAGTGTTTTACAGCTGTAACTGATGAGCAAACTTGACAATCTGACAGCGTTCGGATCCTGTTGTGCTGCTATACTGGTCACTAGATGTGATGTGTGGTGTATGGGTGAAAGAGCAAACGATCAGAAACTTAGCTGCTCTGTCATGATTGTCTGCTAGCATGGAGTCAGTGGAGTCGGTGAACAGCCGCTCATTTTCTGGAAGATCCAAGAGGTGTTGAGAGTTGCCATGAGTTACCAAGCACTGTATGTTACAGCACACGGTACGACTCGCTTCTGGCGTCTAACAGATGGAAGAAGCGGTGCTGATGAAGCCATCTCTGTTACATACTTGATACTTCTATGAACAAATCAGGGTGGGCAGCGTGTTGCAGCTTTTTCCAATTGCCTTTGTTCACTGTTTTTTTACACTTGGCTCTTTTATTTTCGAGGATGTGACAGCCATCTCTCCAACATTATCAGTCATAAAGCAGATTTTTGTGTTTGGATTAGAAGTTCAAACGTTCAGTTGTGCAGATATATCCCATGGTAACTTGGCTAAACACACTCAAATGGATTTATTTTGCTTTTTAAATATTTAGTTTAGGAAATTTCAGTGATTGGGAGTTAGGAATAGAAGTGGAGGAGGCTCCACTGATGGATAATTTAGGTGCAGCTGAAACAAAATAACATGAACTAGTTTATTTTTTAGACCATAAACTTGGTTCATAATTTTAAAAAGAGCTAGGTCATTTTGAGCAGTGTGTTGTAAATTTGCACAGTACTGCCAGCAACTGAGGTTTCCCTTTAGAAAAGGTGAGTTCTTCATTGATGATGGTGTCCGTTGGTGTTAAATTTCACAATCTGCCAATTGAGCAGGTTGACCAGCTGCATCCTGCTGAATAAAGCTTTAATAATCAAAACGAATACTGAATCCTTCTTTACCACATGCGCTGCATTTCCTGTGTTTGGCACTCTCTTTGCATTTAGTCAAACTCTGGTCTTTGAAATGTCTGGATTTGTAGTAAATGCAGTGTCACCTTTAACCCATGTGCCACAGGCTTTACAGTGAATGCAGTGCGTCATAGGAGCGCCACTCAAAGTCTTTCAACACTGTTTTTGCTGCGGGTGCATCCACATTCACCACAACACCATCACCTTCAACAACTGGAAGAGTTAGTTCATTTAACACAAGGTAGCCTACGAAAATCACAAAGTGTTCTCTACAGCTCCTGACTACAACAGTGAAGCCCATATTCTATACCTTATTATCAATGAAAAGATGAACATTTAATTAACAGAAGAAAAAAAAAAACTGTGTTGGAATTTTTACAACACTGTCCATCAAAGCAGCAGACAGGGAGGGAGTCTGTAGCAGCGTCTTTATTGAAAGAGAAGCTGTTTCAGAGTCAGACGCACAGTAGAGTATTAATCCAACCCATGTAAGAAAAAAAAAAAAAGGGAGAAGCAGCTGTCGTCTCATCAAGAAGCACGGTTAACAAGTCCCAGGTGAATAAAGTCATTCCATTACAACTATCAAGCTTTGATGCTAAATGTTGAATCCCCAAACTGAGTTTTAAAGTTGAAATTCTGATGTAGCTTTCTCTCGCTGTAATTTATGACAAAAATAATCTGCACCCCTCAAAAGACAGGAGAGAAGAAGTTTCTGTCAAACATGTTTGGAAGCCTGATGTTATTCTTTAAACCGCGACTTTGATTGGAAATAGAAATAGACAGTGCCCAGACGAGTTATGCTTGTGAATGAATCTTTGAAACACCATTTTCTCTGAGCTGCTTCAGTTTTATACTGTTAGAGGTTTGTTGCAAGCATATTCCTTAATCTCCAATCATTTAGCTGGGCTTGGATCATTTGTATATCTATTTCACATCAAATTACAGTCAGTATAAAAAAAAATAACACTCTCTAGACAACGTGCATAAGATGAGTCAGCAGCGATATAGAAACCCACATCCTCACTATGAAGCCTACTGGGAGACTGAAACTGCTGACGTCGTGCTCTTTCATGCACGTCCAGTGCTTGAAGAAATGTATGCATGATTTGATGTACATTTCGTCGAACGAGATGTAGTAGCTTGTAGAATTTACAATCCACAGATGTGGGAACATATACAATCATGTTTTATACCATGTGTACAGGCTAACAAACAGTCTCCTGATCGGCTTGTTTTCCTATTTGTCCAAGTTCAGAGTAAGGAGTCACTTCCTGAGAGTTTCCGCTCTGATATTCTGTTTATTCAGTATAATTAACACTGGTGTTATTTCCCCTTTACAGGTTGTTCAAGCATGGATGTGTTAGTGTCTAGTAAAATTAATGCTCTCAATGGAACAACCGTCAAAATCCCCTGCACTTTCACTTCCTGCTACAAGATGGATGCTACCAAGTTTGCCATGAACTGGACCTACCAGGAATCACTCAACGACACTGAAGAAAAGGTAAAGCGTCTAGTTTTTCTGCTCAGCAACCAGCTCGCCTGCATCTTAAAATCTGAGCCTTGATGAACTCCCTCTCTCTCTCTGTCTGTCTGTCTCTCCTTCTCTTCATCCATAGTTTATGACATATCTTCACAAAAAAGGAATGATGCCTCTGCGCGCACACCGCTTTGGAGAAAGGGTCACGTTCGTCGGGGTCCTGGAAAAGAATGATCTGTCAATCAGCCTGTCAGACGTTCAGCTGGAGGATGAGGGGTTTTACAACTGCTATGTGAGAAACCCTCCGGACCGCATCCAGGGACATGGTGTCATAGAGCTCATAGTGGTAACAGAACGTAAGAAACTGATCCGTCTTACTAGAAATACAATACACTAACTATCCATAAACTCCAAACCCTCCCTTGAATATCTACTCTGACTTAGTGGAAGCTCAAGTAAACCAAAACCAGGTAGTGGATTTTGAATATTGTATTTTCTCATGGAGACGCGCTATACAGTGAAATCCAGCATTCGGTTTGGTTTACTGTGTGTGAGCTTCCTGGAGCACGAGCACCTACTGGTGATGAGTCAGCTTTTAACTTATTAATGACCAGCAAAAGCTTGAACTTAGTCCCCAGCATCTCTTTTGCACTTGCACGCACACAAACTCCCCTATGAGGCTAACTCAGCAGCACTTTCTTTCCACTCTGTTTAATCAGCCCAGCAGAGCTTTTAGCCAGCGTTGCATTTGTCTCCATCTTTGGTCTACAACCTATTTAACTCTATCCTCTCCTGTCCTCAGTTCCCCCTCCAAGAGATTCAACCATAGCAGTTGCTATAGGAGCTTCAGTGGGTGGAGCGTTAGCTCTGCTGATCCTTTCCATGGTAGTAGTGAAATGTCTCCGTCGACACCGGAAACAAGAACTGATTTCTGAGGAGAAGATGGAGGAGGAGGGAAAGCTGGATGCTGAAGGTGTTGCAGAGGAGGGAACCAAGTAAGAATTCTCACCGTAGCATCCTCAGTGCTTAAGCTGAACCTGTCACTAGCATGAAGATCAAAATGTAGAGAATGACTGCCACTCATTCTTTCATCAAACAAGCATTTTTTATGGCTTTGCTCTACTGGCTAGAGCAACGCAGAAAACATGTTGTGGTCAAGTAAAACAACTCTCTGAACACACTCCGCTCTTTTTTAACAAAGGCTAGATAGTCTATAGGCCTTCACGATATATCGTTTGAGCATCGTCATTGCGATGTACGTGTGTGCCAGAGTCACATCGCACAGCCTGCGATGTCAGAGGTGAATGAACTCAGTTAATTTCAAGGGCAGCTGACTGAGGCTGTGTCTCATTTCAGAGACCGCATCGTGATAAGCGCGCTTAACGGCGCTTAGCTGAGTGCACTGCCGTTTTGAGCCGTTTTACGCCGTTTTGCGCCGTTCTGTGCCCTTCCTGTGTCCCATTTCAGATACAGCAGCCATCGAACGGCGCATCTGACGCGTACGTGAGGTCACCACGCGGCACGAACGGTGTCCCGTTTGGCACAAAATACTAAGCGCGCTTCAAATTCGGTCTCAAAACCACACTACCCCCGCCTCGTTTTCAAGCGTGCATGTATGCACGCTTTCGTGCCGTCGGTATCCCAGAATTCTTTGCGTGCCGCTGCACAGCTGTGCATTTCAGGTGAGAGGCTGGACTCGCTTGGAGACACAGCGCGTCTTCGAAGAAAATACAAGAAATCCAAAAACAGCAGACAGTCAGCTCAGGCTGTATGAGAGCATGATCCCTGAACTCACTAAAATCTGTAAACCAAACATTATAGATTTAGAGACGAACTGATCCGCTGTGTTACAACTATCAAAAACATTAGAAATGAGAAAGCTGACAAAACTACAGCAGAGTATCAGGACAACATTGAGGTTTTTTTTTCTTTTAAGATTTAGAGATCAAAGTTGTAAATTTAGGAGAATAAAGTCATAAAGTAAATAAAGTCATAAAGCTGCTTTTGCGGAGGGGGAAATGACTGAAGCTGGTCATCTGCAGGGTTATCTGTGGATGTATCAGCGGGTCATTCAGAGAGATTTTGTGGTTTCTGAAGAAACAATCAAACTGATGATAATCAACATTTGTGATCCAGAGGGAGTCGAGCTCCGACGAGCACCACGTCTCTGACACCGGCCGTAGCCTACACCTGCAGAGACACCAACACCTTATTACGGCATATGGATTCATATCATAAACTAAAGCTCAATGTCATTCACGGATATTAACGGCTGCATTGACAGATATATCCTCAGCATATTCATTTCTGCCTCCACAAAAGCAGCGATTTCCTTCAAGTACACCAGTTTTTTCCCCCGTGGAAAAGACGTATTTCTCATATATTCTTTTTAAAGTCTTTATACTTATGACAATGTGATGCTGATGTGCCAGAGGATGAAGAATCTCCTTGTTTGTGAAACCTATACTGAAGCACAGTTCCTTCAAATGCTTCATGGCCCTAATTTTAACAAGTCTCTCTGAAATAACAGGTTATGACTTCATTCTCATAAATTAATGACTTTATTCTCGTAAATTCACGACTTAAATCTCGAAGTCCTTAAAGTCTTAAATCTCAATATGGCCCTCATACTCCTTCTTACAAAACAATCATTGGATGAATTGTGCTTGTATGTATCTACTATTTTGTGTCTGTGCAAGGTCGCACAATTAAAACAATAAATGCTGCGCTCCGCGGGTTTCCTTTAAGTCAGTCGTGACGCAAGCCTGAGGGCGGGGACATTTGGCAACTCCACCAGGAAGTCTTCCGAAGGTCTCCAAATGTCCCCGCCCTCAGGCTTACGTCACGACTGATTAGAAAAAAAGCTGCGGAGCGCAGCAGGTATTGTTTTAATTGTGCGACCTTGCACAGACACAAAATAGTAGATACATACAAGCCCAGATCATTCCCACAAAATTAATCCAATGATTGTTTTGTATGAAGGAGTATGAGGGCCCTATTGAGAAGGAGGATAGGAGGTACTTCATCCTCTGGCACATCAGCATCACATTGTCATAAGTATAAAGACTTTAAAAAGAATATATGAGAAATACGTCTTTTCCACGGGGAAAAAAACTGGTGTACTTGAAGGAAATCGCTGCTTTTGTGGAGGCAGAAATGAATATGCTGAGGATATATCTGTCAATGCAGCCGTAAATATCCGTGAATGACATTGAGCTTTAATTTATGATATGAATCCATATGCCATAATAAGGTGTTGGTGTCTCTGCAGGTGTAGGCTACGGCCGGTGTCAGAGACGTGGTGCTCGTCGGAGCTCGACTCCCTCTGGATCACAAATGTTGATCATCATCAGTTTGATTGTTTCTTCAGAAACCACAAAATCTCTCTGAATGACCCGCTGATACATCCACAGATAACCCTGCAGATGACCAGCTTCAGTCATTTCCCCCTCAACAAAAGCAGCTTTATGACTTTATTTACTTTATGACTTTATTCTCCTAAATTTACAACTTTAATCTCTAAATCTTAAAAGAAAAAAAAACCTCAATGTTGTCCTGATACTCTGCTGTAGTTTTGTCAGCTTTCTTATTTCTAATGTTTTTGATTGTTGAAGCAGAGCGGATCAGTTCGTCTCTAAATCTATAATGTTTGGTTAACAGATTTTAGTGAGTTCAGAGATCATGCTCTCATACAGCCTGAGCTGACTGTCTGCTGTTTTTGGATTGCTTGTAATTTCTTTGAAGACGTGCTGCGTCTCCAAGCGAGTCCAGCCTCTCACCTGAAATGCGCAGCTGTGCAGCGGCACGCAAAGGATTCTGGGATACCGACGGCACGAAAGCGTGGATAAATGCACGCTTGAAAACATGCTAAGCGCGCTTAGCATTTTTTAGCATCTCGTGCCAAACGGGACACCGTTCGCACCGTCGTGACGTCATGCACACTTCAAATGCACCGTTCGACGGTGCAGAAGGGCACTTAGGTCGATGCGGTCTCTGAAATGAGACACAGCCTCAGATACGCTGCATGTAACTCTGCATGTGCTGTGCAGCGATCCACCAATCACCTTCGTCCTTTACTCAGTTGCCAATCAGACTCAGTTCTCAGTTGCCAATCAGACTACCCTACCAGCTGTCAATCAAAATCAGAGAGGAGAAAACCCACCCTTGCACATGTTCTGCACATGGAGTTACTCGCTGGCTGCAGAAATGCATGTCCGCTGAGAATTACTTTCGGAACTTTACTCATGACTGTTAAGCCCAACAAATAAGAACTGTATGGGTTTTAAAATGTATATTTCCGTGGACCACTCTACTATAAGCGGTGCGCGTTTTGCGAGGTGCATGCAATTCTCGGAGGACATGCGTTTCTCGGCACAACACCGCTAACAACAACAAGAACGATTGCAAAATGAGCAACGAACAAGAGAAAACCACCGAAAATGAAGATTTGTTGCCAAAAAGAAAAGGAAAGTCAGTTATCTGGAATTATTTCGGTTAAAAGAAGGATGATGTCGACCAAAACACGTGTTCTGTGTTAATCTGTCGCCACAATAACGTCCCAGCACAATAAAAGCTAAAAGTATCTCTGAGACAGACAGAAGCTGCTCTACTAACATTCACAAAAAGAGGTAAGATCAGTGCAGGTTAACTGTCCACAAGATTTCAGCAGTGCAGCATAACATTAAATGCTATTCAGGTCATCGGGTGAAAATTTCTGTATTTTTAATATCGCAATGTTAGTTTTTTCCAATATCGTGCAGCCTTACTACACAGTCTATGGTAGTAACTATGTCATTGGGACTGTGTTTTAACACGTCATCATGTAACTGAATCTTCAGTAAGCAAAGCAACTTCAAGTTCCCACAAGTGATCAATAGGGTGAAACTAGACCTTGGCGCAAGCAGAGGGGCCTAGTCTCACCCTGAGGGGATTTTAATTTTAGTAACTGCCTGTTCAACATGCATTATCCCCTTTATAACATGGCTGCTGACTACCATACGGATATTTTTTTTTATATTGACAACAAATGTTGATTTTGTTGACAATTTTATTGTTTTATTTGAATTATTTAAAAATGATATGCACATAAAAAGATAGGTCCCTGTAAATGTTTCTCTTTTTTTCCACAGTGCTAACCAATTGTGTGAAAAAAGTCAATCAGCAGTTGTAAAATATACTCAAATGTAATTTGCAAAAGTAGAAAACCAAACAGCCCAGATGAACATGGTGCACTTTTCTCTGTTGCTTGAGCACTTTCCTATAACTACCCTTACAAAACTGGCTGACTTATTTATCCCTAACCCTTCTTCACTTTTTCAATGAAAACTATCTTCTTATGGTGTCATTGAACATTTCTTCTTTTACATGTTCCAGACAACCCTAGCTGGGTCTTCAGACTGTGGAGCCCTCAGCCAAACACCTGGCCTGGTGAGAGTTCAATCAACCTGTTGTGAAGTCTTGTTTATATGAAAAAAAAGGGTCAATCTCTTCTCCAAAGTAATACCAGTTCATGTGAAAATACTGTAAGTCACTCTGTCTCTTTCTTTTCTTTCAGACATTCCCACCCCCTTCCTGAAGATCTGTAGTAAACATGGCTTGGATAATCACACACTGATACTTCCATTCATTCTGCATGTGCGTGCGTGTGTCAGTGTACCGAATGTGTCTATGTGCGTGTGTGCGTATTTCTATTTGTCTGTATGAGGCGTGTTGTCTTCCTTTTATTAAGCCAGGGAACCTTGTTCTGCAACCTAAGCATCAAGTTCATTATTTATTCAAAACTTAAAGTCAATTTAAAAATACAAAGATATAAAACTCCTCTCAAGAATGACATTGTCATAGCAAACTATTAAACAAACTAGGGCTGGGCAGTACGACCCCAAATTTATATAACACTATAGTTTGATCATGAAAGAAAAATATTTAACAAAGTGAAAAAAAAAACCTTGGCTGCTCTTGAATATTTTTATTAAATCACTCAAATTAAACAGTAACTGTGAAAGCAGACTTTAAAGAGTCAAAAGCTAGTTTCACTTTCAAACAATATCTTTTATATGATGGTTAATTGTGCCGATTCTTACAATGTTGTACAGTCATTTCAGTCAACCTTTGGGATTTTGTAAACATGGTTGCTGTCAGGTGTCACCGGGAGCATACATTTGTGGGTGCAGGTCCCTGAGAGGATGTACACATCTTTCTGCTCGGACCTTTCTCCGTGACTGAGTTAAGAAGTAATGCGACAGCACATTGTTTTGTTTATGTGTGAGCTATATTGCATGGCTAATTGAAGAAGAGCACAGTAAATGGTCAAAGCTGTGGCAACTCTTATTAACACGATGGCCATGCAGAGTGTAATGGAAGCAAATTACTTGCATGTCAGGTTTTATATAAAATTCAACCTAACGTTTGAGGCAGTACAGTAATAATCAGAAATTTAATGCAAATAAGGATTATCTGCCTGGCTGAGTTGGAGTCTTCAGTCAACACTAGTACTATTAATTCCAGTACACAGGGACACTCAGCTGCAACACACTGTTCTTGTTGGCAGTGACATGGAAGCTGGACAAAGAGAGAATGTTGTGGTTTTGCAGTCAGAGTTGAGCTCTCATAAGTCTTACATCATATCACTTCCTTTTTGAGAGTTGCCTAACCATATAGTTTTTTTCTAAATAAATATCTCCATCTGTCTCCGACAGAATGATGCTAATGAAGGCAAATGAAATGCATCTTCCTACCTGTACTGTATGATGTTATGCCGTCAACTGATTCTCTTAGTCAATAATAAAAGGAGTGCTTTCCCCTCTTAGAAACTTGGAAAATAAAATATTTTTTTCATTTTTCTTTAAGCTGTGATTCATCCACTCCCCATTACCTCATCGCACACCCACCTGCATCTCTCCTCAGTTTACCCCCCTAACTCACACAACACAGTCTACCCATGCCTCATGTTTCATACACTATCACTACAAGAAGCGAAAAGCAGTTTTTGTAGTGATCCAAATCTGAGTTTGACTAACATAAGTTGTGTGGGGTACACGTTTAAGTGTCATTGGCCACCAGCTTGCAAGCGCAAGGCAAAAGGCTTCAGGACCAGACCAGTGCAGGTGGTGCTCATGGGAGTTGTAGTGGCCTAGTCTCATATTACAAGTATTCTCTTATGTTAGATGCCTTTTAAGAAGACTAAAAGTTTATGGAAAGGAAAATATACAAAAGTCAACCCACCAAAGCAGCAAATTTGAGTGCCAATGTTACCTGCCCCAGCCTAATTCCACCTGCATTAATTCTCACTATGAGGAAGGTCAAGGTAACTCTAATCTTCTACATTCAATATGTTCAATATGTATTCTGGCCAACTGCCATAGTTGGTTAACAACTGACCAAACAGCTGTCAAAGGAATGATAATGAGTGTACGTTTTACGACACTGCCTTAAATTTATGTCTCTCAGCTGCCTGTATGGGCACAATGTCTTAACATAAGTCGATGCACATAATGTGATCATGTAGTGTCCATTCACCAGTGGCTTTTCTTATTCAGGGGGAAAGTCATGGTTGTTGATTCAAGTGATTCAGCCAAATAACATCTCAGTGTCTTCATTGTGTGTCTAAGCATTGTAACCATTTCTCGTACTTGTTTTTGAAGGCTTGCTTCTCGGCATACAGTTGACTCGTAAAAGCAGGAAAAGCACAAATTTTGCTACCCATACATTTATATATATATATATATATATATATATATATATATATATATATATATATATATATATATATATATATATATATATATATATATATATATATATATATATATATATATATATATATATATATATATATATATATATATATACATATACATACATATACATATATATGTATACACACACACATATATATAAATAGATATACTGTATATATAGAGAGAGATATATAGATATATATATACACATAGGGAAAGACAGCGAGAGGCTGTGTCCAGTGCAGAGTTTACAATATGTCAATATTATTTAAATATTCAAAATTTTAAGTAGGTAGAAAAAATGTACAAAATGGAAAAGAGAAATGATTAAACCTCTTTTTTTACAACAAAGGAGCTGTGTCCTTCACACATGGATGCCGAGACAATAAGCTAGCATGCACAAGACCCTGAAACAACAGCAGTTTGTTTCAGTAGTTTCAGTTGTTGCAGTAATTATCTTAAATCTGGATCAAATGCTGCTTTTCCTGATGCAAGTCAACATGTTGTGACTGGCTTTTTCTGCTTTATACACTTATTCATTGATAAATAAATGTCCATGTTTATTATTATTATTATTATTAATGTTTTATTGTTGATTTGTTTGTTTGTTTTTTGTGTATAATGGGGTTGGCAGGCCTGCATGGATTCATGAGTGACATTGCCTGAATTTACAAGTGCTACAGTTGTCATGTAGAGGATTGTTAGATTATTTAAAGCACTGGATCTGACTTCGAAGCTTACATTTAACCCACCAAGACTCAGTATTTTGGCTTTTTGTCTACTGGTCTCACCATCTATCCATATGACACATCCATCCTGGTTTGGCTAATGTTTGGATTTCATATCTGAGATCTGACCCCACATAATTAAAAAAGCCAGAACTGGATTAAGATTAGGAGGAAGAGGTGAGGGATAAATGAAAGTAATATTGCTGAATACTTAAACAAAATTGATTTAAAACAGAAATCACAAACAACCAAAAGCGACAAACGTGTTGCACGAGCAGTCACATAAGCCATTTGATACGATACTGATAAGGAGAAAAAAGATGCCCATAGTGAAGACTTCTTGAGTTTGTATGTATCTACCATTTATCACTGTCCACCAAACAAGTGAAAGGATATTTCATCGGGGAAAAAAGGCATGTTCAGTGTATTTTAGGGCCATTGATGCATGTCAAACACTACATTTACATAACAAAATTAAATTACTTATTTTTTAAAGACACAACGATCCCAGTCAGCTAAAGCATGTCAAAACTTTCTCTATATTAAGCCACCAGGTTGTGCCATTTTTCAGGAATTATTATAATTAGATATCTTAATTTGTTACATGCATATGGTATGCATATTGCTTGCTTTTTAAATTCATGGACTGTGAAGGGTATGTGGGTTCACTTTGGAAACTCTGTCTTCCCCCCTATAAAATTCAAGATATAGGGCTCTATTTTGGTGCCTCGCCGAAGACGTGCCACAAGCGCAGCGTCAATCAGATCCGCCGCGCTGACAAGGCGTTCCCAAGCACATTTTGGTATTTTGGTGAGCCGCGCAGCCCGGTGTAAGTATCCCCCCTCCCTAACTCAGCTCCTCCCGGCAGCATAAGTCATAGACAGGGAGGAGAGAGGGCGTGGAGTCGGTTTAACACAGCCGAGACCTGTTTTCACCAATCACATAAGCTCCTCTCCTTGCCTTTAAATCCGCCACCGGCGAGGCGTAATACTATTTTCATGAAGTAGTCAAAGAGATCGAGAGATGTCTGAAGACAGTTATGCCACACGATGGCGACAGAGGGCAGCTGCTCAACAAGTGTCCTCCACACTCTCTCATCTGAGCGCAGATGGATTTGGTGTGCGTAATGTTGGACCCACTGGTAAGACAAACACCCTTTTCCACAAATAAAGACACTCACATAAAGTTGCATATATTCAAACCTCACGTGACAAAGGTGGGTTTAGCGCACAGATCACAACATAAACTCCAAAAATGGCATTAAAATCGGAACCATCTGTGCGTAAATGACGCATCTCGCTCCGTGGCCTGGCTCTTTCTTTCATAGATGTTGGCATATAAAATAAATTTGGCCCACAAAACTGAATATTATAATATCCGTATGTCGGCTTAAAGTAGATAACGCATCTGAGCACTGAAACAAATCATCTGTTCAGCCGCAGCAGCTGCAGCAAGACGGACAGAGGACACGGAGACGTGTCCAGGTCGAGCTGTGCGAGAAATAAGAGGAAGAAAGAAAAGGAGGGAGACACATTACATATCTTGTTAACTTCATCATGTGTGTTTATTTACTAGATATTTAATTTAATTTGATGCAGTTTCAGCTGTATTGATTCGGTCAGGTTGTGTGCCCAAACGCGTGCCAAACGCGTGCCAAACGCGCTCATCAGATCAGATATAGATCAGAATATATCGATATAGATCTAAATGTATGTGCTGACTCAGATTAATAGTTGATGATTATTTATTGCACTGAAATCTGCCTGACACTGTGGAAACCTGCCGGTGAGGCATCGGTGACGTATGTCGATACGCCGCCGGTCTACCAAAATACTACTAGACCAGCTGCGTTCCGCCTTGCGCTGAAAGCTGACCAGGTTTGAATCGGCGAGCTTTCAGCGCACGTTACACGCCGGTGGCGAGCACGAAAATGTCACTGCGCCAGCTGATTCTGTCGACACCTCCCCCTGCCACGCCACCACGCCCAGCTTGGCGGATCTCGGCTCGCCTCCGTGCGACTCAGTCCACGAAAATACCAAACTCGCCTTACACCGGGCTCCGCCAGACGAAAATACAACTGCGCGGGGCTCGCCGCCCTCCGCCGCCTCACCGGCGCGAACGAAAATAGAGCCCATAGTCTTTCAATATTTTGTTTCATGAGCACCTTCAGTACACTCTTAAGTCATTTTACTCTGACTCTAACAGTGCTATATAAAGATTATGGATACAATGAAGCAGTGCAGTTCAATGCAAACTTTTTTCAGAGTGTATTTTAAAACTAACACTAATACAAACAAGAAAGTAACTTTAAAGTCGCACCATAGCTCAATCTCCAAAGTTATGCCTTTACCTCAGCAGTTGTGTTTCAAACTGTACATACTGTTTTGCACATTCACGCATTTATAACAGTTGTGGTACGATCGTAGTGGAAAGCATGTAAGCATAATGGAACTGTGAAAAGCATAAAGCTCACTTTATTCAAATGGTTTGTTGGAATGTCATAATAAGAGACATGGCATGGTGATTGTATGATTAAATGGAAAATGTATCTATGGTGCATTTATTGAATATTTTCAAAGCACCCTTAATGTAAGGATTTTTAACGATCAAATAACTTTGTCAGATACCCGATCACTGTTTAAATGTCATTTCAGCATGTGAGCATTGTCAATGTCTGAATGTTTTATTCTTCTATATTTTTAACCGAGGTTGTAACGGTCTAGCTCTGTCAAAAACTGGTGTCTAAGGTTCCTAAAATGCATAAGGCTGGTACGCTGTGATATTCAGCTGCTAGAGCGTGCTCAGTGCTTCCAAATCTGGTAGCTGTGAGAATCCTGGTTTCTGAGGTTGCTAAACAAACCAAACTGTAAACAGGTCTGTGTTTACATAAATACTTACTTTTCTATCATTGTTGGTTAGTTACTGAGTGATTTTACTGACTATCTAAAGCACATCTTTGACATCACAATATTATAACACAATTGTATGTTTCTCTGTGATTACCAATACACTGTTTAGTCAGTCATGGTGTTGAGAACTATAAGATGGTGGTTATATTATAAATAAAAAAAAGAGCCAGATTGCCGAGATATTTTGAAATTTATGTCACAATACTAGTTGTGTGTGTGAGATCATATATGTTGAAGATGAAGGGGTCGGGTGTGTACCCAAGGTGACGACAAAAGTCAACATCTGGGCTGAAATTAAATGCAGTTTCCCCCATAAACAGTTTTGTTGGCAAAGTAAAGTTACACACATTCCAATATATTTAATATCTCAGTCGGAAACAAACACAGCTGTGTTGATGCTAAATCATAAAGCTGACATTATCATTATACATCCTCCACCTCTGGCTGGTTTGCCCTGAATAGTTGCTTTTGTTTCACTCTAAATGTTAGTGAACACCAAACTAATGCTTGCACTGTGCTGCCTCTGAACAAGCAGCTGTCATCACATTATGTATTTTGAATAAAGATGATTTAGGAAAATGTCACAGTTCTTTGTATCCTCTTTTCTATACATGCTTTTTGTGTATTTGTTTATTATTGCGAATTAATATTCTGTAAAGGTTAAGAATTACAAGCACTGTATGACAAGCAGCCTCCAGAGGAAATGCCACATCTCAGTGTCTGAGAAGTTTCGGGGTCATTGGACTCAAATCCCGCTTGCTGTTGGGGACACTGGCTTCCTGTTAAACAAATCTGCCAAAGGCCTTGCAATCTTGATTAGAAGAACCTTGCTGCAAATGCTTGAATAATGCAAATTCACAATCACATTTTTAAGTCCAACAAACGAAAGAGTGAAAATACACTGACAATGAAAAATCAAGGGTGTGTAGCCTGGTATCAGGCCTTGGTCTCAGAAAATTGAGTAGGAAGGTTGTGGAGTTCAACAGCAAGGAGTAATGTCGCAGTTACTATAGCAAGGTAAGTAGATGTAGCTTACACTGTGGGTAAGCGAGAAAGATAAGAGAGGAGGGAGATGTTTGGTAGAGTTTTGTTACTATCTGAGAAGTCTAACAGAAGCAGCTCTGGTATGCCCAGAGCTGGACTTTGCAAAAATACCACTGTGCTGGTGAGTACACCTCCCTTCAGCTGAGAACCTCAGCTAGCCTCGCAGAGAGTTAACAATTTGCTGACTCCATTCTGTGTCAGGTTTGGAGAACACAGGCATGTTGGCTGTGATGATCCATTGGCTGTACAGTTGGCACTCACTCCTGGCATCCAAAAGCAGTCTAACAGTACTTCCGCTCAGGTCCCCCGATACTAGAAAATTAATACCTGACATCCTCCTCACTCCTCTCCAATTCCCACCACATATTTATCTCGTCCAGGTTAGACTCTCTCTAAACCCCCTGGGCATGGTTAATTACAGATACTCTTTGATTATCCATCCTACCACTTTCCCATCTGGAATAAAAAAAAATCAGTGCTTCCTCTTTCTGTTCTGTCTTGTCTCATGAGTGCCCCCTGTAGGCCTGGAGCACTTTCATTGTGGAGTTTGATTTGCAGCGTTCTTCCGAGTCGGTTAAATCAAGCTATTGTCTGCTTTTCACACACTACACAGTTTTCCTTTGGACATTGTTTAGGCCCTTGCAGGTTGTCTGCCCTACTTGGCCGATGAACAATAACCTCTCCGAGCTAGTTCCTCAGCCGTACCACCACAGCTGCCTTTGTACTTGTTTTATTTCAGGTTGTTGTAATTCACATACCCTGATGTTACTGTAACTTTTCTTTCAAAAAAAAAAAAAAAAAGCTGCAATGCAATTTGTATTATATTTTTCATCCATATTTTTAATTGATCATATTTTTTTTTAACATATAATTGTTATTGAAAAAAAGTTGCAAGAGTGGTTCATGCTCTCTGGTCCCTTTCTAAAAAAAATGTCTGAATTAAGGAAGTTCCTATGAAGCATCCCACTGAGCAAAAGACAGGTACTACATGCCTAGTTTTTTTCCTAATTTCAACCGTCTAGATTCTGTATATTTTCATACAGAATTTAGACATTCCACTTTAACCCATTATTCGATAACTATTTATTTCAAAAAGCAACTGTGATTTGCACAACTGATCTCCAAGTACCTAACCAAAATAATTATGATAGCCATTGAGTAATATACAGTGTAGTATAGATATAGCCCAGATTTAGACTTGGTCTTAATTTAGACGTCAAAAAATCTTTCGTTTTTAGACCTTTGGTAGCCTGATTTTAGACCAGCTGTCTAGGCTATATTTAGACGTCTATTAGACCTCTTTTAAACCAAAAAATGCTCAGTGGGATGCACTTGAAAATCTAGAAAACACGCCAAGTTTCTTATCTCCAGATCTGTACAAGCACACAATGATGAAATGAATGGTGTTCTACATTAGTGAGAATGAGAGTGCACTATCTCACGGTTTGAATTGTGGAAAAGTTGAGAGGATTTGACAGAATTGCAAAACCAAGTAAAATGCGTCAAGACTGCTCATATTTGCTTTATTTGTTGTGATTGCACCATTGCATTTTACTGTAAGTAGTGAGAATATACTGGGAGAGCAACCCTGGTCTGAACAGTGATAAAATGCATTATGTTGCTGGTTACACCTGGTCTGTTTCTTTGCAGACAATCTTTTTATTTTCAGCTCTAACTTTGCACCCTAATGCATCATCCTGGCAAACTATAGGGGTGTGCATTTTACTGAAGTGCTGCGATCTGAATACGGCCTGCGAAACATTCAACCTTCAATGCAGCTTAGTGAAAATTTGTGTCAATTCAAATACATACTTATATCTTTTAAAGGCTCTCTACTGCCTATCCTAACATTTGCTATCTGAAAGCCATAGAATTAGAATTTGACTCATGTTTGAATTATGACAAATTACAGAAAACTGTATCCATCAGTGGAACATATAAAGGTTTTTGTAGGTAAATGAAGGTAGTGAAACAACAGTAAAAATGGGATACAAGGAGAAAGGTGACATGAACAGATATTTATACAAACACCAGCAGCACATGAACATAACCAGTCACTTCTTAGAGTCTTCCTAAAACCACCGGGTCAAAGTTTTCCATAAGACGTCTCATACAAGATCGAGCCTGATTATGAACTACCATGGTACCATCCAACAACCAACCATGAAACCATGTAAAGCTTTTTTTTTTTAACTTTCAACACCAAGTCTCCACCAGTTTTTAACAGGTTTCATTTCAAATCTGCACTGAAGTCGAGTTCATACAACTATAACGTCACAAGCAATGTGTGCATAAGAATTAGCATGCACCGTAGACCTGCTCTTAACTTTAGACAGGACTCACCTTTTGATGGTTTACTCTCCAACAGATGATAGATGGAAAGACAACTGGAGCACAGGACCGTGGAGACATGACAGACAAAAAGAAAAGACAGAAAAAAGGAAGCAAAGACAAGAGCGGAGAGTCATCGGCACGCAAGGTTTAAAGGTAAATTTAAAAAAAAGTAAAAATAGAACTTATGTTGAAGAAATCAGGTTGACCTGCACGGATGAAGACAAGGAGGAAGGGGAGATGAAAACCAAAGGTAAAAGGGAGGATCACCCAACTTGTCCTCCTCCACTCAGGACAATTTCTGAAATGTGCTCACTCACCGGCTGGTGCAAAGACAGAGAGGAAGGATGAGAGAGGGAGGGGAAGAGACAGAAAGAGAGAGAGGGAGAAAGAGAGAGAGAGAAATAAAGGAAGAGAGAGAAGTGGATGGAGCAGGTCGGAGTGTGGGGTGAGAAGAAGGTTAATCAGAGTGGGAGGTGGGAAAAAATGAAGGTTTGAGGAGAGAGAGTGAAAGGAGAGCTCAGTAGCTGTGTTCGGACCGGCTCAGCTATGTGACTTCACTGCAGCATTTCACTGCTTTGGCCGTCCCAGAAACAGATTCTCCTCTCCCTCCCTCCCTCCCTCCTCTCAACTCACCTCCCCTTCTCTGCCTCCTGTCATCTCTCCTCTTCTCACTCCCCTGCGCCCCCCCACACATTACCCCCTGCAACCGTCCTTTCTTTCCTCTCCTCTCACCTCCCCTGATCCCTCACATCCTCCTCTCCTCTCCACTCATCAGCGTAATGTCCTCTTTAGCTCCGCCTTCCTTCTACACCCGGCATCCAAGGTCACCCTGTCCAGCGGCAGGTGTGCGCGCATGTGATCATTTGCTACTATGTACGGTGTAAATATGCAAAGAAGCTTACAGATATGTTCGCTTTAACTGCCACACTCTAAATATGTCGTTTATGTCTCGAAAATTGAGCCCGCTGCATTAAGGTTTGCATCTCAGTATCCACACATCCCACACACACTTGAACCTGGAAATGACATCAAATGCCAAGAGATGGATCACCTGACAAATGTGCATGCATGTGTGTACGTGTGAGAGTTGGGGAGGTCATACATCTATCATGTCAGTGTGGATACTTCAGGGAAAACATGGAGGTAAAGACCCAACAGGAAATGATGGCAGTAGTTTTTTGTCCCTCTTTTAATCTGGTTCTTTCCTGCTATGAGACAAACATATACATATTAAAAACCTTCATAAGTAATGCCAACACCTCACACACATCTACTCTTTCAGGTAGTAACAGATATCACAAAAATGCATGTTGTTGTGTCAAATCAGAACAGAATAAATACTAACAGAAGCAAATAATCAGATTTTTTTTACGCTTTACACGTCAACTTTCTACGTCTCTGTCCAGTTCTATGTTTGGAGCAGAGTCACTTCGACTAAAGGCAGACAAATCTCCGTACAGGTGTGTATACACATCCAGTGATCTACACTTTTTTATTCCAGACATCTCAGGGTTCTGTGTCTGCTGCCAGAACAGCAGGACAAAGTGGCAGTGTGGTGGGAGTGCTGAGTGACTTCCTGTTAGACTGCTCTGATGCATGAATCATTTTCCGTGAAATGCGGATGAACAAAGGTGTGGGGTCATTTATGTTTCACATTACAGAGTAGGTGGTCGGGGGTGGTTCTGCATAAAGTGCTGTTTATTTGGAGATAAATTATGAAATATCCCCCCTTAAGCGTGGCTTTGCGGGTCTTCCTGTGGTCAAAAATCACCACTGTCAAGCATGGTATCTAAATAAGGTGACAGAGCAAGTAAAGGTGGGTAGATATCAACATAAAATGGATCAAGATTCCCCCTGCGTGCGTTAAGGATTACTCAGAGCAGATGTCGAGGTATCGGCTCCGTATGTGGCTCTGCGGCTCTGATGTGTTGTATCTGACATGTCTCTTGACGGGCGAGGAAGCCATGAATCTTGTGATTGAGGTCAGACTGAACATTGAAGTTGTGGACTTGTGTTATCCTTCACTGCCACTGAAAGGTGTTGAAGGCTGAGCTGAGATTGATGGAAGGTGGATGTGGATGTGTGGTGTCCTGGGTGGTTCTGTTGTGTGTGTTAGTAAGTTATACCTTCAACTTGAGTTGTTCTTTGTGTGTTGCTTGGAGCACTATACTAAGGTAGCTGAGAACCTCCATTAAAGCCACTAAATACTGGGAATTCACCTTGAGCATATGGTAAGGGTTTCCTAAGAGGAACCCCTTTTGCTGATTGAAAAGATTTGATTAACTGATTGAAGACGGTACGTTTCAGCTCGCAGAACTGCAAAGATGTTATCTGGACAGTGTGTGAGATTAAGGCAGAAGTTGTGTTTGCAAATATACAACAGTCCATGGCAACTTTTTATACAGAGAGAACACTGTCAAGTATTTATGGAGGCCTAAAAATCAGTGATGATACCATTGATAAGTTCAACCAATCAGGTCACTGTGGGCACAAGCAAGTTAGAGTATATGTGATGGCTGTGGCTAAGTGGTAGAGTTACTTATTTCTTAATTAAAAGGTTGGGTTGGTTTGATCCCAGCTCCTCCAGTCACACGTAGAAGCAACGTTGGGCACTTTCTGATAATCAAATCAAAAACTGTAGTTGCTAGAAATCACACACCACTGGCTTATTTCACACCAGCATCAAGACAACGTTTGACCAGTGCTCTATTTTTTGACACAAGAGTGATTTAATACCGATATTTCTTTTCTCATTTGATGGCTTTTTATTTCACATGTGACTCCTTGACAAATGGAGGTCTACAATTAAATAGTAACTTCTGAGAGTTTTGAAGATTTACTAACCAAACTGCAACCACACATAAAGAATTCTGATCGTTATTTATTTCACTGTTATTTGCAAAGGTAAAAGACCTAGTTTTTGTCAGAACATAAACTCATGACTTAGCACATTTATGAAATGACATCACCCTATCGCTACTTTCAATGTATTTTGCTTATGTCAACACCATAGACTGTATATATTATAGACAATTCTACCGTCCGCCTGTATACAGATTTGAAGCTCTCGGTAATTATGCGTTTTCTCTCCATTTCCTGAAACCAACATTACACATGTAGCGTTGCGCGCATTCGGCAGGAGAGTCACCGAGAGTCGCTGTGATGACGCTCTGCTCAAACAGAGTAACCCCTCGGTGAGCTACGCAATCCTTGTACGCCCATAGGCTGTACCAAGTGTCAATCATACAAAACATGAACCGCCAAATAACTTTTAAAAACGGAGCTGTACAGAAAAAAGAGGACTTGAGCACAAACCAGTCGTACAATAACTACATGTCAACATCACAAGCAGGGGGGTAAATATTTTGTTTTGTGTAATAAATTTCTAAAGTTTGTTCACAGCCCTATAAGCTTTGCTGGCGGAGGCGGGATTTATGACCTATACTGCAGCCCGTCACCAGAGGGTGCTGTTCTCGGAGTGGATTCACCCAGCGAGGAGGCAGACGGCGTCCATTCTATATACAGTCTATGGTCAACACTTTAAACCTTGACACTGTTAAAGAAACTACACTTATGTACAGCAAAGGTGTTGCCTTCCGACAACTACAACTTCATAAGACTGCAAATCAAAAATGAAGCAATGCGATGACTCCAAAAGACTTCAAATGACCTAGCTGTGGATCTACGCTCTCAATATGACTTAAAATGCTTTGACTCAATACAACCCCTCCAAACATGTCGAGCTGCCACAGAACTGATGAGACAGAGACAGATAACGCTGAATCATTTGATGGAGAACTTGCTGGTGGACAACACTGAATCTTGCCAATGCTTTTAGCCTGCCAAAGACTCAGTGCTTGGCTTTGGTATTAGCATGAAATTGGAGACACGTGAAAGTGGAGACAGGCATAAAGGATGCAGGAAAGTCTAAGGTATGTGTGAAGTACCCAGCCTGACTCCGGCTGAGACCCTCTCGAGTAAGGCTGACTCAGCCGTACTGTGCATGGTGCATGTGTGTGCGTGCGTGCATGTGGCAGCAGCTATCACTCACCCCCCCATCCCCATTTCTTTCTATCCCCTCCCTCTCTGCCTCTCTCTCTCTCTCTCTCTCTATTTCTCTCTCTCTCTCTCACTCTCTTCACCTCTACCTCTGCAGTACCTCTCTTGCTCATTCTTCCCTGTGCCGGCTGGGGAGACACGCGCTTTCTGCTTTTTCTGCCCTGGCTGCTGGCTCTGCTCCAGCATCGCTCCGTGCCTCTCGTGTGCCCTGCTCTCTCCCCCCCTCCTCTCCTCCTCCAGCCTATGTCTCCCTCTATGGGGTTTGTTGGACAGCCTGCATCCCTGGCCGCTGCTGCTGGAGAGGTGGAACTGTCCGTCGCTTTGCTGCTACATCGCAACTGCTCTGCCTCCTCACTGCCTTCTGCCTCACGCTCTCTTTTGCTGGATAATCATCACTGAGACTGCAAGAGACGGTGACAGAGGACAGGAGAAGGAGGGGAGAGAAACGGAGAGAGCCTGCACTCTTCATTTAACTGCTGCATTCTTCAGTTTGTCTCTTCTTCTGCTTCCCAGGGCTGCTGGAGTGCAGTACAGGGAACAACTGGTCGGGAGAGAGTACCCCGAAGGGATTTATACTCCTTTTTTTGCGCTTCCTCCCTCTGTTCATTTCTGGGACAGAGTGCAGAGGAGGAGAGAAGAGGGAGGGACTGAGAGCAGGACTTCAGACTCAGCTACACAGCTCAGTGTCCTGCCTTGGTCCAGAGACACATTAGACAGACTCACACACACACATACACACACATATTTGCATAGATAGGACTCGAGCTGGCCAGTCTGGCAAAAGGGGAAAGATTGACAAAGATTTTCTTCATAGACACAGACAGACAACAACACAGACAGACAGACTTGGTGTCATGGCGTCAGTGGACAGCACCGGTTCGAGTGTCTCTGGTCGGCTGAGATCAGGGGATCTTCTCCCTGCTGGTCTGGTAGTTGCTTTGCTGCTTGGTAAGTTATACTTCCCCCTGTATCTTTAGCTGCCTTGTGATTCCTCACTTCCCTGCTGTATCTCATACATCGCACTGCAAACTAACTTGTTTCTACAGGCTTCTGCACCTTCTTCTTTGGCTTCTTTTGCATCCTTTGAGTATTTTTGAAACAATTCTGGGTGGGTGTGTTGCTCAAAAACATGTAGACCCTCTTTTTTATTAAGGTTAATAACTCTTAACACTATTCTCTTGACTACCTGGGGGCTAAAATGTGCTCAAATTGGCAAAATGTGATGTCACATGTTTACTTGTTCTACTTTAAAGAGACATCAAGGTCAACAACCTTCAAAACTTCACTAATCTGGACTTATTCATGTTAAATTGTTGTTTGCAAATCAGGTTGTGTGACTTGTTTCCATTTTGGGGGGTTCCTCTTGTCAAAATAAATAAATCCGAAAGATGAAAAAAACATTTTTGTTCAGAAAAAATATTAAAAAAAGTTATTCAAAAGATGTTTCTGACTGTTCCAGTTGAAATGTATGTGGGTGTGTGGGTGTTTATAGTATCACCGGTGCTGACAAGTGCTGCAGTGTTGATCTGTTCTTTTACTCACTCCCTGGTTTTGTTGTTGCACCCAATAGTGCCCCCACACCCCAACGTTTTCCCCAGATATCAGTTACTCAAACTCAGCACTGTTGAGCTCTGAGGCAGAACAAGAACAAAAGGGTTGTGTGAAGTAATACATTTCAGTGCAACTGTAAAATAAACATTATAAAAGTAATAAAATTATCATTTAAATGGGTTTTACTCCAATTCAACATTGACAAACACTGCACAGAAGAAATTCTAAGAGAAAAATAGCCCAGAATGAAATAAAGATAGTTTCTGATTTTAAAATAGCAATTTTTGTTCAGTTTTTCTTTGGATTTATTCAAGAAAATGTTGAACAACTTTGCTTTTTAAGTAATAGAAATTAAGTGTTGGTAAAAAAAATAAATAATAAAAATAAAAAAGATGCAACCTTGAGTTTGAGTAATTAATCTTTGATTAATGTCACACTTTAAGTTCAAATGACTGATTTTATACAGATCCTGATAAAAATTACCTTTTTACACACTTGTTTTTGTTCATTTGACTGTCAAAAGAATGAATATTAAAAGGTTAATAAGGATTAGACACAGTTCGATAGAAGATAAATTACAAAATAACTCGATTTGATTGACAAGAAGGCTCATGGTACAGCTGATTCATTGGAATCACACAGTCAAAATGTTGTTTTTGTTTGCGGATGTGCTGGTTTAGTCGATTAGGCAATTAAGCATTGTCACCCTTACTAATCAGCACCAGAATTACTGTTTAATAAAATGACTTATTTGTCACCCACTAGTAGCTCTGACTGTAGCTCCAGTTAATGGCGACTGCTATAATGCTGCAATGCTCTACTTCCTGGATATGAGCAAGCAGAGACGACCAATGGCATCTCTGATTCTGTCGTATTTTGATTCAGGTTGTGTCCGGTTAAGTCAGCCAGAGTAATGCACAACAAGCACAGAAGTAGATGTTCACATGCAGGAATGATTGAAGGCTTTTGGTGCCGTCTCTGTCTATATGAGCCACACTCAGCACACCAATCTGATATTATTTACCTGCTTAGTCTTGTACTCTGTGTGGGAAATTTCTTGAATTAGTCCGTCACATCTGCAAGCAAATGGCTGCACAATTTCCAACTGCCAAAAACACATTTACTGTCAATGTTTTGACACCATCAGATTTTGAAGCATTTTAAACGGTGGCTCTGGAGCTTTTTCTTCTAGAATGATGTTCAGAAGATTTACATGTTCCACTCAGTTGTTTTACTTTTTCAACATAAAACTTTTTACACAGAAAAATGACATTTGCCTCATACTTCAACCTAAGCAAGTTTAGTGGATGTGATTAGTGGAGACAGAAAAGGCAAATCAATGTATTTTTCCATATGCTTGTGCACACATACTTTATGCCTTTGTGTTTATGTCTGTGCCCCAAGTGGGCCAACAAAGTCAAAAAGTTCACCCCTGGCTGTCGGCCACTTGTGAGCTTGAATTTAAGAACTTTTTCAGCCCAAGCAGCCTGCAAAAGGGCATTTCATTTCACAGCACAGTTTTCTTAAAATGTTTGACTTCAACATGAGGAAGGCTGTCACTATGACACAACTGTGGGATTGATTAATGAGATTTAATACATCAAAGAGTAGGGGTGTCCCGATACAACTTTTTTCATTCTGATACAATACCAATATTGTAACCTTTAGTATTGACTGATACCGGTATTTATCCGATATCCTTGCTACTCCATTAGTACCTTTGTACACACTGTTGTTGTGATTAACTGGGCTCTGCATGCTGGATTTAGGCACTGCAAGATATAGGTGCTGGAGCAGAGTCTGAAATGGACTGCTTGTATCGGGGTGGTGATACTGGAGATTTCAGATGTAGGCCGATATAATCAATATTCGCTTTTTTTTTTTCCGATATCGGACCGATATTCGATATCAGTATCGGATTGGGACACCAGGGTCGAGTAAAACATGAGTTATATCTGTATTGTTAGTTTTTCAAACACATTGGCTAACGTTTGCTAAATCAGCAAAACCAAAAAGAGGAAAAACCAAATTAATAATTTTTCTTACAACATTTCCCTCAGTAATCGACTACAAATGTAAAGATATCTAAGGACTCATTAACTTGTCTTTACTACACATGTTAATTTATTTCAATTAGTTAAGTGTGCATACTGGGCCATTTCAACCTTTGAAAGTCCTGAGCATATGGGCCCACCGATCTGGTCCTGTCAGTCAGCATAACCTTACTGAAGTAACGCTCAATCCTGGATAGAAAACCTTAATACTCTCAGAAAGACCTCTGGTATCTTCCAGGAATTGAAAACGAGCTCAACAACTTGCTAGCTAGCAAGAGACGTCTCTAAAGGATTGTTTTGCCTCAAGCTAACCCTACATCTACAAATTCATTCAGTGGAGCTGTGTGACATATGCAAAAGGGGGTGTTATTCCACCTTGTGCCCCTTCCTCCTCCAGTCCAAGTGCAAATTAACTTCTTTGTTTGATCATCTCCCTGTGCTGGAATTTAATATCTTAGGTCTTTTCAGCAGAGTAGTTGTTATTTGCTGCTTTTATTTTATCCTGGCTTCACACGGTTTGTCATGAACATTTTAATCAAGTCCAGATTGCGTGCCCTCGTACCCCGCAAGCGCTACCTTAGGTTAAGTTCTTTGAGTTTTACACCTTAACACAAACTCTCTACCATTAGTTTATTAGACTATGTTTATTTTGATTTGTAAATGAGATGTTTAAACCAGCCTTCTGCAACTTAATGACATTTAATTCAGTTTGGGTTGCTTTATTTCAGCTGAAGTATTATTATGTTTTTATTTGTTTTCACTTAAACCAATGGTGAACTTAATTTAAAACCCCTGTAAGGAACTTTAAGTTTGTGCATCCCCATGGAAAGTAGGGTCCCCTGTCAACAAATCTCGTCCTGCTAACTTTTAACATTCAAATCTTTTATTAGTTGTGAATATTTTATGTGGAGCCGTTTCAATTTTGTTACTGCTGTTCTTGTTTGCTTTTTTATATCATAAAAGAAGCATCAATATGAATGTCAGTTAAAGTCTAAACTCCTCACAGGAGCTTTAATGAATTCATTACAAGTAAGTTCAGTCCGTTTTTCTTAGTTATCCCTGCTGTCTTTGTTTCCTCTCCAATCTATTGTGCACTGTCTTTTAGTGAGCTTACGTAGTGAGGTTACGTCTCTAAACACACATATCGTACTGTAAATCTGTTGAAATTTAAAGCCCTCGGACAGCCGTTTCCCCCTGTTAAATTCTTCTCTCTGTTCTCTGTTATTTCTGCCAAAAACATCCAAGCAGTCTCCCTCTGCAGATTTCTCGGCTCCAGGATTCCAGGAAATGAAGCCAGAGGACAAACAAACAGAACAAAGCCATAATCAAAAAGCATCTCCAGTATAAGAGTACAATAAGAGACTGTCAAAATACCAAACTTAACTCAAAGGTTACCTAACCTTCCTCGTCTGTTCTACTCAAAGGTTGAGCTAAAACAGACAGTCATGCGAAACAATGCAGAGTATCAGTAAGTGCTCACTTTGTCATGTAAGCGTGATAATCATACCACATGTTGTTACTTGTTTGCATGGCTATTATCTTACATGTGTTTGTATCTGTACATGCTAACATGAGCCAGCCTTGGCCTCTGATGATTGAGTTACTTAGCTGCTGCTGTAACTCTCTTCTCTGCTGTCACTCACTCACCTTGGAGAGGACAGCTCACTCCATGTCCCCTCTCCATATCTATCCCTTGTGACCCTTTCCATCAGTTCCTATACACTCTACCTCTTTCATTACCCCTGCTCCCCCATTTAATCTCCCTTTTGCCTCATCGTTCCCATCACCTCTCTCTCTCTCTCTCTCTCTCTCCCTCTCTGTCTGTCTGTCTCTCTATCTCTCATGGAGGTAATGGTGTCCTCGGTCAGTTCTCTATGGGTTCACTCAGAAACACATTAACCCTCCAATCTCTGGCCTACTTAAAATAAGAAAAAAAAAAAACATCATGTCACCTTGACTGTCAGCCAAGGACACACACACAAGTGCACACTCAAGTGCCAAGCACATACGCACATGCAGTTAGTTGCTTTTGCTACCATCAGTGATGCAGATATTGATGTTTCCCAACTGGAACAAAAAGATATTTGATAGTGGAGCTAAAAATATCATACATACAAGCCTATTACTCATGTACACACACACACGAACCACACGTACACAACATAGCATAGTACATTACTAAAGTATGTGAGTCAAACTATAAAGATAGAAGAACAGAGGGCAGGGAGGGTGGAGATAAAAAAGGATAGCAGAGAGAAGAGGTGTGAAATGAGGGAGGAGAGAGATCTATTTGTAGACATGGGGGACACTCCTCTCAGAAATGTTAAACATTACTATGTCTGGATAAAGATGCACAGCATGAGTCTTTCAGGGGACAGATTGTCTCTATCTGATTTTGTTCCCCTTTGCACTATTATTCCCTCTAGATCACTTCCTGGGCTGCTGAGTGGCGTGGGGCGGTAATTATTGATGGTCTACTTGACATGGTTTAAAGGTTTATATAGAGTGTCAGCCAGCCACTGCGTAACATTCAAAACCTCGAAATGATCACTGGGCATGTTTTTTTTTTTTTGTGGTTCTAGAAATAGAAACAAGCTTCCGAAATTGTTCCTTTTCTTCTCTGTAGTTATTGCATCTCTAAGGAAAAATGGAAGACAGGAAGACAGAGGAGTTTATTAAAAGTGAGAGATTAAAGTGCCAACTTCTGTGAGCAGGAATAATAAGAGCATATAACAGAAAGCTAAACCTGAAACAGAAAAGGACAAGGAGAAGCCAAACGGTCGGAGTTGTGTCTGAAAGTAGAGGAGACATGATACGATAACGGCAGAGAGGAGATAAAAATATCGAATGTTAGATGACAAGATGAAAGAGTTGAGCTTGACATGAGACCAATTTGGAAAACTGAACAAAAGGAGAAAACAGGGAGCTTGGCAAAACCAAAATTGAACCTGTGACGAGGATACCTTTCTCATTTTGAAAAAAAAAAAGGGATTTTTATTAAAAATAATATGAAGTGTCTCAATACTGACAGATACCTTCATAAACTGGGAAACTCGTCAGTAAATCTATGAGAAACATTCTTATATAGCTTAAGGGTCTGCTGTTTGATTAAGAAGAAAAGGTACTACCCTAAACGTATTTAATACTTTTAGTTTGAAAAAGGAATGTAACGATATGAAAATTCAACATCACGATTATTGTGACCAAAATTATCAATATTATCATGGTATTGTTGAAGTATGTTCAAAATGTTTAAAAAAAAGCTTATACATACCCTGAAATTATTCAACAAAGTTTTATTTTGAAAAAAAACAAACAAAATAAAACGCAGAATGAACTTTTCCTTAACCTTTGATAACAGAGGAATGATAAGCTTAAAAAATTAAAGATGGGACCTTAAAAGAGCCAGAGGTTAGCAACACTAGTGCTAGTAATAACAAAGTACAAAGTGATGAGCCAGTGGCATAAACATGAACATTATAACAAATAAATAACATTTAAATAAAATGACATTCCTTATTGTGCAAATTGTAAGAATCTTCAGTGCTAAAAAAGATCTACTCTAACAAATATAAAACAGAGCAACACTACTATATGAAACAATATAACCACATGTAAACACATGTGTAGTGCAGGTGTTTAAAATAACATAAAATATGTCAACAAATCCAATGAACCACACTGATTGTCCGTTTTCTCCACCACAAGGTGCTGCTGCTGACTTTGTTCACTACTTGAGATTGAAATGTAAACATGTCAGCAGATTTACTTTCCTGGTTTGAGTCGTGATCCGCGAGGGGAAACAATGTGCTCACTGGCACTGAATAGCCTCTCGGATGGCGAGCTAGTTGCTGGGATGCACAAAAGCTTCCTGGCAACCCTCACAACCCTTGGTAAAGCCGAAATACGCCCAGACTTCGGACTTTGTTTTCTTTGACAGCGGGAAAAATCTCTGCAACATGGTCGGCAAAACTGCAAAACTGTCCTCCGCCATGTTGACAAGTTGTATCCTGCGCAATGGGACTACTGCGTGCGGCTGCTCTTCTCAGCACTGAGCAGTCTTTGAGCTTTTCCAGAGTGCGGCAATCAAACACAGTTTTAACGGTAATTAGAATTTGAAACGGTAGTACTAACCGTCAGACATTTTACCACGGTTTATCATTTTACCGGTAATCGTTACATCCCTAGTTTGAAAATGTGTCTCTGATGCTCTTTGAATAACACAAGGAGCTGGATGTTTACGATAACTCCCTGCTGACAGTTGATATTGCTCAGTATTAAGAAAAAGTACAATTAAATTAAACTTGATGAAATATAAGCTACGGCAATCTGCTTTTAGAGAAATGGTTTAATACTTAATCAACTTGACCGTTGTTGGAATTTTCAGTTTTATTGTTGTGATAATATGATGGGCGGTGGGTGGGGGGCGTAATGCACATGGCAGTACTGGTAACTTTTATTTACTTATTTTACTATTGCATCCCTTTTGGTTTTGAATACCAAGGCATGTTTGAGATAGTTTACTGTGGTATGTCAGTGCCAAAACAACAAGTGGCAGCACATCAAAACTCCTAAGTGAGCAACCCCATCCGGTTCCAGTGTCCAAAATCCAAATTCCAATCTGTGATTTGATAGTAGGACCCAGGGTTACACTGGATTCCAGAGCTAGTTTGTGATTGATTTATTCCAGATTGTTATGTTATTATAAAGCTGCAAGGTAGCTAGTGTGAAATTCTTGTTAGGATTAAGTCCTTGAAAAACACACGGCCAACACGGACAACACGGATAAGTATGTACTCTTACGCTTCTTGCATCATGTCCAAGTGCAATGTGATCTTCAGCAGGTCAGTGCAGGGAAGAGGGTTTATAAATAGGCCCCAAGTGTGTGAGAGACATTAGAGCAACAATCTGAGAATCACTGCAGCTGTCCCTGCAAAACCGACAGAACCCACACAACCAGGATCACTTTACCTCAGCCGTCACTGGGCACAATCTTCAGCAGCACAAATTTGTCATTTAATTTGTGTAACCATAACTGAACCGTTGAGGTAAGGGACAGAAAAATATAACTATAACACATAAGAATTTTACAAACAATCGATACATGTATTCAGCAAACCTGACTACCGGGGTTTCAACATAGCAAAGAGGTGTACCTCCTACTTCACAAATTACGTCAACCCACAGTGACCCTTTTCTTGCTTTACCTTGGTCATCTATCTTAGGTGAGCAGAGTGTCTGCACAGCTGAGTCTCTTTGCAGAAGATAGAGGTAGAGGGGGGCTCTCTGAACTTACATATTATTAAAATTTATCTGAAGTATTTGTGGACGAGTTGTTCACCTTAAAGGTGGGGTAGGCAGGATTTGAGGAAGTGCCAGTTTTGGGGAGAAATCTTGAATGTAACACTACCCCTCCCAACCAGTTTTCCCCTCAGCTCCTCCTCTCCCCTCTATCTCTGCTCCAGCAAGCCCCGCCCACAAACAGATACTCCTGCTCGCTCATATCGTTCCAATTAAATTCAGATATAATGCAGATAAATATTTCAGATACTTACAAATGGGGCCCAGTCAACGTGAAAGTAAACAGCATTGGTGCTACTGTCTCCCGTATTTATTTCATTTTCTTGCTTGTGTTGGCAGTCGTGGCTAAAGGAGGATTTAGACAATCTTCCATACTTTCTGGTTGGTTTCTACTGTCTGATATTGTTGCACGCTAACTTTGTTTGGGCTCCTGAACGACACTGGGGAGCAGTGTCTACCTCACAACCAATCAGGATGGGGGAGGCGGAGAATGGCTTTGTTTACAGTCAGAAAGAGCGGTGCGCTCTAAAATTTTAAAATATTGACTACACAGACATAACAAAACACAGCAATACTGTTATATTACCAAATGTCATCAATGACTAATAACTATTGACTGATATTAAAAGCTTTTTTGTAAATATACAGATGCTTCTTAAACAGAATCCTGCCTACTCCACCTTTAATAGAAATGCAAGCCTGAGTTCACCTGTGCTGAGGTGATGGACTGCAGCCACAGATGCCACTGTTAGCTGTGTTTAAAGTGTTGTTTGTGAACAGGAGACTGTACCATGTTGAAAACATTGTGGGGCATCAAATTTACGCCGTGCTAAAATAAACACTTTATCATATTGGACATGCTTCTTTGCTTGTATAAGGACCCGAGACTGCTTTATCACCCTATAAGTTGCCAGTGCCACCCATTGGATTTGGATTATAGTAAAACAAGCATTGGCGGAAAGTTTTATGTTAATGAGATTCTACTTTGTAGTAAAGCTGTATGAGTTCTTTTCACGCATTGACATTTAGAGGACAACTACTCTTTCAGACCTCGGGGTAAAACTTCTAAAAATTCTCCAAAACTCTTGTGACATTTGGTCCCCAGCAACATGTTCTCCACATTTCCTCTCTGCTCGTCCTCTGTGCAAAGTCTTGAGTACAAAGACTCTACAGAGAGCGAGCAGGAGGTGGGGCAGATGGATCTGATGGGACCCTTGTTTAGCTCTGAAGACAAGGCTGGATGTACAGGAAACAGAATAAAAGATGAAGTCACTTTCTTTTCCACAAAGCTCAGGTTATGGCTTGAAGACTTGATACCTCCCCTGAGCCTAACTCCACCAAGAAATAAAGAAAACATGTTCAGGCAACATCAGAGCCAGAGCAGCAAACGAAGACATATGCTGAATTGGCAGATATAAGCAGTCATGTTAAGTGCCTTAAGTGAAAATGCTTTTCATGTATTATTCATTCATTTAGTCTTTTCTACTCATATATTTATTATTCTTATTTTTAGAGGTACACTGATTAATCATTTGAGATTTAATTTATTTTGAATTGATCTGCATGGGCTAATGTCTGCAGTCACTAGCCAGTATGTATCTCATATCTCATGTATCTCATTACCACTTACTATTGCTATTTCACTTATTATTACATTATTTTATTGGCATTATATATTGTCCATCAGGCAAACAACTCTCTTATTATTGGCATCTGCTGTTAAAAACTGATATCAGTCAACCATATATAATTATTATTTATTTTTTTTATGGGGTCAGTGTTTACAATAGTGTCAAACTTCATGTCAGAGAGATTAAACACTTCTTTAGGGGAACTTTAACTATTTGATTCATTCAGAGCATTGCCTTAAATCGACAAAAATATGATTTCTTATCTAGATTTGATCTGTTACACACTTTGTCATTGTGTTGCCCTTGATAAAAAAAAATATATCATGAAAAACACTTTAAACAGTGTAAGACAGACTATCAGTGAGTTGGAAAAAAAGATGTAATGTTTTCCTTTATTTAGTTGATAAATAAAATGGCATATTTTACCACTAAGAATAAGTATGGAGTATGTGGGGGAGAGGGAGCTGTCATTTCATGAGCTCTACTCACCGTTAGTAAGCTACTTAAGTTTGTAATGCCATTACTCATGAGCAGCACTTACCGTTTACAGTAATCCCACACCAGTGATTCCCAAACTGAGGGGCGGGACCCCAGGGGAAGGGGGGTGGAGTTATGACAAGGAGGGCGCAATAAGGCTTGAAAGAAATACACAGTTCTGCACAGCTAGTAAGGCATGGCAAATTTTGTTGAAAGGGTTGTCAAGTAAAAGTAAGTGTGACAATGAATCTAAACCAAATGTCAGCACCACTTACCTAAATGCTAAATATTAATAAGTCGTATCTCATCCAGGCTTAGCCTCTGCCAACAGAGGGCCATCTACACATCCACAAAAGTGTATATATTTTTTGCAGTGATTTGAATGATTAAAAGATACAGGAATTTGTTAGCAAATATGTTTTCTGATGGCGTGTTTCACTTGATATGACTATTAGACATATTTTTTATGTGTTGGTGTGTTTACTAGTGAGTAAAGGAAGCTCAATATGTTTCATTTATCAAATGGGGGCCATGCAGAAATAGTCTGAGTACCACTTTCTTACACCAACCCAACATACCACACAACATGATTATTTTACACTTGGTCAGTGTTGCTTGAAAACTATTGAAGCAAAGCAACACATACGCTAGCCGAGGACTCGAGTGTGTACACTGTGATGGTTTTGAACTGCCCTGTGCTTTCAAAGTACAGTTTAAAGTTTTGGTTTTCTGTTTTCTTTTGGTTTATCAAAATTCTTTAATGTGATTTTTCTCTGATTTTCTTTTTCTAAAGAAGGGGGTATTATGCATTTTTTCAAATTCTATACTTCCTATCTGATACATCTTAAATCACTTTACATGATTTTCAGATAAAAAAGCCTCCTGTTTCTCACTTTATTAAAATACCATTATTTCACTCTCTGCCTGAAACACTTTGCGTCAGCTAATGATGTGTCGTTCGCGAACGATTCGTTCAAAAGAACCAAATCTTTTAAATGAACGTACTGAACCGAATCACTTCCTCCAGTGATTCGTTTTTTTCTCACTTCAGTTGAGTGGAAGTGAGAAACAGCGTTGCAAGGCCAGCAGCCGGCGAACAAGGAACCACATGCACTGACGCCTGAATCACTTGGTTAACAAATCACGCATTGAACTACACTCTCTGGAATCATTTTTGTCGAACAAAACTACCTTTTTTTTTCACTGCTAAATTGCCACCACAACAACTTGCATCCAATAGGACGCAGCATGTAACAAGTAGTGCATTAAACCCACAGCATCCTATCATTGCAGCAGTTTGCGAGGGAACGGTGCATGTTCAGTGTGAATTCCTCTAAACGTTCAGTGAACGAATCACTCACTGACCCCAACCTACCGAGCAGACCTGATAAATAGCGTACCATAGTACAGTACACTTAAAACATCATGACTTATAAGTTCATTCACACAGCCAAACACTCTCGTCTCTTGGTCCCAGAAGCTATGAATTGAACTGAATCCTTAACCGTTCAGCTTTGAATCAGTTCAGGAGGTCGAAGTCACAGGCTTCTCCAGCTAAATGATTCGGTGATTTGGTGAACGAATCTTTTGAACAAATCTTTTTAGTGAACTGATTCTAGTGATTCAGTACATCTAAAAGAACTGCTGTGCCCATCACTAGTTTCAGCTGCTGTCTCTTAAAGCCCTTTTGAGCAGTTTTTGTTGTAAATGTGGAAAAGCATAATACCACCCCTTTAAACATTTTTTAGAGCTTATTTTTGTCTCTCATCCTTCAGGTGTATGGAGTGTTGGAGGACTGGAAGTCTCAACAGGTAAAGTGTCCTCAATCGAAGCGATGAACGGCTCAACTGTCTTGCTGCCCTGCACCTACTCGTCCTGTATTGGCATCAAAAACCTCTACTTCAACTGGCAGTATAATGACAACGGCACAATGTACAAGGTACAGCACACTTGCTCAGGCACACACACACACACAGACACTCACAAAAGTTTGAGTTACACAAATAAATTGCAGAAAGAAACCGCAATGTTTTTGCCATTTCCTAACTGCAGGCAGCATTGGGAACACTACCAGATTTATAAAGATTTTCATGTGAACATCTGACTACTTTCATGTGTACACAACAACTGTTGTGTGTGTGTGTGTGTTTGTGTGTAGTATGTTGAAGCTGTGATTCCCATTGAGAATGTGGAGCCCAAAGTCCTTGTGTACCATGAGCGTGTGGAGTTTGTCGGCTCCGCGAAGAGCAACAACATTTCCATTCTGTTGTATAACATCACCTTTGAGGACGAGGGAGAGTACACCTGTTTCGCCAGGAACCCCAAGGAGAAGAATCGTAACCACAGCGCTATCTTCACTCTTATAGTGGTGGACCAAAGTATGTAACAGATGCACTCCCTACTATACACCTTGCTATTTTCTTTTTCTTGCTTATTGTGGTTGTGTCTTTGAACATAAAAAATGTAGACCTTTTATTGTACATTTTATGAAATTTTTCCTTAACTATCTGCCTCTCTATCTCTCTGCTTCTTCTCAGTGAAGGAGGTTGACAACACTCTGACAACCATTATTGTTTCAGTGCTTGGAGGAGTCATTGGCTTGGTTATCATTGTAATGGTGATAAAGGCCCTGGTTGTTCACTTCCTGCTGAAGGATGATGAGAAGAAGTAAGTATACCACTGGGTACAGACCATAGACTGTATATAGAATGGACGTCATATGCCTCCTCGCTGGGTGAAGCCACCGGGAGAACAGCACCCTCTGGTGACGGGCTGCAGTATAGGTTATAAATCCTGCCTCCTTCAGTAAAAAAATTGAGATGTGTCAAAACGTTAGAAATTAATGACATGTAGTTATTGTAAGACTTGTTTGTGCTCATGTCCTCTCTTTTCTGTACAGCTCCATTTTTAAAAGTTTTTAGGGGGTTCATGTTTTCTATGATTGACACTTGATACAGCCTGGGGGTGTACGCAGATCATCCAGGGGATACGCTGTTTGAGCTGAGCATCATCACAGCGACTCTACCACTGAATGCGCACAATGCTACTGCGCAAGTGGTGGTTCCAGGAAGTGGAGAAAATTCCAGAGATACCACAAGCAATTTGGCTTCAAATTCATATAATGACAGAAGGCGGAGCAAAGTTGTCTGTATATTTACAGTCTTTGGGTTTACAGCCATAAGCAAGACTTTAAAACAAGAGTAAGGAAAATACAGATTATTGTCATTCCTCCTTGCGGTAGTGTTTCATAAAGAAATAGTCTTCTTGGACCATTTGCATTTAAAGTCATTGAGTTATTCCAAACTTTTCATCCGGACATTTTTCGGTATGTCTTTCACCGTAATTCTAATGACTTTGTTCTACTTTGTGCCCCACGCAGGATTATTATTTGGGTTATGAGGGTTAGGCTTTGTAAAATCCCTATGGTATCAATATAACTATGCCTTATCATACTCGTGCTCTGCCCTCTGCAAGTGTAGCTACATCTTAACCTTTGGTTTTCTCTGTCTCCTGCAGTAAAGAGTGCCTGGTGAGCTCTTCAGGGAATGACAACACAGAAAATGGACTTACAGGAGCCAAAGCTGACAACAAAGGGACACCAAAGGCATGAGCAGAATGCAAAAGTATGTCTGTATGTTTGTATATATGTTAGACAAATACACGCTCAGAGAAGACGCTGTTATTAATGGACTGTTTTATCTTACTAGTGGCTAAGTAATACAACATGTAAATGTCTATTTTAAACCATGCTTGAGAGTTGGGGGATGTGAAATGTGCATAGGCCTGGATCACTCTCACCTACACGGCAGCCTATTTGTTACACAATGAAAACCTTCTGTTTTCAAATTCTGCTCTCCATATTGAAACTTAACTCTCCTTACAACTGAATACTTGCCTTTACTTTGATATCTTTATTTATGTAACATCTTTGAAGTTTGTTTTACCATGAGCTTCAACTTGAAACGACTAAAACATAATTTTTAAAAAGTGCTTTGTGCTAAAAAGTCCCGCAGTTCCTTTCAGCTCTTTGTTTGTAGACCAAATTTCAACAAAAATCAGCTGTCACTGTGGAAAACAGTGAACTGTCTCATAAGACATGTTACAAATGTGTATGGTACTTCGTTTGAATTCACCAAGCTCTATTTCAGTCTACAAGCTTATGTCAAACTTGGTCCTCAAGCAAACCTGACCTATGGGAACACACACCTTGATGCCATAATTAACTGCCAAGATGTCTGCTGAAGAACTGCACAAAAATGGCTATAACACTTCTGGTTACCCTACCAGATCCACCTTTCTATCTCCAACTGTTAGACAAGAGTTTTGTATGTAGATTTAACATTACTTGAAATTTAGTCTAATGACCCAATGACTTTTTGGATCCATTTTCTTTATGTCTTTATTCCTCTTTTGTTATTTTTTTGATCTAACCAGAAACTTAACTTACTGCCATGTCAGCCTAAACCTCCGACTTGTATGTTTACTGCTGGGTCTAAGTTTGACACTGTAGAAGTATTTGACCCCTTAATGGTGACAGCAGAATTTGATGAACAGCTGGTTTGCCAAGGCTGACAACTGGGCTTTCTAAGGTGACTCAGGGATCCAGTTCTACACAGGTTTTATTATTTTGCTTTAGACGAAACACAGGTGCCTGTTTTGCTTCTGCTCCCTCTGCTGGTGGGAGGATAAAACACTGAAAATGTATAAAACAACAAACCCTAACCCCCCCAAAGACAATCCCCAGACTACCCAGCTCACTATAGAAAGGAATGAACTAAATCATGCTGCTTCTAACAAATAACCAATGCATTTTTAGCATGTGCGCATTTTATATAACTTCATATAATTATATGTTGTCTAGCACCACGATACCAAAACATTTCTGTGTGTTGCTGTATGGTACCATTCAACCCTTCACATCAACCTTTTAACACCGCTACAGCTTTTCTTACCCCCCTTTTTACCAGGTCAGGGTGCCTGAAAGGTGACTCTTCTTTCAGAGAAAATGCTTGCAGAAGGGGTGACAGAAACTCAACACTTACTCAGAAGTAATGACATTTAAGTCCCTCGAAATTTTAACCCTCACAGTGAACCGAAGTAGACACTTAGCTCTATGGGATGTCAGCAAGGTACTTCAATTTGGGAGAACAAAATATGAAATTTATCAGAAAATCCTAACAGGCTCCGTCCCAATTCAGACCTTTTAAAAAAGACAAGTTCGTGGCCCAGTAATACAGGACGCACATCACTGAGACAGATCGCTGCGTAAGAATGTAAGAAAACTCTGTCAGGGAATAAATATCAAATATATTCCAAAAGTATTTTTTAAATCAATCTGAACTATATTGTATACGTTAATGCTACTATCAAATGAATGTGTAAGTATCCCAGTAGGCCAGTAAGACCGCTTTCTTTGCCATTCACCGCTTGATTTGCCATAAACTGTGTGACCCTACAATTAGAAAATGTTTTCAGTTAAAAAAGTTTGCAAAGAAAAAAAAAAAAGATTTTGGGCATTGACGATAGTTGTTACCAGTTTGTGTAAGTGTACTGATGTCTCAGCATGACAGATTCTGTTTTTCCTCTTTGAATACAAATTAACAAGACTCTAGAGAAAGCTTGAAGAGTGACATAGAAAATCAGATAGTAAAACATGCTCAGATTTCACAGCTTCTAATTTTAGACGCTGAAATGTTTTATAATTTTCTTCAGAAATAAGAATGTAAAAATTAAACGTGTTTTTTAAAATTGTTTTAGTTTAGTTTTAAGATTGGTAACCAGAGCCTGTGCCCCCTCAGTGAAAGAGGTCTTTACAAAAAAGCTTCCTGGCATGACCTCCACACCCTCACACATACTGGTAGCTTCGATAGCTGTGACAGCTGAAAGCTACACACACATGACTGCAAGTGCACTCACATACTAAGAGCCACTCTGATGCAAGAGCGTAGTACACTGATCTTGATTTGAAAAAATACAATGTGGCACTTTACCACCGTTTAGAGTCGGTGCATAACAGGAAATCATGGTCTTGTGACTGAAGTTCATTGTTATTTTTACACATATTTCCAGATTTAACAAAAAAATACATCATTTGTGTGTGTCAAGTCTTACTGAGTACCTAAGAATTGTGTCAGAATGGTTTGAGTGTTGGAAAACTACATGATGTCTCACTGGAAAAGTGTTATATGGGAAGATTTAATCTTATTTTTCTAAGTGCTTCACTTTTGTCAGCCTGCTGCTCTCTCATACTGGAGTGCATTTCCCTTCTTGCTTTCAGTGGAAGCAATAAGACAGACATCAGATTATGCAATAACCTGTTGTAAGGCACTTTATAGATGTGTCTGGACTGGCTGTGACGGCAACTCTGTTTGTCCAAGACACTGTTCATTGTACTGATATATGTATCAACACTGTACTAATGTATCAACATTCGATTCATATATCTGCATTTATCTGCTTTGGAAAACTGTATTCGCTGATAACACTGTAACTCTGCAGTGTGGGTGATACAGTCTCCTTGCTGAGTTGAACACATGTGAATGTTACGGATATAAGGAAGCGCTACACACACACACACACACACACAGACACAGACACACACACACACACACACACACACACACACACACACATACACACACACACACACACACACACACACACACACATGATTGCCTCTTTGTCTAACCAGTTATGTATAGATCCCTCTGTAAAGAGGATACATATGTACATCCAAAGTCTTCCGGTAGGGAAAAGCAATATTGTGGAGTTGATCCGTCTGTTAATGTACTTTTCTTAATGTAACTCTGATATAGAATAACAAATACTGATGGTGGTTCATGCAGGGATTGTGATGCATTACTTGAACATTTGTGGCCACAGTTTTCATAGTTTTATTCCCACCCTTTCTGTGATCCCTTGCTAGATTTTTTTTCACATGTTTTAGAGCCCATCAACCTGCCCTCGCTTTTTTGAGAGATTCTTTATCATCTCTAACTTGATCTTGATAAAAGTATAGTAAAAATAAAACCATAATAGATAATTAATAATAGATAATTATTTAGGTTTATTAAAGCCCAGGTATGTGTGAGACAGATTGAATCAGTGCTATGTGATGTTACAAACATGAAATCAAGATGTGTTCACCCCATAGAACTGAACCGGATATAGGCATCTGCTTTCTCACCTGTTACATAATCATTTTGTCCCCCCCCACATGGTCCCCTTTTGACATTCTGAAGGCTCAAAAGACCTCTTTCTGAACCTGATATGAGTCTTGAAGTCAGCCACTTGCTTGCAGTGACTGCTGCAGTGCTGAGTAAGGCTGGTACAGTGGGCCCCAGCCTTGGTGCAGTACAGCACAGTAAATACAGTATGACTGCCACCCAGTGGTAAATGCTAACACATCAAATAATCTGCCCCCTAGTGGACGCTGATGAGACATACAATTTAGACATGCACTTAAATTCGTTTTAGATGACAGCACTGTATCATGAAAAACAGTGTCTACTAGTTATAAAGCAAAAAAAATGAGGCTGACATTGTTGCTACACTAATTGCTTTACTTAATGCTAATAGTTAGATTGTTATACATACAAGTTTTTGTAACTCCTGTGCACATTGGGCATTTTGACTACATTCAAAAGGGTGATGTGTATGTGTAAGTTTACAATAAAAAGTCTTAAGAAAAGGATACATGCAACAATTTGTACACACACAAATCCTCAATGAATTTTTCTCTTATAGTAAGCATTGAATAGTTACAGACAGTCTCAGTGTTACTGTCACATTGTTCACTAAAAAAAAACAAAGTGCTACAAGAGCACTGACTGACCACTTTAATGATGTAGAGTTAGTTTTGCTCTTACTGCCAGAGCAGCTGAAACTCATACTGCCAATCCAAGAGTCTCACGTCTGCTGTTGTTACAAACACTCTTACAATAACACACATCTCACTTCGTACACTGACACTTACTGAAACATTAAGTTTTGCCGTCAACTACCTTCGATGGCTAATACAGTACTAATTGTGGCAGATATTGCTCTGTACTACTTCTGTATTTCTAGCAGCTGCAACTCACACTGCCAAGCCAAGAGTCTGATGACTGCTTCCCACATTCCACACGGATCAAAAGATCAAACTACTGATCTAACGTCAGTGTAGTCCAGCAGAAAAGTTAACTCAACTACAAACCTGATCCAGGGGGATGATAAAAAAAATGAGATAAAATAGGAGCAATGTGTTCTGATTTTGGTTGTTGTCACAGCCAAAGTGTGCGCGTATTGTGACCTATTGTGTGTCAGTGTTTTATCATGCTCCTAGCAAACTGCCTCTATTGACTCTTTCAAAGAGAAAACCTTAATGGCCAAGGCTAGCAGGTTAGAGATTTGAATTTCAGTACAAGCACAGACTGACACTGACCTCTTCACATTTTCTCTCTGCACTGCAGTTCTGCATTTTAAACTACTCCAATTGTCGGTTTGTTTATTCGTTTATTTCTAGGTAACACGGCTGTAAATGTAATCCTGTCTTTATCGGAATAACAAACTCATACCATTCTATCCTAAGCTATCTAAGGCCACAGACTTTACAGCAACTACTGCATTTTATAGTGAGTAAGCTCAAATAATATTGTACCAGACTCCTACACTGTGCTTTAATCGGCACGGTCCATTCAACACACACACATACACACCAACCAAACACACACACAAACACACCAAATGAGACACCACAAGATTCTTCAGTCATCTGTTCTCTGAATGTCCAGCTGTTTGTCTGTGTTTGTGACCATGTTGCTCATGCTCCCTTCATGACTATGCACCTCAAACTTTTGACTTGTTAAAAAATACATACCAGAAATAAAATGTGGATTGAAATACCAACTGAACTGTCTGAGTTTATTCTGTTTTACTGCAACCTCAGAGAATGTTTCGTCCAGCCAATAGCTGAAATAAAGAGTTTGAGTGCTCAAGAATACTGTATTTCCATGAAGCTCTGTTTGTGGATATATTCAGTGGAACACTGGTTGAACTGAGCTGCAGAGAGGAGTCATGAACATTTTAACATCATGATTTCTCATTGAATAAATCACCAGAATTTTTTGAAAGGTAATGCCACTCATTTCTTGAGCTTTTCACTGGACTAATGGAATAAATGAGATAAATCATACTCTTTAAATTTACATGTCGCAAAATAACTACATCCATTCTTTTTCTGTATTTGTTAATAAATCTATTAACGACACTTTATTGATATAACTTGTAAAATAAAAAACAACTAGAGATGTTAAGGGTGACTATAGTTTTTAAAGAAACAGCTATATACTGCCATCTTATGGAGGTTTTGAAACACAGCACCAATGTAGGTTCCTGCATGTCCGTCTGCTCAGTGAGAATTGCAGTGCAAAATATGAAATAAAATATGATTTTTTTTTCCATTTGCAAATGGTTTTCATCATTTTTAAGAGATTTTGTTATGCTGATTTACTTTGCACTGTCTTTAAAAAGAAAGAAAATTTGAAGATTTTAAAACGTAAATCCTACAGACCAATAATGCCATTTGTAACAATAGGTACAAGTCAGATGTTCATGAGCCTTACTGACAAAGATGACGAAAAAAAAAAAAACTGTTCCCACTCAGTTTCACATGACCCTTTCTGTTAGTTAAGTTTAACTTCCTTAACCTTTCCCCGTTCATTTTCAGTGGTAATCCTTAACACTACGGATGCAATATATTTTGACTGGTGGTCTCCATCAGGTCCTGGACCATAGCAGGTGGACACGGCCCATGAGAGCTGCCACTGATGAGCTCTTGATAAAGCACCATGGTGCCAAAGACCTCCCGAAGCAGGTGGATGCAATCTATGTTCACATGGTGCAGAGGGCATGCACTGACCCAACAGCTTTCTGTATCCGACTACACGCCAGCAGATCACCAGATATGTGAAGCATCTGGCCAAACTGAAAACAACAACACTGCACTAGCATCAACAACAGCAGAAGTAGATGACCAAGAACTGTTTATCCTGTGGTCAGCCAAAGTCAAGATACCTTGGGGATGGCACTTCAGCTCATTTCTTTTATCAGGGGAGGTGTGTTAAGTATTTTGATTGCTCCACAAGATCTATATGACCTACAAAGATGCCTTTTGAGCGGGGGGCTAGAAACTGCCAAACAGTGGGGCGCAGAGTGGAAAAGGGTGGCAGAGGAGAGGGCAAAGAGGAAGGCGGTGGTGCTGCATCCAGCAGGTCACCTGTTCAGGCTCTGTCACCAAGTATTAAAGCAGGGACCTGACAGCCATCACATTCACTTCCCTGGGGTACCAGAGAAGTACATCTACAGCCTCCTCAGATTGTTTTTTTCCTGCAAAAGCCATGAGGTATTGCCAGTGAGATGACCTGGAGTTTCAGCAGTCTGCTGTTTTTGACGCTTAAAGGGGCAGATGGGTCACAGAAACCAGAAAGGACTGCCTCAGGCCTAAAATTGTTTACATGTTCATCAATTTAATATGCATATATAGTTCTCCTAATATTCATTTGTGTTATATGTCATCTTTTGGGGGACTTCATGTGTGATTTTGCGTTTTATAATCCAGAATTCTGCTGCACTTTATAAGTCTTATTGTTGTTTTCAGACAAATTAAAACCTGTTTAGTTGTTCTTTAGCACTATGCTGTATAAATGTTAAATCTTATATAACACTGTACGATGTCTCAAAATAAACAGTTTACCAGTCTATTTGTGTTGTCTTTGGTTGTCCGGGGCCTTCATCCTGAGGTGATATTTGATTGTTCATGGTGGAAATGTCTATAATGATACAGCTGGCCAACTCGTGTAGTCATCAGCCTATGAAGAGGTCCTCCAGAGTTGCTATTGTGGTCCGTGACTCATTTCAAGTCTTGTTGGTCTATCTGAGTGCAGTTTCCATACCACACTCTGCAGCAGTAGCAGTGCAGGGAGGGGGCACTGCTATTGGCCTCACATGAAGTGTGAGGAATGAACAAAAATTGAAGTGTGTTTCAGCTCTATCTGACAATCCTGGTGAGTTCACTTAGACCTGTACAAAAATGTATAATCTCAAAGTGTTAGCAACCTTTTTTTCACTTTTTTTTTGCTTAAATTCTTCCTTAAAACTTGTTACAAAATTTGTTGCTGGAAAAGGAAGTACACTGACTGTAGGGGCCAAGCGACGCCTCCTCCAAAACACCTCTACTTATATACAACACCATATAATATATGGTACTTTTACTAAAAGCCACAATTGTAGCATTTATACAGAAAAGAAGTGAGGACAACACCGTCTGTGCTGATTCACCTTCACCATAACCAGGACTGATGCTGACCTACATACAGGAAGTGAAGAGACTGTTGTGGGGTCAGAGAGGTATAGGCCTGCTCTCAGTTAAGTAATATATTTGTGATTTGATATTATACAGTAATGTGTATCAGGGATTTGGAACTGAACGAAACTAAACATACAGGTGCAGCTCAAATAATGTGAATTAGAATGCCTTGAAACTTTCATTTCTCCCCAAATTCGAGTTAAGGGATATTCTGGCGTAATATTAATTTGGGGTCAAACACACCGTAACACTGAGTAAGACCCCCCCTCAAGAGATGAATGTTGCCGAACGCTTGCTTCTCTAGTTATACCGACTTTAGTAACGACAGCACGATAGCAATACACAGCAGTCTGAGGAGCCACACACAAACCTCAATCAAAACACCACTGTATAGCTACAAATAATGCTCAGAACAGCACCTAACTTCATCAACAGTACATATAGGGTCCCAGCCACAGCACTAGCCACCAAACATCTTTTTAACTTTGCCTAATTTCTTTAGCAAAGAGACTAAACACAACTCACCTACTCTCTTCTAGCAGCCGCTTGTTTGTACAGAGACCTCGAACGAGTCCATTGCAGACTGCTGCAGGGTGACACAGCTCAAGGAAGAACATTTATGATCATTTCTTCATGGAAATGCAATCAGACCAAGATGCCAAGGCAAAAGAACTACTGTGTCTGCAGTGCAAAATTATTAATATGATGATTATTACTTCAAGGAAATGATAAAGTAATCAGATGATGAAATCTGGACGCCTGAGAAAGTTTACTGAGCCTTTATTCTCTCACTCTGGTAGAGTGCAAATAAACACAATAATGGGGAACACTGCTGATTCGACAGACCATCACTGACATCTCCTAAGGTCACTGCTGAAAAGGCTGGCTGTTCACAGACTGCTGTATCGAAAGCATCATACAGGAAAGTTGTCAGGGAGGAAAAAGTGTTATCACTTATAAGCAGGGGTGAAAGTAAGCCGGTGGGCCTATGCAGCGGTACGCCATACCGGGAAGGCATAAACAGCAGTTTACAGCCGGTACACAAACTTTCACCTCTGCAATATATGTAGACTACATTTGCTTACCGTGTTGCCGTACGTCAGTCTGTACTCTGCATTGTCACCGCAGTAATCCAATAGGTCCATGCTGCTTGCGAGTGAGTCATATTTGATTCCACAAACAAGCTCCAAAATTGTTAGCGCTCAGTGCGCACTTTTGATTGGACGCTGGTTGCCTAGGCGCTTGGGATCGCCTCCCGCCTTTTCCGGAAGGACTTTTAAAGAGACAGCCGCTTCAATCTTAATCAAGAAATATAACAAAATGCAGAGAAAACTTGATTTTATGTTCAAGAGAAAGAGAGATGTAGCAGATGATGACACTGTGGTATCAGAGTCAGCACCTTGCTAAACTTGGGTGTTCTCCTCTGGTACAGGTACAGTACCTGCAAGAACCTTATCCCACCTTTTATTTTGGTTATAAGGAGCACAATCATCAGGGATGACCAGAGCTTTTAAAAGATTGTCAAAGAAACCAAAGTTTAACAAAGTGCCGACTCTGATGCCTAAGTATCATCATCTGCTGCATCTTTCTTTCTCTTGGACATAAAATCAAAATTTCTCTGCATTTTGTTTCATTTCTGCATTTTGTTTTATTTCTGCGTTAGCTATCTCTCTAAAAGTTCCTTCCTTCCGCAAAAGGCGGGAGGCGGTCCCCACCGCCTAGGCAACCAGCGTCCAATAAAAATCTCGCAGTGAGCGCGAACTCTTGTTTGCGAAGCAAATACGACTCACTCGCAAGCAGCATGGTCTTATTGGATTACTACGGTTACAATGCAGAGTACAGACTGACGTGCGGCAACACGGTAAGCAAATGTAGTCTACATACATTTCAGGGGTAAAAGTTTGCGTACCGCTGCGTACCGGCTGTAAACTGCTGTTTATGCCTTCCCGTTATGGCGTACCGCTGCGTAGGCCTACCGGCTTACTTTCACCCCTGCTTATAAGTGATAACACTTTTTCCTCCCTGACAACTTTCCTGTATGATGCTTTCAATACAGCACTCTATGAACAGCCAGCCTTTTCAGCAGTGACCTTAGAAGATGTCAGTGATAGTCTGTCGAATCAGCAGTGTTCCCCATTATTGTGTTTATTTGCACTTTCAGGTGTCCAGATTTCATTATCTGATTACTTGAAGTAATAATCACCATATTAATAATTTTGCACTGCAGACACTGTAGTTCTTCTGCCTTAGCATCTTGGTCTGATTGCATTTCCATGAAGAAATGATCATAAATGTTCTTCCTTGAGCTGTGTCACCCCGCAGCAGTCCGTAATGGACTCGTCCGAGGTCTCTGTACAAACAAGCGGCTGCTGGAGGAGAGTAGGAGAGTTGTGTTTAGTCTCTTTGCTAAAGAAATCAGGCAAAGTTAAGAAGATGTTTGGTGGCTAGTGCTGTGGCTGGGACCCTATATGTACTGTTGATGAAGTTAGGTGCTGTTCTGAGCATTATTTGTGGCTATAGAGTGGCTTTTTGATTGAGGTTTGTTGATGGCTCCTCAGAGCACTGTGTATTGCTATCATGCGGTCATTACTAAAGTTGGTCACTAAAGTCACTTCTTTGCTGTATAAATGCTACAATTGCTGCGTTAAGTAAAAGTACCACATGTTATGTGGTGTTGTGTATAAGTAGGGGTGTTTTGGAGGAGGTGTGGTTTGGACCCTACAGTCAGTGTACTTCCTTTTCCAGCAACAAATTTTGATAACAAGCTTTAAGGAGGAATCTAAGCAAAAAAGAATGAAAAAAGGTTGCTAACACTGTGAGATTATACATTTTCGTACAGGTCTAAGTGAACTCACCAGGATTGTCAGATAGAGCTAAAACACACTTCAATATTTGTTCATTCCTCATAATTCATGTAAGGCCAATAGCTGTACTCATCAAGCTTGAAACACACAAACAAGTCTCAGATAACACCATCTCTGTATTTTTTCTAAATAAATCAGAGACTTATAATTTGGTCCATTTTACAAAAGAACGACAAAAATCATTCATCTTTTAAAACCTTTTTTGTTTAATAGCTGCAAATGATGTTTGATTGTGAATATTTTTCAAGAGATAAAGAAAGTAGTAAATCTTAATATCTGAGAAACCAAAAAGTATGCTGCCTTAATGGTATTAGACAAAGAAATTTTGATTTCCATCTGTCTGGTCTTGAGCCAGTGTGCTAAAACAGTCAAGTGCAGACAGTCTTTATTATTGATCGTGTTTGTCTCTGCGTCTAAAGCGTCCCATCCATTGGTATCCTCCGTTTACTGCCCAACAACCGGGAACCTGACAAGGATTCCACTGTCTGCTGTTACTGGAAAAGGAAATAAATAAACCCCGATCGACTGTCCCATTGATTACCCGTCACATTCTTCTGTTGACAGAGCTGGTGGAAGAGGAACATCAGTTAAGCTGATGAGGATGAGTTCGTTTCTGGAGATATGTGGGTGTGTAGGCAGGGTCCTCATCAAGCAGCCCCCAGAAATAAATACGCCCACGTCCAACACCAGCCTTATCAATACTACTTCTGCAAATTGTCTCAGGAGTGCATCGTAATCTGTCTCCCATGCTGCGTACTGGGTCTAAAAATGGTTGTTAAAGTGCACTTTACAACAAGACAAGACAGACTGGACTATTAATCAGTCACACATAACCTTCCAGTTTTTTCACTTGATCGACTAAAATCTGCGAACAACCAAACCCACTTTGAGCTTCATTCATGTTCCCCTTTACGTGTTATGACATGTAAAGGGGAACATGACTGCTGTTTATATTTCAGGTACATGCTTGATGCTGATCTGTACAGTTCATATTTCCCTGAGTCCACAGATCAAACACTGTGAAGTAGCTTCCACTAGATGGCAGTATAGCATAACAGATTTCCAACAACCAGGTCAGCCTCTCCACAAGATGAGCCTGATCGCAGTGAGAACACAAACGGTGTTAAGAGTCAATTACGGGGTTTGTGGCGATCATATTCACCTGTATTATTTCGATATGTAATGGCGTTTAGTTTAAATTGTTTTATTTTAACTTTATTTTTAATTATTTACTCACAGATAGCAAAATCCAGTTCAGTAAAAATTAAAGTTGGAGATAAATCAGTGTATTTTTGTAGATAAATACATTAATCTCCTATTTTAAGAGAATGTAACACAGTTTGATATAGAGAAAGAGAGTATAAACCTACATACATTATGGCTCTTTTGTCTAGAATTGATTCAACATGTGAAATAAAAGCTTGACCAGATCTCAGCAGGTCTGCTCAGATTTCTTCACACCTTTTTACGTGTTAAATTTAGCCCAAATACGTCCATTGCAATTCTTTTTCTCTCTTTGTTTTTTGCTTTATTTATCTTAAATTACCACCTCGACATTAAAGGATTTATGTATTTACTGGATAAGATTGTTTCATTTAGGCCTCCTGCCAAAGATGCACAGTATAAAACTGAATGTAGATTTTGAGTTCTCGTTTTCTGCTTAAATTATTACTATTATTACTATTATTATTTTCATGGGCATAATAATAAGTCTTTGCCCAGTAATTATTTCCCCCAGTCTCAGTATAATTTTATTACATTAGGCTCCTCGTTCATTGGAAGCTTTCACTGTGTTTGATTGGGTCGATAATTCTCCTCGCAGGGCAGCAGGCATGAGGCCAAATAAAGCGAGAGGAGCGCGGAGTTTCCTCGGTGAGGACTGACTTTTTAGATGTGTGTGTGTGAAAAAAAAGAAAAAAGATCAGTTCATTAAAAGCACCAGCTGAACACATGTTCCTGATCTTTTTTTTTTTTTAAAGAGTCAGGGGACAAATGATGTGAAAGATGGTGACACAAAAATTGGAGAGTCCAAGTGTGGGCCATTTAGTCTTGAAGTTGTTTTAAATATGTTTTTAATATCTTGACAATTTTAAACGCAAATTTGCATTCAAATAGAAAACACAATTATTAAATCTAGTCTGTGTCTCAATATACACCGAATTAAACCAACAACTTCTCGTGTTTTTTTAATTATCATAATAATAAGTGGATTATTGAGTCAGCGCATCAATAGTCTCTCCACACTTGAGATCTTTTCTTTAGGTTGCAGACATCGGCTCGGTCGAATGAAATGATAAATATCCCTGTTGATCATTTGATTGATTACCTTGCTCAAAGGTCACGCGGGCGCTGGTAATTTCCTTGTGCCGGAGGCTTTCTTTTCACTTTTCATCTGCCCCCATATAGCCATACAGATCATGTTATTTTTAACCCCTCAGAGGCCGAATGAACAAGCACTGTAATGCTCTTAAAG